AGAAGGGGGGAAATGGTGGGGGAAAGGGAGAGAGGCAAACCATGAGAGACTCTTGAATGCTGACAAAAACTGAGGACTGATGGATGTGGGGGGGAGGGGGGATGGGCATGGAGGAGGGCACTTGTGGGGATGAGCACTGGGTGTTACATGGAAACCAACTTAACAATAAACTATTTGTAAGGAAAAAAAATATGCATTCATGTTTGCATTTATTTGCATAAAAACCCTGGAAGGATAGACAATAAAGCAATAAAATTTAAAAAGGCTTTTAAGTATATTTACCTGGTGTATTTGATATATACAGAAGCACATGTAAGTTATGAAGATAATAAATATCCATGAAGCCACTACCCAACTTAACTAGAAAATTATTAATAGCATTGAGGGGCGCCTGGGTGGCTTAGTCGGTTAAGCATCCAACTTTCACTTAGGTCATGATCTCGTGGTTCGTGGGTTCGAGCCCCGCGTCGGGCTCTGTGCTGACTGCCAGCTCAGAGCCTGGAGCTTGTTTCAGAGTCTGTGTCTCCCTCTCTCTCTGACCCTCCCCTGCTCACGCTGTCTCTCTCTCTCTCTTAGAAATTAAAAAAAAAAAATTAAAAAAAATTATTAATAGCATTGAAATGACTTGTGTGTGGTTCCTCCAACATATCTTACTGCCTTCCCACTACTCCAAATGCTGGCCTACATCCCTGGTCTTTTTCAACCATACATGATGTAAGCCTAAGCAAAGTAATGTTTAAGTTTGCTGGTTTCTGAGCTTTACAATGGCACCTTATCCTCTGAAATTTGCTTTTTAAGCTCAGCATTGTTTCTAAGATTCACTTAAAGAGAGCGTGGATTGTTTTCTGTTTTTTACTGCTGTGTAAGTACACTACATTTTGATTTTCTGTTTTTTACTGCTGTGTAAGTACACTACATTTTGATTGTCCATGCTTCTATACAGGGCATTTTGAATTCCAGCTTTTTGCCGATACTAATGCTTCTGTAAACATTCTTGTACATATGCAGTGGTCATGGCTGCCTCATTTCCTCTTTGACACTGCTCTCTATTCTGACTGCACATTAGAATCATGCCAGGAGCTTTAGAAAGATCATTCCTCATGATCCGGATTTTACATTTAATTGCAGCCATGGTTGAAGACAATTCCCTAGGGCATATACCTGAGGTAGAATTGCAGACTCAGAGGACACTGGCATCTTCGATTTTACTGATCTTGTCTCAGTCTCAAAGCTGGAGTTCTTGATTATTCCCTAGCCCCACCAGCATCAAGGAGATTCCCCTTGCTCCACGTTCTCGTTACGTTTATATTGTCACACTATGCAACTGTGTACCAATTTAAGAGAACGCAGAAAGGCATTGTTTCTTGCTTTTGTATTCTGTTCTATTGCTCAGTCTCTGCAGCAATACTATAATTGCTGTCTTGATTACTAATTTTCAATGCCTGTTAAAATTCTCCCACTATATCCTGCCTCTTTTTTTCTTAGTTTTTTCCTAATGTTTATTTTTGAGGGAGAGAGAGAGAGAGAGAGAGAGAACACTAGTGGGGGAGGTGCAGACAATGAGAGGGAGACAGAGAAGCCTAAGTATGCTCCATGATGTCAGTGCAAAGCCCAGTATAGGGTTCGAATCCAGGAACCGTGAGATCATGACCTGAGCTGAAGCTGGTCGCTTAACCTACTGAGCCATTCAGGTACCCCTGACTTTTTTTTTTTTTTAAGCTTATTTATTTTGAGAGAGAGAGAGAATCAATCCCAAGTAGGCTCCATGCCATCAGCATAGAGCCCCATGTAGGGCTCAAACTCACAAACCATGAGATCATAACCTGAGTCAAAATCAAGAGTTGGATGCCCCACTGACTTAACCACCCAGATGCCCGTATTTGACCTCTTTTAAAGAGGTTTTATATGTTTTGGTCCCAGCAGCTGTTTGTGTTGCCATTATTTGACAATTTGATAATTTACTCTTACAAATATCTTTGGGGACAAGGAGAATGAGAGTGATAATCTGGTGGCAATACAGCCGAGACCAAGATGAAATCAAGACAAGGGCCAAACACTCTTAACCTTTGGTGAAAATGAGATACTTGTTAGACTTACATTGTTGACTCTTGAATTGACAAAGAACATGCATGAAATGTTGGAACTAGAGTACTGAAAATCATATGAAAGAGACAAGGTGGGGTTGGTGAGAAGAAATGAAGTAATGCAATTTCTGGCTTAAAAATGAACACATTTAGGGGCACCTGGGTGGCTCAGTCAGTTAAAAAGCTCAGCCAAAGCATCCAACTTTGGCTCAGGTCATGATCTCACAATCTGTGGGTTCGAGCCTGTGTCAGGCTCTGTGCTGACAGCTAGCTCAGAGCCTGGAGCCTGGAGCCTGTTTCAGATTCTGTATCTCCCTCTCTCTTTGACCCTCCCCTGCTCACGCTGTCTCTCTCTCAGAAATAAATAAAAAACATTAAAAAAAAAAAAAAAAAGAATGAGCACATTTACGGCACCTGGGTAGCTTAGCCAATTGACTGTCTGGCTCTTGACCTCAGCTCAGGTTGTGATCTTAGGGGTTATGAGATCAAGCCCACATCGGGCTCTGTGCTGATGTTTCTCTCCCTCTCTGCCTCTCCCCCATTATCGTGCACACTCTCTCCCTCTCAAAATAAAAAAAAAAAAGAATGAACACATTTTCCAAAAATCTAAATGACAGGAGATATTCAGGATATATGGTGTTGTTGATAGGAAAATAGTTTGATACAGATTCCTTTAACATAAGAGATTGGCATGTATCACTTTAAACCAAAAAAAAAAAAAACGACTAATACTTGAGCTCAAATATTTCTGCAAAACCATCACCCATTCCTGCAGAAAGTGTTGGTTCTTCTCATAGGCGGCCAGCTCTCACAGCATGGTGAACGATAATTATCTTGGTGCATCATTCTTCTCCACTGTAATGAGAGTCTAAAGATGAGGGAAACTTCTTTCTGGTTGCCTCCATTTGCCACATAGTAGGGGCTCAAAAATAACATTTTTAAATACATACATGAAAAATTAGGTGATTAGGTTTCTAATTTCTTTAAATTTGGCTATATACCTACTATAGCAATTTATACTGTTTTGATTGGCATCTGGTACACATACCACTTGACCTTACAATGCAAACAGGAGAGTTCTTGCAAAGAAGGTCAAAGTAAGAAAATGTTTGCCCCTCCTCAATTGAATTGGCTTTCAGCCAGAGGCAGGGCAAATAGAACGGTCTGAGTCCTCTTCACTAGAGAAAAGATTAAATATGGAAGAGTTTAAAAATTACTGCCAACTGAAGCTGCAAACAGACCACCAAATAGCTTCTGACCCTTGTAGGAAAATCAGACAGCTTCCCGAGGTGGTACATAGAATGCTAATACCATATCCTTTGCTGACATGGCCCTGAAGTATCACCACCACCAGGTCACTGTCCCAGGAGATCACAATGGAGATCGTGCCAGCACCAAAATTAACCACTAGGAAATCTCACTGTGAAGAAAAAAGGCTTTAGACAGGACTGACACTTTAATTTTTTTTAATGTTTTATTTATTTCTGTGAGAAAGAGAGAATGAGAGAGAGACACAGTGTAAGCAGGGGAGGGTCAAAGAGAAAGGGAGGTACAGAATCTGAAGCAGGCTCCAGGCTCTGAGCTAGCTGTCAGCACAGAGCCCGACATGGAGCTCAAACCCATGAACCATGAGATCATGACCTGAGCCGAAGTCAGATGCTTAACCGACTGAGCCACCCAGGTGCCTTTAGACAGGACTGACACTTTCATACAGCCGATGTTTAATCCCCTTTAATGTAATCTGATTTTTAAAATAATGAGAAAAATTCAACAAGAAACAAAGTAAAAATAGTACAAGATAGATTAACATAAGAATTAGAGAATCCTGGGGTGCCTGGGTGGCTCAGTCAATTAAGCGTCAGACTTCAGCTCAGGTCATGATCTCATGGTTCGTGGGTTCAAGCCCCGTGTTGGGGTCTGTTGCTGACAGCTCAAAGCCTGGAGCCTGCTTTGGATTCTGTGTCTCCCTCTCTCTCTGCCCCTTACCCACTCATGCTCTGTCTCTCTCTCAAAAATAAATATTTAAAATTTTGAAAAAAATAAAGAATTAAAGAATCCCTATTGCAAATCTCATCATCCATTTTACTCAGAGACCCTGTCGAAAAGCACAATTTAAATCAATGCAGGCAGTTTAGAACAATATTCATGGATGAAATTTTTACTAAATACTAGGATATTTATAACTTTCCCTTTGTAGCATTTGCAAGAGAGAGCAGAGATTGAAAGAGAGTGTGTGGGCTGAGGACAAAGAAATGACAGAGAAAGAAAGATCAGAGAGAGAATGAGAAAACATATTGCCTACGTCCTTATAACCTCTTTCATTGGGTTATACAGGTGCTTACCTAAAGTTGAACTATACTCTCTTTCTGAATGCTGTAATCTTGGAGACCAAATGATAAATTTTGATGGAAATGTATAAAATAAGAAAAAAGAGTTGCCACAGGCTCTTACTCATTCTATATTATATATTTCTGTGGTGGATTTCATTCAGTCTTCCGGCTCCGGAGCCTTCCTCAGTTCCTTCTCCCTTATTTTTGGCTACGACTTAGAAAGATGAGCATATTAGTTAACTGAGGCTCAGACAAATTAATTGCTTTGTAAACAATTGAAATATCCTAACATTTTATCTAAAAATTTAAAAATCAAGTGAAAAGCCTGATAAATAATTCCTTAAATGTCCATTTTTCACTGAAATTCTGAAACTTAGAGGGATCTTTCCTATCTCACCATGCTCAGTGCACTGTTCTGTGTGAGCGAGTTAAGAATTATATGGACTGAATAACATTTGCTTCATACCTTCTAACAGTTACCAAACTAGAAAAAGAGTAAAAGTGTATATGATGGTATTCAAATAATGACCTATACATGGTATACTAAATACGAATTTAATGATATTTCAGATTATAAATTCCCTGGAGGCTTGAATCAACATTAGGTTTCTGTGTTCAATGTTTAACATTAAACGTGTGTACACACCCAATCCAAGGTCCTCCGTGACACGGGTTGGAGGAAGGGACACTGGGTCTTTTAACACTGATAAGAGAAAGCTTATTTTTCAGGGATTCTGTTAGGCATTTCCCTTCCCATTTATGAACACAATTCCACCATGCTACTCTCTTAGTGATCACGCTTCTCCTCCAGTGACAAATGTGATCCAGTCCCTGTAGGCGGAAATTCTGGCAAAGACCGTCGGTGCAGCAGGCTGGCAGTTACTGCTTCCCCAGCTCACGATACCGATGAGCTTGTATTGTCCATCCTGGGCACACTGCAGAGGGCCTCCCGAATCTCCCTGCAACCAGCAAAAAGAGAAGCTCTTCGGGCTGCACGAGTCACGGTGGATGCTCACCTCCACTGCAGAGGTGATCAGACAGTGCATATGTCATTCTGCCATCTCTCATTTCTGCTCACCACAGCAGAGGCGAATAGGCAGTTGGTGAATGTTACAGATCTCTGAATCAGATCAAAATCTCTACTTTCCAAAAGAGACTAAAGGTACATTTAACACAAAGTCGTTTAATGCCGACAACAGACTGTGCCTTGCAGAAAGTTTCAAGCATCTACTTATAATATAAATCACCAGATTATGGTTTTGAGTTACATTAAAATATCTTTATATTTTCAGTGCTACTAGAAGTAGATGCTTTGAGCTGCCTAATTCAGCTGTGAAGCTGAACCGTAATAACTTATTTTTATAGGTCAAAAAGAGTAGAGGATCATCAACTTCACATAATCAATGAAGCAAATGAACAAGAAATTCCTTTTGAGAATTGCATTCACCTCAAGTTTCAAATTAGCAATGACAGTACATCAGCTTAACAAGTACTTCCTCTTCTCACTTTTCATTTTAAAACTACCATGCACTTATACCTCTTTGTGGTCAGCAAACACCCATTCATGAGACACCCTGAGAATGCCGTCCTTGGATTACCATGCATGAGGACGATCCTGCAGCCCCTCCACATATATTGGTGTCTTTGATCTCCAGTCCCCAGTAACTTCGACAGGATGTACTACTGATCAGTGGTACAGCTGCCTGCTGCACTGTTTTAGAAAATTCATCTTCTAGTAGGAAAGGAATAAAAACAGATATAACCTAGGCAAATGCTTTTAAAGGATAAGATAAAAATAGCCCATATATATTCAAGGGTTAAGTCCCACCCACTCTCTCCTCTCGGCACTGTAATGACCTTGTTAAGTGATTTGTGAAAACCTAATATTATTACCCCATGGTCACTTATACAACAGGAGCCACACAAACAAACAAGCAAAAAACCCACTTCGTGTGGTTCTTTTGTCTTTAGTACAGTCCTAAGAAGATAGAAAACTCACGTTACTATATAGAAGGACAGGGAAGTTTACACCCAAATCAGTTGTTGATAAAGCCAACAATGCATTTCATTTTTTACACGTTTAGTCTATATTCCATTGGATTCCTGGTGCTCTTATTCTTTTGACTTGACTTCATGTTTAAGTGCTGACACTGGAGGTGACAATTGAAACTGCATTCTGACTTGTTCTTTATTTTACTGGATATTCGTTAACTTGTTAACTCAATTGTAGAACATGGTAGAAGTGAGATCAGAGTCATGGGTTTGACCTATATATAGACTATTTTCACATCATGTTTCCACTGTTTACCATTCATACCAGCCTACGATTTCAAAAAAAGGCATCACATCTTTGGGAATAGGCTCGTGTCTTTAAGTAGAGGTTTTCACAGAAGCGGCCCCTATACTGTTGTGAAAGCAAGTGTGTGTGATCACAGTGCAGTTGGGGAAAAATTACATATAAATGAGACACACAAATATTTGTTAGGTACTAAAATCACTACATATTCTCTAACACAAGTTTTTACAAGTATCAATGAACTAATACTAATGAATATGATGTCCTAAAACCCAAGTAGTCACCTTTAGATCCCTTATGGAAAAGACTTTTTCTAGTATCATTCCTATTAAAAATACAGAAAAATTAAAAATAAGTAAACAATAATTCATACTCCACAAATATTTGTTTGGATTCTAATCTTGGAAAAGGCAGTGAGTATACTCACGATATGGTTCAGTTATTCCCCATCCAGCAGTCATACATTTGGAAAGTAAATTTATTTTATCATATTTCCCTGGCAAACAGATTAAAGATACAAACTCTCCTAGAATGAGAAAAAGGCAAATATCATTTAGTCCATGGGATTAATATTATCTATATTGTTTGCTCTTCAATGATGGCTCTAAAACTAACCATTTTGATCTGACAGTACCCATTTTAACCTTGTAATTTAATAAATAAGGCTTCCAGAAGACTCCATTTATTAATTACTCATAAGGGGTCAACTCAGTTTGCATTTACCACTTTGTTCCAGGTATTACCATATCTTCCTAGAACAACAGAAACACATGCCCTGCATAGAAATGGTTTCTTATCCACTAACCATTTTATTTTTTAATTTTTAAAAATGTTTATTCATTTTTTGAGAGACAGAGAGAGACAGAGCACAAGCAGGGGAGGGGCAGAGAGAGAGGGAGACACAGAATCCGAAGCAGGCTCCAGGCTCTGAGTTAACTGTCAGCACAGAGCCCAATGTGGGGCTCAAACCCACGAAATGTGAGATCATGACCCAAGCCAAAGTTGGATGCTCAACCATCTGAGCCACCCAGGAGCCCTTCCACTAACCATTTTAAAAAATGCATCTGCCTTTTTTGTCCATGTGCCTTCAAGACATAACCTTGTTGAATATAACAGTGCAGAAGAATATAATTATCTTTTCTCTTCAATGGTATTACATGAAGGATGGAGAAAAAACACTTTTGTAGCAATTTAAACTTTTAAAGTATTTTTACAGCTAGTAAGTATCTTTGTATCTATCTTCCCAGGTGTATTATAAAATATATTGACATTTTTAAGCATTTAAATTTTTCTTATCTCCAAAATTTGTGTATATACAAAACATATTTGTATATATTACAAAATTATAAATATTGTGGGTTTATGTGTATGCCTATGCACACACACACACACAAACACACACACACTCTCTCTCTCTCTCTCTCTCTCTCTGAATGCAGTGCTCCTGTGTTTGCTCTCCCTTGTTCTTTGACTTCAATTTTATCCAGACTTTTGCACACTTAAATATTTCAACATATCTGCTGTCCTAGAACATTTATTTCAATGATTTTTTCTTTATTTTTACTGCTGTCTCTTAATAAAATCACATACAGCTCTGTAACTTGTTTTTTTTTTTCTTACTCTCCTTTCTATACACATGTCAACTGATTCCAAATCTTATGTTATGCTACCTTCACAGATAATCATTGCTCAATCATATTGTTTCCTGACAAATTTCCTCGCGCTAAAATATTTTCCCTCTACCAACATGTTTTTTTAATCAGGCATTTTTCTTATTCTGATTTTCTTCATTTACTAGATTATGGTCAAATCACCTACATCATTGCATATAGACCTATCATATTTCCTTTAGTAGTACACAGTATTAAATATTGAATGTAGTACAGTTTATTAAATCCCCTTGGCAAACATTTAGACTGTTTAATTTTTTTTCCCCTGAAAAGCTGCACCAAATGTCCTAGATCATCAATCTGTGCATTAGTGCCAGTATTTGTGGAAAACAGAATTGCTGGGCCAGGAGGCACACACTTTAGAAATTAACAGATATTGCCAAATTGCCTCATTTTGGGGACAAGAAAAAGAGGATGTATCAACTTATACTTATATATTCCTTATGTCAGGAATCTTGAAAATAGTTATGCCCTAAATCTAGCAATTCTACTTATGGGAAATTTATCTTGAGGCTATCCTAGACCTAGAAAAACACATACATAAGAAGAGCATTATTCAGCATTATTTAAATTAAAAAAAAGAAACAACCTATTTATAAGAATTGTGAAAAATCTACTATGTAGTCATTAAAATTGCATTTTGAAAGAAATTTTAAGAATACGAACCAATGCTGATAATAAGTGAAAACTCAGGATAAAACAAAACTTACAATAGGTATATTACAATTTTTTAAGTACACATAGAGTAGTATAAAAAGACAAGAAAGAAATAGGCCATAAATGTTCACATGATGGCCATGGTGAGGTGGTGAGGATGAGAATCACAGGTAGAAACTGTATTGTTTTGAATGGGAGAAAGGACATTTCTCACTCTTACCAATGAACAGAAAGGAATGGGTACAGATTAGATAAGCTAACTAAATACTTAGGGGGAAGAAGAACAGAAAGTTTCACGTTGATGTTGACACCAGGTGGTGCTGAGTGGAAGGCAAGATCCTTGGAGAACAAAAAAAAGGGGGGTATTTTTAAGAGCACCAAAACCTCACCAATGGTCCTTTCTAGAACACTGGTTCTCAACTTTGGTTGCGTATTGAAACTTCCAGGGGAAGTTTATAAAACACTAATCTAGATTCAGCAAAATCCAGGATACAAGATCGACATATAGAAGTCAATCACATTTAATGTAGAATTTAAAATGAAAAATAATACTAGTCGGGCATCAGGGTGGCTCATCGGTTAAGTGTTTGACTTCAGTTCAGGTCATGATCTCGCAATCTGAGAGTTCAAGCCCCACGTCGGACTCTGTGCTGATTTCTCAGAGCCTGGAGCTTGCTTTGGATTCTGTGTCTCCCTTTCTCTGCCCCTCCCCTGCTGGTGCTCTATCTCTCAAAGACAAAATAAACATTAATTTTTTTATTTTAAAAACCAATACTATTTATAATCACTGTTTAGAAAATGCAATGATTAGATATGTATATAGTTAGCAAAACATATACTGGATCTGTGCACTCAAAATGGCAATATTCTGGTGAAGGAAATCAAAGATGACCTAAATAAGTGGAGAAATACATTGTGTTCATGAACTGAAAGACTCATCATCATAAAGATGTCAGTTCTCCCCAACGTGATCTATATAGATTTAATGCAGTTCCTACCAAAATCACAGTAAGTGTCTTAGACGTAGATAAGCTTATTTTAAAATTCACATGGAAAAGGACAGGCCTTTGAATTGCTAAAACAATCCTGAAAAAGAATAAATTGAGAGCAATCACTTTTTAATATAAACCCTGCTCCACAGCTACAGTAACCAAGGCAGTGTGGTACTGGAGAAGGAGAGAGACATAGATTGACAGAATAGAGATCTCAGAAATAGACCCATACAAGTATATGTGCTCAGCTGATTTTTCACAAAGGCACAAAAGCAACTGATTGGAGGGAAAAGAGCCTCATCCACAGATGTTGCTGGCACAATTGGACATCCTGGGGGAAGAAAAAGAACCTTGACCAAAACCTTAAAACTTATACAAAAATTAACTAAAAATGGGTCGTGATGTTAAATGTAAAATACAAAAATTTTAGAAAAATAAGAAAAAAATGTTCAGCATGTGGGGCTAGGCAAGGAGTTCTTTGGCTTGACACTTGAAGCAAAATCTATAAAAGGAAAATGAAGAAAGTAGACTTCATCAAAATTAAAACCTAAGCTTTGTGAAAGACCCTGTTAAGAGGGTCTGCACACTGGGTGACAGGCTACAGACTGGAAGAAAATATTTGCTAACCATCTATCTGACAAAGCAGTAGTGTTTAGAATATATAAATTCTTAAACTCCACAATGTGAAAAACAATCCAAGAAAACTGACAAAAGCTGGGGCACCTGGGCAGATCGGTCAGTTGGGCGTCTGACTCTTGATTTAAGCTCAGGTCATGATCTCAGGGTCGTGGTATTGAGCCTTGTGTTAATATTCATTCTCTCTGTCCCTATCCCTCTCCCACGAGCTCGCTCTCTCCCTCCATCCTCTCTATTTGCCCCTCCACACCAGGTACAGGCACCCTCTCTGTCTCTTTAAAAAAAACAATGACCAAAGCTATGAAGAGCAATTTCACTGAACAGGTTAAAAAAAAAAAAAAGGCAAGTAGGCACACTGGAGAGATGTTCAGTATCATTGGCCATTAAGGAGATACAAATTAAAATTACAGTAAGATATCATTATATACCCATCACAATGCCTTTAAAAAAAAATAGTGACAAGAGCAAACACTTATGAGGATGTCGAGAAGCCAGATCACTCCTACATCTCTGTGGGACATACAATGGTTCCATGACTAAAAAATAGCCTGGCAGTTTCCTACAAAACTGAAACACAACTACTGTAAGACTCAGCGATGGTACTAGTGGGCATCTATCCCACAGAAATGAAAACTCCTGCTCAATTTTATTTATACAAAACCTACACACAAATGCTCACAGGAGCCTTATCTGTAATATCCAAAAGCTGGAAAAAAGGTGTTCTTCGACAGATGAATGGTGAAACTTTTACGAATGGTTAAACACCCATATCCTGGAATCCTACTCAGCAATTAAAAAGAATGAACTGTTGATACATGGACCAATATGAATAAATCTCCAGGGCATTATGCTGAGTGAAAAAAAGTTAATCCCCCAAATTTACATTCTGCATAATTTCATTTATATAACATTCTTAAAATGATGAAACTATAGAAACAGATTAGTCGGTTCCGAAGGTCTGGTGGGGAGGAGGAAATGAGCACTGCTATAAAAAGGCAACAGTATCACTTGTGGTAGTAGAAATGTTCTGTATCTTGACTGTATCAAAGTCAATACCCTGCAAGATGTTTCCATTGGTGAAACCAGGGTAGAAATACGTTGTTGTTTCTATTTCCTATAACTGCATGTGAATCTATAATTATCTCAACATAAAAAGCTTAATTAGGGGTGCAGGGGTGCCTCAGTCCATTAAGGGTGTTACTTTGGCTCGGGTCATGATCTCACAGCTTGTGAGTCTCAGGCCCACGTTTGGCTCTGTGCTGACAGCTCAGAGCCTGGAGCCTGCTTCGGATTCTGCATCTCCCTCTCTCTCTGCTCCTCCCCCATTTGCACTCTGTCACTCTCAAAAATAAACATTAAAAAATTTTTATTAAAAGCATTCAATAAGCAAAATAAGAACAACAAAACAAATACTGATGCCAGGTCCCTTGGCCTATGGTTTGTTTTATAAGCAACCCAAGAGATTATAATGCATAGCCAAGGTTAAGCAACACTGTTCTAGATGCTCTCACTGACTCAGGCAGAAAAGCACAGAAAGCAAATGGTGGGCTGAACTGTGACAGGGGTTGCAGGATGAAAATGGAGAAGACATTAAAGAGGGAAGTGAGACTATTAGCAGGGGAGCAGCCGAAGAATGCAGAAACGCAGGAGAGAGCTGGAAGAGAGCAGAAAAACTGTCCCAGGGCCCCCAGAAATCCACAGAAAGGCATGGGTGTGAAAGTGGGGACTGTTCACAGGCCTTAGTTCTGCTCCCTTCTATTTACTTTCTCGTTGAATGTGGACCCCTGCTAAGTAGGGAGGAGGGAGACTGTTACTCTCTTTCTACGCGTGATCAAGCTGAGACTCAGAGAAGTTACATAACCTGCCCAAGATCACACAGCTACTGTGTGACAGAGCCGAGATGAAAAATTCCTCACTACACGTTCACATCAGCCTTGGGTTAAACAAACATTAAAAAGGGGCGCCTGGGTGGCTTAGTGGGTCAAGCATCCGACTTTCGACTTTCGCTTAGGTCATGATCTCGCGGTTCGTGGGTTTGAGCCCCGCCTCGGGCTCTGTGCTGACTGCCAGCTCAGAGCCTGGAGCCTGTTTCAGAGTCTGTGACTCCCCCTCTCTCTGACCCTCCCCTGCTCACACTGTCTCTCTCTCCTAGAAATAAATAAAAATAAAAATAAATAAATAAATAAACATTAAAAAATAACAAGACCTTACCAAGTCATGAAAGGCACAGAAAAATTGCACATCTGATAGTTCAACTCCTGTTTTAAGTATTTAGGTAAACCTCCCCTAAAAGTGAGTCTCAGAGTCCAGAGGACATGTTAAAAACATATTTCTATGGCACTGTCGACTTCCATCAGTTAAAAACATATAAAAGTAACATGTTTAAGCAGGTGTTTCAGCTTTTAGGGAAAGTAGCTTAGAATATAAGAAAGTTTTGAAATAATTATTGGTCTTCCAAAGTATGCATAGCATTTCTAAGCAAGATGGGAGATAAAAACTGTGTGGCAAAGGTTCAAAACCTAGAGAAGAATTATCCATACTGACCTAGCTCAACAGGTTTTTCCAGATGCAGCAAAGACAGATCATCAGTAGGAGGGAACTGGGTGAAGCCAGGGTGAGTGTACACGGCTTTCACTGGTATCAAATCACCATTTCCTATGTTGGACAGGGAACTTCTTCCTATTACTAGGCCATCTGTGACCGTACTTGTCATAAGAAAAAGGAGTGGGGAAACAGACACCATGTTTAGTGAGGTTATAGTTTTTCAAAATTACTAAAAGTATATTGTCTAACATTTCTAATCTATGTTAAAATCTTTGTTATCTTGAATTCTTAGAAAATGGGGGTTTCTTATTAATTCATCCTTGAGAAAAAGTATCTACTTTCTGGCTTTCATAACATCAAACAAACAAAAAAAATTGATTTAGTATTGCTTGACAAAATTTGTGACATCTCAGGGCAATGATTCCATGTATTATTACATTCATAATATTACACATTATATGTTATACGTATATAATGGTCACTAGCACCTATTCTGAAAGTTATAGTTACTCTTCTCCCTAATACAATGCTTCTCAAAGAAATGTCTAGGAGCCACATGCATTAAATCTGGCATGTGCATTATAAATGCAGAATCCCAGACATAACTCATCAAATCAAAATTCAGAATTAAGATTCTAAGATTCCATTTATAGCAAACTCCCCAGGTGATTCTCAGCGCATGAAAGTCTTAAAACTGCTTTAATAAGGAGAACTTCTTGTGATTTCTATCAAAGGAGTGGGGGGAGGGGTGGTGGTAAGAAAATGAGTTTATCTTTTTAATGTTTTTATTTTGTATTTTTTGAGTGAGAGAGAGAGAGTGTGAGCAGGGGAGGGTCAGAGAGAGAGGGAGACACAGAATCCGAAGCAGCCTCCAGGTTCTGAGCTGTCAGCACACAGCCTGACGCGGGGCTCGAACCCAAGAACCATGAGATCATGACCTGAGCCGAAGTCAGACCCTTAACCGACTGAGCCACCCAGGCGCACCCTAGAAAATGAGTTTTTGATTCGTTGAAGGTTCCTGCTCACCAAGTTATTTGAGCAGATACTTGTATTAGAAAGCCTATCATTGAGACGCTGAAACACTAGATCTACTCACTTAACTGTGGGCCATTGTGAAGTGCTGCCAACCATATCTCTACTGCTGGGAGACCAGTATTAAAAACACCAAGATAGGTGCGCCTGGGTGGCTCAGTCAGTTGAGCGTCCAACTTCAGTTCAGGTCATGATCTCACCGCTCGTGGGTTCAAGCCCGATGTCGGGCTCTGTGCTGACAGTTCAGCCTGGAGCCTGTTTCAGATTCTGTCTCCCTCTGTCTCTGCCCCTCCACCACTCACATTCTTTTTCTCGCTCTCTCAAATAAACATACTAAAAAGATTTTAAAATATAACAAAAACATCAGTCTAACACTTCTCTGAGGAAGGAGTTTTCAGATATCTCCATCTCACATTGAGACCAAGATTCAGCTAAAATTTTTTAAAAATGTTTCTTTTAAAGGACTTCTTTAAAAACCTTTGGAAGTAGATATTTGAGAGTGGATGTGGTGATCAGTAATCAGAGCAAGAAGGAAAGGAATGCACATTTGAGCAATGCCTGTGCTCTAGATACAGTGTTAAGAAATCAACATAAGGGGCATCTGGGTGGCTCAGTCAGCTAAGTGTCCGACTTTGGCTTAGGTCATGATCTCACTGCTCATGGGTTCGAGCCCCATGTCAGGCTCTGTGCTGACAGCTCAGAGTCTGGAGCCTGCTTTGGATTCTGTGTCTCCCTCTCTATCTGCCCCTCCCCTACTCATGCTCTGTCTCTCTCTCTCAATAATAAACAGATGATTAAAAAAAATTTTTTTTAAAAAGAAGCCAATATAAAAATGTTAAGATATGTCCATTTTATAGATGAGGAAAGATAGGGGATTGTTGTTCCTTGTTAACTAAATTATACCTAAAGGCAGGAAGCACCTTCTATATTTAAAAGCTCTTAGTAGTAAATGTATTAGTGAAACGTGAAGTGTCATCCAGATACTATGCTCATTCATTTGCATGATGGGGACTGCATCATCGGCAGCTGTTTCCTGTGATGCTGGGGGGGGGTGGGCAGGAGGACACCCGTTGTGGGCCCTCATGCCGCTCTGGTGCCCCCTGCCCCACACCGGCCCACACCTGAAGCTGCAGTGCGCCGCTGTCAGGACCCACTGCTTCGCGATCAGAGCCCCTCCGCAGAAATGTTGTCCTTGGTGCTGCAGACTGACCAGCCAGGGCCATGACTTTGCAGGTGCTGCAAGGCCACCAACCACCCTGGGCGCCCCAAGCCCAGTGGGCAGCATGTTTGTGTTTCTCTCAGACCCTTCCATTAGAAACGGGTCAACAGCTGGAATTCCACATGTGTCTTGGGGTGGCTGTTTTCCAGGACTGTTTTCTACTGTGATCTCTGAGAAAAGTAACAAGAAAACATTAGATAGAAATGCTTATTTAAATCTATTAAAATCTCACAATGGAGGTGTTTATTTCTTTTGTAGGTCAGAAACTAGGAATCTTAGGGGCACCTGGGTGGCTCAGTTTGTTTAACGTCCAACTTCGGCTTGGGTCATGATCTCACAGTTTGTGGGTTCAAGCCCCACAGTGAGGTCTGTGCTGACAGCACAGAGTGTGGAGCCTGCTTCAGATTCTGTGTCTCCCTCTTTCTCTGCCCCTCCCCTGCTCATGCTCTGTCTCTCTGTCTCTCAAAAATAAACAAACATTAAAAAAAAAAAAACACTAGGATTCTTAGCAAGAGATCAGATTCCTCTTTTCTTTCATTTCTTTTAAAATGAGCAAAAATTAATGAAGTTAACTAAAGTATTAATATAGACAAACCAAAACAAATTGATTTAAAAAATATTACGCTTCATCATGAAATTACTAGACATTGTTCTTTCTTTGGCATTATGTGTGTTATCCTAGGATAATACATCTAGACATACTAAAACACTTAATACTATACGTATTCCAAGTGAGACTTATATATAAAGGAAAATCATAAAGAAAATTTCTAGGATTGTGTTTACTTCATTCTCAGATTTAAAAAGAAATCCACCAGGAAATTAAAAACAAGAGACTTTTACAAGTATATCCTGAAGATGAAAATTAAGTAAACTCTCTCAGGGCCTATAATTTGGGAATTATAAGATATGCTTATTTGTAAAGTTCCTTACTTGAAATTTCTTTTTTACACCAGAAATCCATTCATTCATTCAATTTTTGAGAGAGCAAGAGAGAGTATGAGGGAGGGAGGGCCAGAGAGAAAGAGAGAGACAGAGAAAGAGAGAGAGAGATTGAGGGAGAGAGAATCCCAAGCAGGCTCTGCACTGTCATCACAGAGCTCAACACAGGGCTCCATCTCAGGAACCATGAGATCATGACCTGAGCCCAAATCAAGAGTCTGACGCTTAATGGACTGAGCCACCCAGTTGCCCCCCGCTGGCATTTTTTAAATAGCAACTGCCTTTTATGTTTATCATTATTTCTTAAGTAGCAAAATGCCCTGGATTTTTTAAATAGCAACTGCCTTTTATGTTTATCATTATTTCTTAAGTAAAATGGCACACACATACACTTGCACACACCGCAATTAACTATTGCCTCACATGATCTATCCAAACTACCAAGGTCTTGTGCTTTAAGAAGTGGTTTGAAATGAAACTATATTGGTTTGAGTATCAAAGCAGATGACTACCAAGGAGCCTATAACCAGTGTTCCACGGGTTCTACTTTGACATATATGGTCTCTGCTTTAATAAATATATTTAAATCATTACTTACCATCGACAAGCAGTTGGGTCCCCATATTACTTTCTTGTGAATGCTTCCGAATTGTGTCTTCCAAAATAAGTTTAAAACCTCTTTCTCCCACAGACCAATCAGTCTTAAAATTCAGAGTCAGGTAAGCACCACTGGATATTAAGACAAGTTCTTTCTTGGAACCACAAAAATGTGCTGCAATATGAGATATATTCAATAATTAAAATAGTTCTTCTGGGCAGTAACATAGGAAAAAGAGGGCAAAAAGGAGACATTAAATTCTAAACTGTTAATATTGGTAAAGGGATGATTATTGATAATGCAAGGTCAAGGTTTATGGGATGGAGTTCATGATTTGACTGCAGCAGAGGAACGGTATAGATTTTAAAAGATCAAAGGGAAAAGACTAGGCTAGCATTTGATATGAAAATGATATACAACTCCATGATAATCCACAATCATAAGAATGAGAAAAGAGGCTTGCTGGTGAAGGTAAATGGACAGAGAAACAAAAGTAACAGGACAATGTTCTGGACCGAATGCTTGTGGCCCCCAACTCCACTGCAAATTCATAGGTTGAAATCCTAATTCCAAATGTGATGGTATTGAGGAGGTGAGGCCATCAGGAAGTGGTTAGGTCATGAGGCTAGAGCCCTCATGAATGGAACTAGTACCCTTAGAAGGGAGACCCAGAGAATCTCTCACTACTTTTTTTGCCACGTGAGGACAGAGCAAAAAGATAGCTATGAATTAAGAAGGGAGTTCTTACTAGACACCAAATCTTGGACTTCCAAGCCTCCAGAACTGTGAAAAGTAAATGCTTGGATTTTAAGCCACTCTGTTTACAGTATTTTTGTTACAGCAGCCCAAACTGGCTGAGACACACAGGCTGCCCAAATGCAGCCTTAATGATGACCCTTTCTTAATTCAGAAACACAAAAGTTGTTACAAAGGTGGTCCTGACAGTGACAGTGATAAGACATCTGCTGTACTTTAACTGTATATGCTACAATTTAAGTTCTCTCAGGATAAAACAGTGATACACCATTGATTTGCCTTAAAGATAATGTTATCTCACAAATCTGAGAAAGAAAGATAGGGAATCAGGGAATAGTTAACCTCCACATCATTCTTCTTCTCTTCAATGAATCTGAGTCATGAACTGGATTTGATGGGCAACTTTTGGGATGCTCTATGTCAAGGAAAAGGACTCTGGGGCAGAGTCAACATCATGCCAGAAGTTTTAAAATAATGTAAGTGGAGAAAATGTTACTGATTTAAAAAAAAAAAGATTTGGAGATGCGGGTAGATGAGGAGAAGACAGAGAAAAACAAAATATAGGATTTCTGAAGTCATTTATCAATGAAATGGTGGAGCTTAATGCTTAGAGACACAGATTCTATAGCCAAACTGCTGGTTTAGACTAGCTCTGCTATTTCCTAACTATGTGGCCCTGGGCCAATTTATTTAACATCTCAGCCTCAATTTTTCCAGCTGTATAATAGAGATAAAAATTATATTCAAATGGGATTATATGAGTTGGTATTTGCAGAGTACTTTAAGTGCTTTTAAATAAAAATAAACCTCAGCAAAATCTTTCAGCAAATTATTAGACAGATGGTTGTTGAACATGTGGAGAAGGAATCCGTGGTCATGAGAAGCCAGCAAGGGATTCTTAACATGTCACATTCAAGTAACCTAATTTAATTTTTTTGAAAGAGCTAATTAGATGATGGCTAAGGGGAAGGAGATAAACTTAATGAATCTTGATTGCAGTGAAGCACTTAATAAAGTATCTTATGATATCGTTGTGAACAGATAAAAAATGTAAGTAGATAATTATATGGCTAGGACATTTCACAGTTGATTAAACAGATTAAATAACCGTACAATGTTAACCTGGAGGGAAGGTCTTAATGGTGTGGATATGACTCCATCCTTGGTTCTGTCAAATACAGTATTTCTATTAAAAACTTAGAAATACAGGGCGCCTGGGTGGCTCAGTCGGTTGAGTGTCCGACTTCAGCTCAGGTCATGGTCTCACGGTTCGTGGGTTTGAGCCCTGCATCGGGCTCTGTGCTGACAGCTCAGAGCCTGGAGCCTGTTTCAGATTCTGTGCCTCCCTCTCTCTCTGATCCTCCCCTGCTCATGCTGTCTCTATCTCTCTCTCAAAAATAAATAAAATACTAAAAAAAAAAAAACCTTAGAAATACAACACATTTATAAAATGTGTAGGTTTAAAATGGGTGCCTAGATGAGAAGGAAATAGTGTCAATATATAATCTTGGAGATCATTTAGTTCAATCTTTCATCTGACAGTGAGTCCTTGCTAAAATAACCCTGAACATATGATTATTCACCTTGAAGATATGACGTAGAACCCTGTGAGCATTTTCTCATTTTTAATGGTTCTAATTGCTAGACACAATCTTTTTGTGACTTGGTTTCTTTATATTTAAAATGAGGATAAATGTAAACTACCTCTAGAGGATAGTTAAGAAAATTAAGCTGAGAACAAACTGAGGGCTGATGGGGGTGGGGGAGGAAAGGGGGATGATGGGCATGGAGGAGGGGCACTTGTGGGGATGAGCACTGGGTGTTATATGGAAACCAACCTGACAATAAACTATTTAAACGAAAAGAAAAGAAAATTAAGAGAGTCATACGTTCTTAGGACTGTCCCTGAATAATGGTAAATATTCAATAAGTATTAGATATCATCAGGCAGAACAAACTTCATAGATGGCCTGAGAGTCTCTGGGAGAATTCTGTAACTACTGGAAAGGAAGATTTATGATCCTTCTGTCTTCTCCAAAGTAAACACTCCCTAGTGCCCGCACCCTTCAGCATCCTGGTCATTGTTCTCTGTGTTTGTTTCAGTGTTCCCATTTGTCAGTGTTCCTTAAAATTGTTGCTTGACTAAGGTTACTATTTAATAACCAGAATGGCAGGGGTAACAGCCAGGCAGGTTAGACACTGACTGTAAAGATTCCGAGGCTGAGCTAGTGCATGCCCGCTAAGTGCCAACACTAAATTTAATACAAGGGGACAGATTCCCTTTACCTGTAATCCTTTACTAACACCGCGCTGAGGTTTTGTCATTTGACACCTCTACAATTTTTATTGCAAACATCCTGCTTTCTAAATCACCACCTCCTATCTATCCAACTTATCAGTGTTTCTCTACTATCACTGTTTGATTTCACCATGACCTGCTAGCCATCAATCCCATAAACTTTCTAAATCTAGCAGCCTCTAAGAAAGTGAAAGATTCTGTGGTAAAGGGATGCAGAGAAATGGGGTAATAGCTAAATTTCTTGTTCGATTTTGTTTAAAAGAATGGGTAATACTGGAACGTGTTTGAAACTGATGAGAGTGGTAGAGGGGATGGATGATAACTGAGAGAGGGTTAACTAGAGGAAATTTCTAAGGAGCTAGTAAGTTTTAACTTTTCATCTCTAGCCCAATCTTTTCCTCTAGCTCAAGAGCTCTACCTTTAGCTACCTATTGCCAACTCTACCTGGTAGAGTATTATACCATTAAGAATTTAACGTGGCCCAAACAGATCTCTCCCCGTGAATCTGTTTCTTCCTCTAGTATTCCCCATCTCTGTAAATGCCACCATCTCCAACCTGTCACTCCAGACTAATCCTTGATTTGCACCTTTAATTCCATATGCAATTCACCCAGAAATCCTATGAATTCTGTCTCCAGATCTGTCCACTTCACTTGTACTCCACAGTTGACATCCTTTCATAAGGCAGCATCTATCTTTTGTCTAAAACAGATACTAATAGGGCATTCTGCAATGATGGAACATTCTGAATGAGACTGTCCACTATTACATGTAGTAACTGAGCACTTAAATATGGCTAATACCACCTTTTATTTAACTAATTTAAATGTAAATAACATCATGAACTGGACAGTGCAGATGTAGAATAACACAAAAGCCTCATAACTTTAGAGACAGTTCACCCTGTCACCCTAAAATTTACTCCTGATCCAGCAGCTAGAGCATCCTTCAAATTACTCCCTTGCCAAAAAACCTTTAATGACCTCCCCTTGGATTGGAACAAAACCCAAAGTCATTGCCATAGCCTGAGCTGCACAGTGGCAAAGCCTCCATCTCACCTTATTCCCATCTGTCCTCACTCAGTCTCCAATCACTCTGATGCCTGACAGTTACCCAGCTTACCAAGCTTTCCCCAGATTCAAGGCCATTTTCTCAGCTATATCAAATATTTACTATGTGTTGGGTAGTACTCTACTCACATACTGGAGATACAGTAATAAAGATGAAACAGTCCTGCTCTCAGGCCATTTTCATTCTGATGGCAGGAGACAGATTATTAACAAATACATACTTTGCTAGGTCATGATGAATGCCAAGAAGAAGAGATGGAGGAGGCCTGTTTCCCTCATGTGACAGAGGTCTTAGATAAGGTAACATTTAAACATTAGATACCTAAATGAACTGAACACATATACGTACCTTTCCTCTACAACTTAATTCCTTCAGATTATTTTTTAACAATTATTTTCAATTATTTGATTGTTTATTGTTATCTCATATTATCATTTTCTTATTTATTCCCTGTCTTCCCAAGAGAAGATGGCAGAGATCATTTCTGACTTGTTCACTACTGTATGTCCACTGTGCCTAACCCATTGGGAAGTGCTTAATAATAAATGAATTTAACCTGTACATTTAATCTAGTATTTACTAGTTACTGATACCTTACACTCGTAGGATAGGTAAATGAAAGAAGACCAGATGAACCTTAATTTTGATAATTTATTTTCATTAAGATATTATAAAAGTATTGCAATGGAAACTATTTGGATGCTATATACTACTCCATTTACACTTACACAAGTAACTAAAACCTATTAACTAAATAGGTGTTACTACTTAGGAATTCTACTTAAGTAAATAGAAAGATTTATTAAGAAAAGATAATGTGGTTCCATATACAGGATAGTCCTTCTAACTAGGTGGGAGGGAGATTGGCAATGGGGTTCTATGCTCACTAGTTTACAAATGATTACATAAACTGTATGTTTCATGGAAATGAAATTATATAAATATGTAAAATTGTATTAAATAAAATTGCATGCACTACCAAACTATTTGTAGCTTCCTTATTTTTATAGAGAGATATAGAAGCTAATTATCAAAATATAAGTAGTCATATTTATAATCATTTGACATTTCTGAATTTTTTATTTATTACAAGTTTTAAAGAAGAATAACGCTGCCAGATTGAAAGATACTAAAAAATAAAAAAGAGAAAAGTTGCCCCTGACATTCAGAAATGGGTTTGGTGGGAGTGCCTGGGTGGCTCAGTTGGTTAAGTGTCCAACTTTGGCTTAGGTCATGATCTCACATTTTGTGGGTTCAAGCCCCATGTAGAGTTCTGTGCTGACAGCTCAGAGCCTGGAGACTGCTTCAAATTCTGTGTGTGTGTGTGTCTCTCTCTGCCCCTCCCTCGCTGGTGCGTGTGCGCTCTCTCTCTCTCTCTCTCTCTCGCTCACGCTCTCTCTCTCAAAAATAAACATTAAAAAAAAAGACACGGGTTTGGCACTCACAGTTAGACCATATGCTGTTGTACATAAACAATCTCACAGAACATCAGCGTAAGATAGGACTCTTTGAATCTATGATAAGGTGTGACAAAACACAAGGTCACGTGCAACCCCCAAAATATCAAACATCGACCTCTCTTGGCTAAAATGAGGGCTTGCCACTTCTTTTCCAAATGCAGTTTTACCCTTGTTGGAGTCAGTCCTCCCTATGATTGAGATACTAATCATAAAATTACTCCACTTCACACCAACCAATCTCAAGCAAAGTCCTTAGACCCTCTCCAAAGCCCAAATCCTATACTAGGTTCTTTCTAACTCTCTCTCTTACTGAGATACCACCATGGTGTGATCCTGAGGTCTTTGGCTGTAGAACTTGGTGAGAGTTAAGTTACAGGGTCTGATGCTATAGATACCTCATATTAATCTTAAGAGCTGAGAGCCTGAAATGTTGTATCTGATGCCCCCACACCAGTTGCTTGAAATTCTCTGATAGGAACTAAATTGATTGATAAGAAAAAGTTAGGTACCTTTAGAATTTCAAAGCAAATTGCTGAGCTTGCTGGTGTTATAAATTACATGATCTCACAGTAGAGATCAGAGTCCCAGAAAAAGATAGTATTAAAACTTTCCTCTTGCTCTTTGGGATAGGTAGATTGTAATGACATCCTGAGGAGAACTCACTGGAGACTGAAGAAGGTGATGCAGTATTGGATTATAAAATCTTTGGAAAAGTTTTCTTCTATGAGTCAGTCTCAGAGCAGGATATTGCCTGACATTCAAGTGTGATGGACATCATATGGTCAATAAACCTCTGAAGATTATTCAAGCTAATTGGCCTTTTTCACCTTTTATTTTACCCTGGGTCTAAAAAGGGCCACTATTACTGTGAGGATGAAACCTGAGTAAACATAGTTTCAAAAAGTTACCTAAAAATGCAGTGCACTAATTGAACCCTTAAATTATAGGACCTTCTGAGGAAAACAAAACAAAACAAAACAGAATTAGATTGCCCCCTAATGGTAAAATGAGATAGGAATCAGCTAAAATCAGGAAGAACTGAAGTTACAGGTAAAGATCCAGTGAGTGTGGTCCAAGTTCATCCCATTGTGCTCAATCAGTACTGCTCTGGGATCCTGACGAAGAATCTCATGAAAAATCACTGACCACAAATTACATGTTCCCCAAGATAAATGTAGGTCCACATATATGTATTATATAAATGCCACTTAATGTAGACTATTTAAGAAAGATCAGTTTACCAAGTAATCTTGATTGCTGATCTGGTCCATCATAAATACTGACATAATCCCATTCACAGTTCCAAGATTCTTCTGTTATAAAGTCTTTAATCACTGCCTTCATTTTACTTCCTGACACGGAATAAAAAGTCCAAGTGCAGTTCAGCATGTTGGGATAAATGTGAGGATAATTGGGAGATGTGATCTCAGTAGAACTAACGGGAATCAAATCCAATACTGGACATCCTTGAGGCAAAAAGAAAAAAAATATTTAACACAATACTCAAGGAGTGCAGTTATTTTCTGAGTCTAGTTGTAATGACTACAATGAGGTTATTACAACCTAAACTGCAGTGTACTTTAATTAATTTCTGTCACTCCTTCTTTGTACCCACAGTTCCAAATGACTTTTGTTTTGAAAAACCGATGGACTCCTTCAGAATAAGACAGACTGAACTTCTTTGACTTCGGTTCACAAAGTGTGAACCACTAAATCACCCACATCTATAGTTCAATGTAGTTTTGTTGCTTATATTTAATATACAACCTTATTTAATATTCAGAATCATGAGAAATAGATTTTATCATCTTCAGTCCACAGATGAATGATCTATCACTTTGATATTCAATAGATCTGTCCTAAGACTTGTAGGACTTGCCCAGGTTTGCAAATGCCACAACAATATTTCATTTCCCACACAGTGCCAGGAAAGATAACTCCAACACCACAAAGTGGGAGCGGAGAACAAAGGAAGAAGGTTGAGAAACTGATCTGGGTACTCGGTTAGATTGAATTCCTGAATAAATTATGTGCTCCTAAAGTTCAGCCTCACGGCATGTACCATTCAAGTGTAAACATTTATTAGGGAAATTTGGATCACTTTCAGATAGGTGAAATGCATAAATTAAGATTCATAAGAGTTAAGTGGCTATCCCAAAAAGAGAACTGAAGAATTCAGTGACATTTGGGGCCTACTCCAAATGTCACAGGTATCATCTAACCTAAAATTAATTCTATCCAAAAATTGATTTACTTCATCAGTAATCTTATCATCTTAGTTTCACTCTGCAATGGTCCAGCAAAGAAAAACAGGGAAAATATATATGTAATCCAAAAGATAAAATATATGGGAAGAATGGCAATGAACAGACTTCAAATAGCTACAAGGATTCCATAGACAAAACAGGTGTGTTTCTCACCCATTATTTGAATACGGTGCTACCTCCTCACCCTTTATTCCCTAATGTGCCCCAGGTCTCCACAACTCCTAAAATTTGGTATAAGGAAATTAATACAAATAAATATGTTACTATAACGTGACTAGAATCAAGCCACAAATACCTGAAAGTTTTTGACAAGTCAGAGTACACTTCTTACTAAATTGCGTTTAACAGCAATCATTTTCCACTCTATTTTCACAATATCATATAATGAAAGCCAAGCCAACTGGATTCCTTATCACCTTTTATGGTCTTACCTTGATCATTATTTTTCCCTCTCTTGGAATCTAGAATAAGAGAATATTCAGTGTCAATGCACCCAACTAAATACTTTATATTCCTTTATTCTTCTGATTATAAAAGTGATACATGCACCTTGCAAAAAATTTCAAAATACAGAGAAGAGAGTCCAAAGAAGATAAAAAGTCTCTTGTAGTCCCACCCAGTAAGTAACCAATATTCATGTTTTAACATAAATCTGGCAAAGTCTTTCCTATGAAATATATACAACTTTTAAAAAAGTTGTATACCACTTTACACCATTAAAACCATTTTCCGCCACTTAATTTATTGTGACTATTTTTCCATAATATTAAAAATTTCGGATAAATTTTAATGATTCTATGTTTTTGATCCACGTAGATGTAACATAATTTATACAGATATATTTTAATTTGTAATTTCAAACTATGAATGATGAGTCAGATCTTTAAAAACTATACATGGGGTATAATTTTGCTATGATTGGAAAACATCTACACTAAAGGTTTTCTATGTTTATCTGACATAGAAATTGAGTATATGTAATAAAAGCATCCTGAGTTGACACCTCATACACTGGCTCTCAGCCGGAGGATTCCCATAAGCAAATGGATGCATTTCTTACCCGTTCACTAGATGTGGAGCTACCTCCTTACCCTCTTCTCCCTAATCTGCCCCAGCTGAAATGCCATTTCCTTTATTTAAATAATTGTTGCACACCAACTATTTACTAGGCATGGCTGTAGGTTTTGGAAATAACTGCAATGGGGCATGTTCGGTGGGACTGAGGAACAGCAAGAAGGGTGGTGTGCCAATGCAGAGTGAACATTGGGGGAAATGGTAGAAGAACTGAAGGAGGTAGCCGAGGTCCCAATCATACAGCATCTTGTAGGCCACTCTAAGGACTTTGAATGAGTTGAGAAAATACTGGAGGATTATATGCAGAGGAGCTATTTTATTCATTTTAAAATAGTCATTCTAGCTGTTATGAATAAAGCGGACTAAACAAAGGCTGCTTGTATAAGGATGCTATGGTAGAACTGTTGGGAACTACTTGCTGACAAGCTCACAGATTAACTATACACAAAATGGGATATGAGAAGATAAGGCAAGAATGACCAAGATCCTTAGCTTGAGCAATTAATTAATAAATGGGAGTTGTCATCCACTGAGATGGGAAAGATTGCTGAAGGAAGGAATTTGGAGGCAGAGTAAGAAATCCAGAGTTTCATTTCGGTCACATTAAATTTGAGATGCTTATTAAATATCCAAGTGGAGAGGGAGGTAACTGGTGATACCGTGCTGGAGGTCAAAAATAAAAAAGAATTTGGAACTACATTTGGGAGTTATCCATATTGATGGTATTGAAAGCTAGGGATTGGGTGAGGTCACTAAGGAGTGAGTACAGGCAAAGAAGAAATGAGAGTCAAAGACTGGGTCCGGGGACACCTCTACCTTTAGTGGCAGAGAAAACAAAGAGCAGCCAGCCAAGGGACTCTGAAGGAGATGAGTGAGGTAAGAGAACGCAAGGAGAGTGGTTTCCTTGAGGCCAAGACAAGTAGATTCCAAAAGGAAGGTGAGCTTATCTGGGTCAAATGCTGTGGGGCTGAGAAGGAACTACTAGATCTGGACTTGCGGACATCATTGGTAACTTTGATAAGACTGATGCCTGTGGAATGGTAACAAAAAAAAGCCATTTGGGAATGGATTTAAGAAAAAAAAATGAGAGAGCAAAAGAGGAGACAGTGAGTAGAAATAAATTTTATGCCTTTTGTGATAAGAGAACAAAGAGAACCCTAAGTTTTCCTACAATTCCATTGCCATCCTTTACCAAACTAAACAGGATCCCTCCATTGTATATTATTCTAGCATATCATATTTTTCCTTCAAAACAGTAGTTTTTTCACTCTATATTTTTCTGTATGATTATTTGATTACTGACTATCTCCTTGACTATAAACTCTACTAGGGCAAGGACTGTTGCCAGACTAAATTAAATACTGTTAGTAGAAAGGTCTCTCCAATTGTATCCATTTACATTTTTATTATTATTTTTTTTTGGACTACAAGCAATTTTTCAAGTTTTAATATGTTAACATTATTTAAAAAAAAAAAAAAGAAAGATCCTTACTTTAGGTTATGTCACAAGCTGAATGGGGAAAATATCTTCAGTCTTGCTCAGATCTTAACCTTATTTACTTTTTTTTTTTTTTACAAAGTCAAATTAGTTTCCACATAACACTCAGTGCTCATCCCCACAAGTGTCCTCCTCCATGCCCATCCCCCCTCCCCCCTCCATTTACATTTTTTTAAATGTTTTTTTTTATTTATTTATTTCTAGGAGAGAGAGAGCGCGAACAGGGGAGGGTCAGAGAGAGAGGGAGTCACAGACTGAAACAGGCTCCAGGCTCTGAGCTGGCAGTCAGCACAGAGCCCGACGCGGGGCTCGAACCCATGAACCGCGAGATCATGACCTAAGCGAAAGTCGGACGCTTAACCAAGCCACCCAGGCGCCCCATCCATTTACATTTTTAATGAGTATAGATGGATTAATCTTTTACTAACATTTTATTTACTTTAGAGAGAAAGAGAGGAGGGGAAGGGGCAGAAAGAGAATAGCAACAGAGAGTCCCAAGCAGACTCCACACACAGTATGGAGCCTCACTCGGGGCTCAAACTCATGAACTATGAGATCATGACCTAAGCTTAAATCAAGAGTTGGACACTTAACTGACTCAGCTACCCAGGTGCTCCTGCATTGATTAACCTTACAGTTGAAGTAATTCTAATAACTGTTCAGAATTAAATCCAAGTTGCAAATGTTTTCTCCATGATATCCAATTTCTATAATTTGCAATAGTTCTAGATTAATAGTTCTCAATTTTCATAATGCTATCGGTGTCTTCACCCAAACCACAGGAATGTTGGTCAAGGCATATTTTTAAATAATCAGACTGCAACCAATATGAATAAACTATCCACCAAACAAATGAAAAAGAACTAATTGCTCTTGATATTAGCACACTAAGGACATTAATTTCAAAAGAGAAAAACTATTTGACACTTTCATGCTAAGGCTAAAAGTTTCCTACTATATTGTTATAATCATCTAAATATCCAGAAAAATCGACAAAATTCTTAGGTGTTATAAGAAAAAATGATAAATCTGATTTAAAAACCCTTTTTTAAAATGTTTGTTTATTTTTGAGAGAGAGAGAGACAGAGTACAAGTGGGGGAGGGACAGAAAAAGAGGGAAACACAGAATCAGAAACAGGCTCCAGACTCTGAGCTGTCAGCACAGAACCTGATGTGGGGCCCCAACTCATGAACTGTGAGATCGTGACCTGAGCTGAAGTCGGATGCTCAACCGAATGAGCCACCCAGGCGCCCTTAAATCTGATTGATCTTACACTTTATAAAGGTTTAGCTTGAGGCCTCCACAAATTGCAGAAGTCACATTTTAAACACTGTCTTTTCTTCTCCCGTAAAGCTAATAAAATAAAGAATTCAATGTTTATTTAATGATAGATTTTTCCTAATAAAGCACAAAACAAACAAAACATATTCATAAACATCTATGAAAGCAATAGACTTACCAGGAATATGAAAAGAATATCTCAAAGAAAATTCTTCCTCAGCCAAACTGACATTGTATGTGAAAATCAACATCATTAGAGGACCATGAGATTTTAATGAAGGTGAATTTCCTTCACATAATTTTCCTGGCCCCAAATAAAGAAAAACACAAAGAAGCATACAAAAACTTATTATTCATCAAAGCTAAGGTTACTGAACAAAGTAAGAGAAAAAAATCCTGTTTTTGAAATTATAAATTTATACCATCTGCACTCCCAAGAATATAAAAATGAGAAAATTAAGCAGAATAAAACCCAGTTAGAATAGAAAGAAAGATGTTCCAGATTCCTGGAATCTAAGTAGTTCTAAGGACGGGGTCCAAAACCAAATAGAACACAGGACCCAGTTCTTACAATGTCTGGAAATAAGCTAGGTAGAACTCTTTATTTTTTTTTAAAGATTTTTTTTTATTTTTAAGCAATCTCTACATCTAATGTGGGGCTTGAACTCACAATTGTGTGATCAACAGTTGCATGCTGCACTGACTGAGCCAGCCAGGCACCACTAGGTAGATTTCTTTTAAGTGATGTATTATAAAAGGAAAGACAACGAGGTCTAGCTAATCCTCAGGGAACTAAAACATTATTCTTGTCACCAGACTGAAATAATCATATATAGGGAATATGTTTGAGACGCAGCTACATATAACTCTCATTTACCTACAGCATAACTAAATGAGTAAGAGGCAAGGTATAGCAATTAGCTTACTTCTCATGACCAACCATTTCTAACTTTAAGTGATCATACATAGTATTTTCTGAAACAAACATTTCTAAGGAAGGTAGTTTGCTCTAACACTCAATAGTATCAAGGCTTCAAGTCAATGATTCTAAGAATTAAGTTTTTCACTATTACAGAGAAACTCTGCCCTTTTTAGTAAACAGATGTCCATGGGATCAATTTCATTGTGACAAGAAACAAAATAAGAGATTTAATTCAGATTGCATAGTAACCTATATGAGAATATTCACTAACCCTTCTTGTGAAAAGAGACTAATGGTTAATCTAGGGCTTTATGCTCTTAAGATCACATGGGTCAATAGTTTGTCATTTCTTGGAAAATGAACAGAATAAAAATCAAAGCTTTGGAGACTCTGGTTTTAACTTGAAATTTAATCACAGCTGCAACAAAAATATTGGAGCCTATACATTTATTTTTAGAGATCTGAAAATTTTTAATCCTGATTTGTTAACATTCCCTATGTTATTTACCTTAAACTTTTTTCAGAGCTGTTGAAAATTTCAGGCTTATTATTTATTTTGAAATTTTGTTCCTATTGAGGCAGAAAAGTTTTTAATTACATAGGAATTTATCAATAATTATTTGTTTCTTATATTGTTTTTATAGGAGAAGGTCCTTCTCCGTCAACAGATATTTATCATGTTTTTCTACTTTGTATGGCTTAAGAAAAATGCTTAACTCTTTAGCTCTTGTACAAAATTATTAAAAATATAATTTATATCTTCCTTTCTGGTTTGTGAAGCCAAATTTCTTATACTTGTGTTATATGTTCTCTTTCATTCTATTTATTCCTTTTTTTTTTTTTTTATTTTTTTATTTTTTTATTTTTTTTTTATTTTTTTTATTTATTTTTTTTTTTTTTACAAATAGTTTATTGTCAAATTAGTTTCTACATAACACTCAGTGCTCATCCCCAAAGTGCCCTCCTCCATGCCCATCCCCCCCTCCCCCGCACAACCATCAGTCCTCAGTTTTTGTCAGCATTCAAGAGTCTCTCATGGTTTGCCTCTCTCCCTTTCCCCCACTATTTCCGCCCTTCTTCTCCCCCTTGTTCCTCCGTCAAGTTCCTCCTAATCCTCCTATACGTGCAAACATATGATATTTGTCCTTCTCTGCCTGACTTATTTCGCTCAGCATAACACCCTCAAGGTCCATCCATGTTGCTACACATGGCCAGATTTCATTCTTTCTCATTGCCATGTAGTATTCCATGGTATAGATAAACCACATCTTCTTGATCCATTCATCTGTTGATGGACACTTAGGCTCTTTCCATGTTTTAGCTATTGTGGAGAGTGCTGCTATGAACATTGGGGTACATGTGCTCCTATGCCTCAGCATTTCTGTATCCCTTGGGTAAATTCCTAGCAGTGCTATTGCTGGGTCATAAGGGAGTTCTATTGTTAGTTTCCTGAGGAACCTCCACACTGTTTTCCAGAGTCATTCTATTTATTCCTACTCATGTGTGTCTCTGTGTGTATGTACTACTCTGTTTTAATTATCATTGTTTAAAGGTATGGTCTTTTTAAAAAATTTTTAATAGTATATTTATTTTTGAGACAGAGAGAGGCATAGCATGAGTGGGGGAGGGGCAGAGAGAGAGGGAGCCTCAGAATCTGAAACAGGCTCCAGTCTCTGAGCTGTCCTCACAGAACCTGATGTGGGGCTTGAATCCACAAACTGCAAGATCATGACCTGAGCTGAAGTTGGACGCTTAACCAACTGAGCCCCCAGGAACCCCTTAAGGTATGTTGTAATATCTGATGATTTGCCTTATCACCAAAAAGAAAATAAAAGTCAAAACCTCTGGGGACCCTGGTTTTAACTTGAAATTTAATCAATACAGTCTCCCAAAACATTTTCAGCTAGTGCTATTTACTCTACAGATAAATAGTTATTATCAGTTTCTTCCTCACTCTCTGAAAAAAAAATTCTCATGAGATTTTTCTGGGAAATACACTATATTTATACATTAATTTGGTGTGAATTAATTGTGTCTTCCAGGTTTAGAACATGGTACATTTCTCCATTCCTATCTAAATGTTTGTGTGTATGTGTGTAAAGTTTTACATTTGCACAATAAATCTCACACTTAATTTTAGGATCATGTCAAAAAGAAAACCACAGGCCCCAAATAGAGTCATTTATGTGAGGCCATGTCACTAAACTTGGACTTAAGACCTAACCTAACTGCAGTTCAACCCTCCCCAGAAATGCAGTCTTAACCAGTCAGTCGAGAATTTTTTGGTTAGCACCAATAAGCACCATATGTGTCATATGGGCCCTCTCCATAACCCAAAGGAAGAGAAAGCAATCTGTACAAGATGCCTTTTCTTTTGCTAATGTTCTCGTCTGTTTTTGTCTATAAAACCCTTTTATTTTGTACAGTTCCTCAGAGCATCTCTCTACTTGCTAGATAGAATGCTGCACAATGCAGGAGTCCCTTAATAAGGCCAGTTAAGTCTTCAAATTTATTTGGTTGAATTTTCTTTAACAGTTATTCTTATAGTTTTTTTTTTGTTGCTTATTATAATTATTTTTCCATTCTATCTTCTATTAATTTTACTGGTATGATTTTAAGGGTATGATTGCTGTATATTTAATTTATAGCTATTTTCCCTCATGTGACATCATTCTATGTAATACATTTTTCAATATTAAACTATCCTTGTATTCCTGAGATAAGTCATATTTGGTTATGTTCAATATTGAGTAGCTAACTGACCTCAAGCACTGAATTAACCCCCAGAACTTATATATTTAATTTGCAAAAACTGAAATTTTAGGAAAGAAGTAGGAAATAGTACATATGTTTTATGAACTTATTCTAAGAAAAACAGGCATATAGTTCATTAACACTATAAATTATAACTGACATAGCTAATGTACTCTTTCCCTTTTATTTTTTTGTTCTTCCAAACTTTGTGTACTCTGACACCCTTATTGATGGAGAGGCACTAGCAAAGCATCAGTCTCATCTTTCCCTCTAAGCAACACAATTTTAAGAGTAGGCATGAAAACATATGTTTAGAATTTAAACACAACAGAAACTTGCTTTCCTCTCTATTGATTAACATACATTCTCTCATTTAATTCCCAAAACAATCTCACTGGCAGTACAAGTAACAGACATCCTATAAGGCAGGGAAGGAAGAAGTGTAGATAATTTCCAAGGATACCGGGCCCAGATTCTACATTCTTCCCATAATAAACTGTGGCCTTGTTGATGCTAAATGGACTTAGGAACCAGGAACTTTCAGTGTTTATTAACATTTCCTTAGGTAGAAATACAAAGGTTTTTAATGCACCTACTTCTGGGATGGTAACGTAAGTTCAAAGAACAAAAGGAGAGTGAATTAGCAATTTTATCAATTCTGGCAGGATCCTACCTAGGGAGAGAGGAACACTGGCCTTTCTTAGGGAGTCAAAGGCCACGACATGCCATACATCCTCTTCCTCTGGGCAGTCAGCTGGTTTCATCAGGCATAGGTATCCCTGACTAAGTAAACCGAGAGTTTGCAGCACACTTGTATGTGTGTAGCGGTAGTGATAGTGGGGTGTCTCTTCTTGTAAATTACATGACAAGTCAAGTAGTTATTATTATTCTCTTGTCACAATTCAGGAAACAGAGTCTGAGAAAGCTTTGGGAATGTTCCCCAAATCATTTACTATGTGGTAGAACTGAGACCTGGATCCAGAGCTATCAGATTTCCATCTGGACTGCTGTAGCACATCACGTTGGGTAATGCTGGTCAGCCAACTTAAGCCCCATTTTATTCCCCTTGTCCCTAGTCATCTCCCAGCAGAGTGTAGCTATGTGACAAAACTGGCCAGAGAGAATTAAATCTCTCACAGGATTCTTGGAAATACGTTTGTTTTCTCAGCGGTAATACTCCTTCTCTGTGTCCCTTCTTCCTTTTTTCTCTATGTAATGGCAAGAACTGAAATAGCCATTATGGGACCATTACGGGAAGGCCAAGAGAACTCCCATAACCTTAGTCTTGATAGAGTTGAACATCTACAAAACTCTGGATATTTCTCTCAGAAAAATAAATTTAAGTCACTGTAATGAGGTTTCCAGCTACTATGTAATTGATAAACCCACTTAATGCCTTTTCTGGTGGATGTTATTTTGCCTGATGAATATTACAGTCTTAATTTTCTTGTGTTACAATTGCCTAAAACTGTTTTATCTATCTAGCCCCTATTTTTAGTATTTCTGGGCAAATTTAATCCAGGTATGACCCAGGTAAGCAGCAGATAGTTTGGTTTTGTTTTAACTCCATCTGAGAGACTGTTAGCTTAATCTCAATTACAAATCTACAAAATAATAAGGCTATTTCAATACCACATAATTAACCTCATCTGTAAGTCACACTTAATATAGAACAATTGGAGAATCTTTCATTAAAAAATAAAGAACACGGTTCTTCATGGGACAGTAGTTACCTATTAATTTTTTGCCTGATCCAGATCCTTCAAAAACCCATATATGACCCTGACAGGCCAAGGGTGTTGGCTTCATCTGGAAGTTGATAATATCAAGGCGAATGATGTGATTTGAAGGGGCTAATAACTTCCAGTGGCAACTGTGACACAGATAAAAGCAAGTCAGGAATGATTTCCAAACACACAGACTGTTATTTACTTTGTTCAGAATTTTATGTATCACTGTTACTGACTCAATCTTTGTGCTTGGGTGAAAAAAGATTTTTACTTTAAACTGTAACAATTAAAAATGTTTCTAGTATGTAATTTATTAAAAGTGTTAATTAATTTCACCCATCATGGTAAATGGCTGGTCAATCCACATGCACTCCTCTAAATTCTAATTAGCGATCTGTGAGTTAAGGACCTACTCTTGCCTGAATTTGCCCAAACTCCCCTAAATCACATAAGGTTACTTAGGATGATATTATACAAATCTTCACTCCTCACATCACACTTTAAATTTATTCTGTTATTTAATTCAAGGAAAGTTCTCTATTTTGGCAATTTAAGAACCATTTATTGAATACCTAATATGTTCCAGAAGATTTTTACATACATTATTTCAATCTCCAAAACTCTCTGATAGAGATTTGACTTCCCACTTTACCTAATAAATGATCTCTTCTTTTGAGAAAATACACAATTTATCAACAGGGATATCTCATGTTCAGTTTTTGTATACTGAAGGCCTCAGACCAGGGATTATCTCAAAGTCTATTCTTCAAAGAGAGGAGGTGGAAAATAAAGCCTTAAGCAAGTGTTGCAGTTTGTCAAGTGATCATTCACAAACTTCCTTCATCCTAATACACATCCCTTCCTCACCTCATAGTTGTTCTGTGAGAGTATCTTGGGATCTGTATGATTCCTCCTGGTTCAGTCAGAATAACATCCTCACAAGTGGCCAAATGTTCTTGGTTTGAACTTTGGAGGAATTTGAGAAGGTTACTGCCCTTTGGACCTAAATATTTTAAAAGGCAATGAAAATAAAATTAATTTTTGAGAAGCTTATTCTATGCCTTTTCAGATCAGTCACTTTTCCTCCCTGTTTTAGAAAAAAAAGTTAACAGGAAGTGGTTAGCCTCACTGAAAAGTCTCCATCAGAGAGCAGCACTTTTCTTGGAATTATCCTTGGCATAGCCTCAAGTCAAGAGAAGAGAATGTGGAAAAAGTATAGAATAATACTAGCTTTCTGCACAATTCCAGCTAAAAGCAACATTTGTTTTTTTTTCAGTTTTTTTTCATATAGTTTATTGTCAAGTTGGTTTCCATATAACACCCAGTGCTCATCCCCACACGTGCCCTCCTCCATGCCCCTCCCCCCCTCCCCCGCACAACCATCAGTCCTCAGTTTGTTCTCAGTATTCAAGAGTCTCTCATGGTTTGCCTCTCTCCCTTTCCCCCACCATTTCTCCCCTTCTCCCCCATGGTCCTCTGCTAAGTTCCTCCTAAGCCTCTTATACGTGCAAACATATGATATTTGTCCTTCTCTGCCTGACTTATTTCACTCAGCATAACACCCTCAAGGTCCATCCATGTTGCTACACATGGCCAGATTTCATTGTTTCTCATTGCCATGTAGTATTCCATGGTATAGATAAACCACATCTTCTTGATCCATTCATCTGTTGATGGACACTTAGGCTCTTTCCATGTTTTAGCTATTGTGGAGAGTGCTGCTATGAACATTGGGGTACATGTGCTCCTATGCCTCAGCATTTCTGTATCCCTTGGGTAAATTCCTAGCAGTGCTATTGCTGGGTCATAGGGGAGTTCTATTGTTAGTTTCCTGAGGAACCTCCACACTGTTTTCCAGAGGGGCTGTACCAGTTTACATTCCCACCAACAGTGTAGGAGGGTGCCCGTTTCTCCACATCCTCGCCAGCATCTAGAGTTCTCTGATTTGCTCATTTTAGCCACTCTGACTGGCATGAGGTGGTATCTCACTGTGGTTTTGATTTGTATTTCCCTGATGAGGAGGGATGCTGAGCATCGTTTCATGTGTCTGTTGGCCATATGGATGTCCTCTTTGGAGAAGTGTCTGTTCATATCTTCTGCCCATTTCTTTACTGGGTTGTTTGTTTTTTTTTAATGTTTATTTATTTATTGAGAGAGAGAGAGAAAGAGAAAGCACGCGAGCGCACATGAGCGGGGGAGGGACAGAGACAGAGCAGACACAGAATCTGAAGCAGGTTCCAGGCTCTATGCTGTCAGCACAGTGCCTGATGTGGGGCTTGAACTCACAAACTGTGAAATCATGAACTGAGCCGAAGTCAGATGCTCAACAAACTGAGCCACTCAGGCTCCCCAAAAGCAACATTCTTAATATAGTTTTTTAGGAAAACCCTTTCACATGATATGCATGCTTTTCTTTATCATTCACTGAACTTTCCTCCCAAATCTACCTCTGCAATACTTTTTGATGCCAACGAGAGAAACTAGCTTTTAGTCACCTATAGTTATCAAGAGTCAAAAAATTTGATAATTACTTGTTCTAAAATACAATCTGATAACACTGAATAGCATAGTATTTATATTTATATTTATATTGCTAGCATTTAATGTTTGTTACTTTAACTTAGAAACTCATTGTAACCTTTTATTAATATAAAGAAAACTGACACAGAGATAATAAATTATCCATAGCTAATTAACCAACTAAGAGTTAGAACCATAACATTCTGATCCACAGAAAAGGCCCTCTGTGGAATAAAATCACATCACAGTAAAAAAAATAAAATCTTGTCTTGAAATTAATGTAACTTAGCCATATTCAGAAATCATAAATTCTGGATGATTAACAAGTCAACTAAGGTATCCTCTGAGCAGTTTCTTTTTTGTTTTTAATTTTTTTTGTCTTTTTAAATGTTTTATTTATATCTAGGAGAGAGAGAGAGACAGCGTGAGCAGGGGAGGGTCAGAGAGAGAGGGAGTCGCAGACTGAAACAGGTTCTATGCTCTGAGGTGCAGTCAGCACAGAGCCCGACGTGGGGCTCAAACCCACGAACCACGAGATCATGACCTAAGCGAAAGTCGGACACTTAACCGACTAAGCCACCCAGGTGCCGCAAGCAGTTTCTTTTTTGAATCTGCACCAATCTCAGATGACTTAAGGAAGTTTTCCTTTCAGACACAAACTCCCCACAGAAACACCATCTCTTATGAAACAATGTATGTTTTTGTAATATTCCTAAAAAGAAAAACATTGATTTTTAACTTTATAAGTTTATAAAATGACCAGACTTACCTTGGACTCTAAAGACAATGTAACTTATGCCCAAAGCACCTCCCGCAAGTGAACGAAATGCTACTCTCACCAGTGGTCCAGAGCTCATGAAAATCATTGGGTAAAGCCCTCTTCCACATAATTCACCTAGGTTTAAAAACAATCAAATCTAGTAAAACACAAGAACTAACATTTTTAGCAGTTTCTCTATTTCAAGTATAGCAATGATTTATTATGAAATATATTTGACATGTAACACTGTATAAATTTAGAGTATACAACATGCTGATCTGATACATTTATATACTGTAATTGTCTGCCCTTATAGTGATAGTTCGCCTCTGTCACCTCTCATAATTACCATTTCTTTTTTTGTAGTGAAAATAATTAAGATCTAGTCCCTCAGCAAGTTTGATGATTATACTACAAATGTTGACTATATTCACTATACTATGCGTTGGATCCTCAGGGCTTGTCCACTAGTTATATGTTTGTACTAATGAAGTAGGAATGTATTCTGCTCGGCAAAATGAGGAAACGAGGCTCCAGAACTCAAGTGACTCACCCAGAGTCAGACTGGTATGGTGGGGAGTCAGGATCTGAACCCAGGACCATGAATCCAGTATCCAACATAGTCTGCTAGGTCATACTGCTCTTAAAGGACAGTAGCGAGTAAATTATTTCATCTTCAAAATGATGCTGATGTGACACTTTTCTTCTAGCAAAGTACCCTATTTATAAAAATATCTCACTACCAGAGAACCATGATGAAAAACTTTTTACTTGAAAATGTATTCTTTCTCTATAGAGTCAATCTTCTTTTGATTGCTTTGGTTTGATAACTTTTATAATATTGATAAATTATAATTATAATTGCAGAACAATTCAGAGGGCTGATTAAGAAGATGTGGGGGCACGTGGGTAGCTCGGATGGTTAAGCAGACAACTGTAGCTCAGGTTCTCATGGTTCGTGAGTTTGAGTCCCACAGTGGGCTCTCTGATGTCAGCACATGGAGCCTACTTCAGACCCTCTTTTCTCTCTCTGCCTCTGCCCCACTTGCTCTCTCTCTCTCTCTCTCTCTCACTTTCTCTCAAAAAAAAACAAACATTTTAAAAAGGTGTGACAAGAACCTGAGTTTCTTAGGATCAAACTCATCTACATTAAGAATAGGTCAGTATCATTCTATCATGCTCGCCTAAAAGTCACCTTCTCAGAAAGACATTTTCTATGTACACTACAGACAACTGTATGGTATCTACATCCCAGATTTTTGGCTTCCTTTTCCCTTCATTTTCCCCCAGCTTGTCTACTTAATACATATTTTATTTTTTTATGCGTCCACTCCCCAATAGAATATAAGCTTCATAAGGGCAGGGGTTTCTGTTTTGTTTTATTTTCTGGTTTTTGTCCATATTTTTCACTACTGAATCTCACCACCAAGAAGAGTTGGTCTCTGATCCCTAGTAGACCCTCCTCACAAGTATTTGTGGAGCAAGAGAGGGAAGAGATTACATCTGAGAAGAAGCAAAGAACAGAAAACATTAGATGGCATAACACGTTAGGGTAAATGATGTTGAAATACTATTTGAAGAATGAGCAAATACTTATTTGTACCATGTAGAGATCAGTGCAGTTCTGCAATGAGTGAGTTGCTGGCTCCCACAGGGAAAAAGATAGCATTTTACAGTATAGAAGAATACTATCTGTCTTGAATGAGGGGTAATACCTGCTAGGTATCACCCAAAGAGACAGAACAATTCTACAAAGTTCAAGCTGACAATTTCAAATCAAAGAAATTCTAGGCTGGAAAATTATAGGGTTTTCTCAGTTAATCCACAGCAAAGCCAAGCATGATTTTCAATAGGTTATAAAGATAAAGGTAAGTTTTCCTAGAAAATGTTTCCTTTTATATGAGAATTCAGTGTACAAGAGATTGCCAAAAGTTGGGGAGAAAATAACTTTTTCTTAAAAGAAAAAGATATAGTATCACTTTATCATGTGAGAAAAAAACATTTCAGCAGGATTAAAGAAGTTTGTAATTAAAATTTTTTTCTGAATTATGTACAATGCAGATTTAAAAATAAAAGCTTTGAGGGGTGCCTGGATGGCTCAGTCAGTTAAGTGTCTGGTACTTGATCTCAGCTCAGGTCTTGATCTCAGGGACATGAGTTGAAGCTCCTCATTGGGCTCCACACTAGGCATGGAGACTTAAAAAAAAATATAGGGTGCATGAGTGGCTCAGTTGGTTAAGCATCCCACTCTTGATTTCAGCTCAAGTCATGATCTCACAGTTCGTGAATTGGAGCCCCATGTTCATCTTTGTACTGAGTGTGAAGCCTGCTTAGGATTCTTTTTCTCCTTTACTCTCTGCCCTTCCCCTTGCTTTTGCACACACTCTCCCTCTCTCCCAAAATAAATAAATAAACATTTAAAAATAAATAAATAAAAATAAAAGCTATGAGGTAAATCAAAGATATTTACAGATGGATTTCAACAAACTTTTAAATTTTTTTATGTTTATTTACTTTGATAGCAAGAGAAAGAGAGAGACAGAGAGAGAGAGAAGTGGAGGGGCAGAGAGAGAGAGAGGGAGACACAGAATCAGAAGCAGGCTCCAGGCTCTGAGCTGTCAGCACAGAGCCTCTGATGCAGGGTTTGAACTCACGAGCTGTGAGATCATGACCTGAGCTGAAGTCAGACATTCGACCAACTGAGACACCCAACCACCCACATAAACAAATACATTTTTAAATGTTTATATCAACATACAATAAAAATTAAAGACAAATGAATCTTAGGAATAAGTACTTGTAACTTATGACAAAAGGAAAAATGTCTATGTATAATAGCTTTCACAAACCAATAAAAAGTAATACTCAAAAAATCGATGGTAATAAATAAAAAGCACAAATAAGTAACCAACATATGAAAATAAAAACTCTATTAATAATGGTAAAATGTCTATGAAATTGTTATATGAGGTTATGCATATGCATGGTGAAAGAGGCTGCCATGCTAATGGCAGCGAACACTGATTTAACCTTTCTGAAGAGCAATTTAGCAGTATACATTGTGCTGAGTCCCGAGGCATGATACTAATTCAGGAAGATACAGAAGGGAACAAAACATCAAGATTCTTGCTTTCATGGAGGTTTCATTTTAGCCAGGTAAATAAAGAAGATGATTTCAAACAGAGATCACGGCTACAAATGAGATAATCGGCATAACTGGACTATGGAAAATGACTATGGAAGGGAGTGAAAGGTACTACTCTAGATGAGAAGTCCTCTTCAAGGAGGTGACATACCATTCATTCCTTCATTCACTCATTCTATGCCTTCTATGTTTCACATACTGATCCAGGTACTAGAGATTCTTTCAGTGAGGAGACAAAAGTTTTAGACCTTAGGAAGCTCTCATTCAGTAGAAAAAACACAAATCGCAAACATGAAAAAAAAATCCGTTAGAAGACGGTAAGTGCTAAAGTTGAGGAGGGTATTAAGAAGTACTCAGGCAGGAGGTGATGCAACTGACAGCAATTAAGGGAGGCCTCATTAAAAAGGTGACATTCTTGTCAAGACTTGAGGGAGGGGAGAGTGTGAATGAGAAGGAGCTCTCTGAACCGCTAGGAGAAGTACCTGGACAAGGGCCCTAAGGCGAGAATGGCCATACTTCATCATGTGAGTTGGGGAGCGGGAGAGAAGGCTGTGCTAGGGATTTTGGATTTCATCCTAGCTATAAGGAACCCTGGAGCTGATTTTTTTTAAGCTTATATATTTTTTTAAGTTTTTAAATTTATTGTGAGAAAGAGAGACAGAGACAGGGAGAGAGAGAGAATCCCAAGAAGGTTCCACACTGACAGTGCAAAGTCTCACGTGGGGCTCAAACTCACAAACCGTGAGATCATGGCCTGAGCCAAAATCAAGAGTCAGATGATCAACCGGCTGAGCCACCCAGGTGACCCAACCTTGAGCTGTTTTAATCAAGGCAGATGGGGAAGGCAATCTGATCACAGGAGAGAAATGTACAAAGTGGATAGGCTAGTTTAATAGCTTTTCCCATAGTTTAAATGAGACAGTATTTATAAAGATTCTTTAACAAATGTTTGTGCCCTCTAAGTCAATGATTTAATCTGAGTATATCCCAAGAACACAATCTCAGTCTCAGTTTTCCTGGTCTCCTGCATCCAGCACAGGCATCTGTGAGTACCATATGTAGGAGCCCGACAGTGACCACGAGAGGGAATGGTTAAGGAAGTGGAGATGTGCCTGCAAACGGGACTCTCTGCTTGGGCAGAGCATGCTTGCAAACAGGATGTTCAGCCAAGAAGCCTGCACACAATATCCAAGGTTAACGATCCGCTCGCAAATGAGGGAACGTGCCCTCCCTGAAAATAGGGAGGAGGCTGGAGTTCTGGGCAGGCTTCTCAGTAAACATGCTGTGGTCAATTCCTCCCTTTGTTCCCCCCGTCCTTGGAAAAAGAATGCGTTTCGTAGATTTTGGTATGTGTCCAGCTACTGGGGTATAAAAATAAACTGCACGAAGGCTGGGGGAGAATTTCCTCCCTCCGGCCGGAGTTGTGTCTTTGTCTGTCTTTTGTGTGTCTTGTCTTTGTGTCATTTCATTTGCTACACCATATATACTCACAATAGCACATTTACTTTCTTCCCAGGCTTTCCCATCAAACAAATTACTTCTAGAACCTTCCCATCTTCCTCCTGACTAAGAGTCAAAGAGCCTATACCACACCTACACAAACAAGATGTAGCAACTTTGTTTTACTGAGCAAAACAGATTTGCCTGTACATGAAATGAAATGACAGTGGTATGTTATTAGCAAATACTTTTAATTCTGCCAGTTTAGAGGCACCTGGGTGGCTCAGTCAGTTGGGCATCCAACTCTTGATTCTGGCTCAGGTCTTGATTTCATGGTTTGTGGGATCGAGCCCCACATTGAGCTCTGCGCCAAGCATGGGGTCTGCTTAAGATTCTCTCCCTCTCCCTCCCTTTCTCAGTCTCTCTCTTTCTGCTCCTCCTCTCCCTTGTGCTCTCCCTCTCTCAAAATAAATAAATCAAGAATAAATAAATAAAAGGCTTTAAGATATTTTGCTTTATTTTAACATCCAACACCTACCTCATCTGATTTTTTTAAATGTTTAATTACTTTTGAGAGAGAGAGAGAAAGAGAGACAAAGCACGAGCAGGGGAGGGGCAGAGAGAGAGGGAGACACAGAATCTGAAGTAGGCTCCAGGCTCTGAGCTGTCTGCACAGAGCTGACACGGGGCTTGAACTCAAGGACTGTGAGATCACGACCTGAACCAAAGTCAGACGCTTAACCAATTGAGCCACCCAGGCACCCCTCTCCCCTCTGATTTTTAATCATCTTCTCTTCAATCATATACATTTCTGGCATTCTGGCACAGTTCTTTTATGTTTGAAGAAATTGAGCTCTCTTATCTTTTTCTTCTTAAATACACATACATACACATACTCACACTCAACCTCCAGTACACTGTTTTGTGAAGTCAAATTTTGACTTCATAACAATATTAACAACATTAAGTGTGCCTAAAAAAGGTATGCCTGTTACATGTGTCATCAGCATTTTGGTGTATTGTTATCCAAGTCAAGCTCTTTCTTGATCGTAAGCCGCCTCTATGGAAAAGCCTCCAGTACAATGTTTAAATGCTAGTAAGGATTGATTACCTGACACCCTTCTCTCACTGTGGCTTTCTTCATAAATAGTCATAACTGAATCTGGACACAGAGGTGACCCAGGGAGTGACAGATATTCCACCGTCATTTTTGCCATACTGCTTGGTGAAATTCTGAGCACCCAAGAACATTCCAGTTTTCCTCTATAATCCAGTGGATATCTTGGAGTTGAAAAAAAGCCTCTAGGTTCTTCTAGCTCCACTTCAGAATAACAACCTATAATTCAGGGCACACAGACATCAGGGACCAACATAAAGAAAGCAAGGCAAAGTGAGGTTCTGTCACAAACTTGAAAAATGTAGGCTTGCAGGAAGAAAATTAAAACTTTATTACTCTGTGTTACATGTCCTTGGGTAAAAATTACCATCCCATTTAATGTGTTCTATTTTCTTGAAATGAGATTGTAGGAGTAGAATTTAAATCATAATTACTCAAACTTTCTTTTCACTGAATCTTCTAAATGCCTTAGAAGATGCACAATGGATATGCACTCTACTTCCAGCATGTTTTCATTTGTTATTTTTTTAGATGCAACTGATGGTCTGTTCCTAAAATCTTCACTAATTTCACTGTGCATTAATCTTTTTTTTAACATTTTAAAATGTTTATTTATTTGAGAGGAAGAGAGAGAGAGAGAGAGAGAGAGAGAAAACTGAGTGGGAGAGGGGCAGAGAAAGAGGGCGGTAGAGACAGAATCCAAAGCAGGCTCCAGGCTCAGAGCCCAACGTGGGGCTCAAACTCACGAACCGAGAGATCATGACCGAGATGAAGTCAGCCACTTAACTGACTGAGCCATCCAGACATCCTCTCACTATGCATTAATCTTGCTAGGACAAATGATTACATTCATTGAATTTGTGACTCAGATAAAAAAAAAAAAAAAGTAGGATTAGCTGAAAACATTTGAATGTTTCTCACTTCTTCAACTTGTTCTGAAGTTGAAGGGCACCTTTGGATCTGCAGGGAAAACCAAGGCCCCCTGACCCTGCAATCAGTTGCTGCTTCTTCAGGTTACACCCTTGACTTTTCCTTTTTCCCCTTTGTCTATTCCCTTGACAAAAATCCTCTGAGCAACTACAAAGTGAAATACTCTGTATTCAAACAAACACATTTTAATGCATGAATATTAATACATGCATTATTATATATGCTTTTCCCTAGAGAAATTAATAACCTAACTGAGGTGACATTCATAAATATACTTTTATGAATAGTAGAAAGAATGGTAGACATTTAAGAAGGGGAATGAAATGCCACAAGAATTCAAGATTCTATTCAATTCAAGATTCTAGTCCTCTGTTATTTCTTTGCAAATTCTCCCTTTCATTTATATGGCTACTATGATATAACTTAGTTATTTATAGATCTACTTTGATTTAAGAGTAACATAACTGATTTCCCGGTCTCTAATCTTTCCCCATCATGCCCTCCAATCCAAGATAGTGTATGAAACAAAAGAATTAAGTTCTTTCCTTTGTCAAAGTAACTAAAATTTTGCAGCTTCCACTGTCTTTCAGAGTCTGGCCCCAACATGTCTTTCAATCATTTTTCCTGTCCCCATGAGTCCTCTGTGACAAATCTGCCTGGAAAAGGAACCAAATCATATAAAGTCATGCATTCCCAACCAGTCACTTCTTTTTATAAATGGGCTAACAATTCCCTTGTGTAAAAAGCAAGTGATGGGAGTGGGTAATGTTAAAGATAGGATAGTCCAAACATTTGTCTCATAGAATTAAAACAAAACAATAACTTGCCACATGTAAAACTTGCAAAGTTCTTGGGCACCCATATGTATTTCTGAACATCTACAAACGAGAAATATCTTTGCTACATTTTAACAATGTTAATTTTTTTTTAATTTTAATTTTAAGGGGTGGGGTAGAGGGGAAAGTGGGTGATGGGCATTGAGGAGGCCACTTGTTGGGATGAACACTGGGTGTTGTATGGAAACCAATTTGACAATAAATTATATTTTAAAAAAGATTTTAATTTTAAGTAATCTTTACACCCACTGAGGGGCTCAAGCTCACAGCCCCAAGATCAAGAGCCTAATGCTCAACCAAGCCAGCCAAGCACCCCAACATTGTTTATTTTCTAGTAGCCTAAATGAGATGGTTCAATGAATATATTAGTTGGTCACTATGGTCACCACTTGTCGACCCTTGCAATTCGTCATGCCATCCCTATTCTAAGTGCTTGACATGCATTAACTTATTTAGGCACTGATTAACATTGTTCATTTAACTCAAACCATTGAAATCATTAGGTTTTAGGATCTTGGATCCAAATCTGCTCTCCATCTCAACCCCAATTCGAGACTGACTTTTTTATTTCAATTTTTTAAATGTTTGTTTACGTTTGAGACAGAGATTGTGTGAGAGAGAGAGAGACAGAGTATGAGTGGGGGAGGTGCAGAGAGAGGAGATACAGAATCAGAAGCAGGCTCTAGGCTCTGAGTTGTCAGCACAGAGCCCAACGCAGGGCTCAAACTCACAGACCGCAAGATCATGACCTGAGCTGAAATCAGACACTTAACCAACTGAGCCACCCAGACATCTCCAGATAGACTTTTAATCTACATAGCGCTCTTTGATGGTTGTCTTGTCGGATTGTACCACTCACAGCTGGTCCCCAAGGTACTCCTCCTTACTTGTAGAAGATTTCAGCAGTCATTTTATCCACCGCTATTCCTGCCATAAATCTTGCTGAGTTCACTAGCCATACAGATGATGAGCCCAGCACCGAAGCTTCTTGATTTTTCAACTTCTTTCAGTGATCTTGTTCTTCACTCAACCTCAGCTGCACACCCCAGTGGTCAGCCCCTAGAAGCCCAGTCCCCAGTAATAACTTCAAGCCTTCTATAATCGTGATTTCAAGCACTGCTTCCTCCATCCACAACCTTCTATCTTCTCAGCAACTTCCAGCACTCTTTCCATCTTTTGAGACTTGCAGTTCATCCATCTAACAACCTTCTCTTTGTCCCTATTTTATCTCTCACCCTCATTCACTCTTTTCCTGGTATAAATCCCAACAATACAGCATTTTAATACTTTCCTCCTACATGCTTTCAATTCCCTTATACATTTGGATACTTGGGAAAACCCACTCTGAATTGAGTCTACTCTCTACCTGTTCTGCCCCTATGTGCTAACCCTTTGTGTCTCCAGAAGAAAACATACAAGTGAGCTAACTGGCCAGTCTCCCCCTAAATTCATGATCATTAATCTCAGAGGCTGTTACGTTGTCCAGCAATCCTACTACATTCTCCTAGTCCATGTACTTTGTCACTTTTTTAGAGAACTCTTTTCTCATTCTTCCCCTTTTTCCCTCTGAAAACTCTCAAACTGTCTTCCATAACCCTGTTTTGTCGCTAAGAATATAGAAGCAAATAGAAAATTGGCAGCAGCTCCCATCCCCACGTGCACCCACACACCCGCAAGAGTATTTTGCCTTCCATCCAGCAGCTATGGGTGAACTGCACTTGACTCCTGAGGCCAACCTCCCTGGCTGAGCACCAGATCTTGTCTCCTTTCTCCTCCTGAAGGTCATCATTCCATCTATCCCTCCCTCTCCTGCATCCTTTTCAGTCTTCCTCCCCTCTTCCTAGTCCTCTACTGGGGTTGACTGTTATGTGGAGTGGATGGAGACAGAGATGGGTGAGAAAGAAGAGACTGGAACCACGTGGAAACCAAGGATGGTGGTATCATGGAACTTTCATCTCCCTAAAACTCTCTTACAGACTCCTAATTCTCCAGCTGCAGTTTGATTTTCATTAAAAATTCAAATCCCATTAGCAAACAGACACTGACAACTCTGGGAAAATTAAGAGTGACTGACACTGATGCTGGCTGTGATGCTCTCCTATCCAGAGTCTTCACCTAGTGAGATGCCTGAAAATCTAATAACCTTTGTTTATGTAGGAATAAATAGATCAGAGGTCAGAATACTTCTGTGCGTGTCTCCAAAATTCAAGCTTGTTAGCAACCACAAGATTTTTTTTTTAACCTGCAACAGCTGTTATCTGTGGGGTAGAAAAGAAACCCAGACAGTCACAGTAACAACACACCTCTCGTTCAGCTTAAACTACCATCCAGAATGAAAACACAGGGCTTCTCCTGTTCCAAAGAAAATTAGTACATGTAGACATGCAATGCTTTTTGTTCAGTTCTTATTGGCTGCATTAACAGGCAAAGATAAACATCTATTACCTGGTCCAGACTCCTTGTCTATTGAAGGTGTGGGTGGTGGCTGTTGTCCTGTTAAGGTTTTTCTTTCATTATTTATCTGAAGTGAAGCAGGATCTGTGCCTGGAGAGAACGTGTTACAAATAAATAAAGATGAAAGCCTGGGAAAAAAAATGTAGCCCATGATAAAATAGCTTTTGTCAAAAGAAAATGCAAACCTAGATTAAAGCCGCCTCAGGAAAAGTCACTTTTACTATCACTCTGCCCAAGGGAGAACGTATCCTCATAGAATTTTAAAGTACACTTTGAATGAATTAGAAACTAAAAGAAATGAAATACTACTTTATGGTTTTTTTCCCTTCATAACACTGATTTCTACCACACTCATCCTTCTCACAAACCCGTTCTAAAGAAAGAGGAATTATTTCCATAATATCTGAAAAATATTTACCTTTGACTTTGGATTGGATCCAGTCCAAGAAGACACTCACCCTGGCAAATACACCTGGTTTCCTTGTTTGGGCACAGCCAGTTCCCCAGATGACAATACCATACAGGACAAAGGGGCCTTTTTCATGTCTACATACTAATGGCCCACCACAGTCTCCCTGAAACACCAAAAAAATGTGTTCTAGAAAACTGCTTTAGTCAGAGTTCCTGCATTCAATTTTCGAACAGGAATAGACAATAATTTATTCACAACACATTTATTCTTTAATTTAAAAATATTAATACTTTATCAATTTAGATACCTTAGAGTACTTAAAGTCAAATAAGTAAAATCACAAATGAGAGAGGAGGTATGATAACTGATAGCACGGAAATACAAAGAATCATGAGACTGTTATGAAGAACTATACACCAAGAAATTGGATAGCCTGAAACAAGTAGATTAATTCCTACAAACATACAAACTACTAAGACCTAATCATGCGGAATTAGAAAATCAGAATAGACCAATATGGGCAAGGAGACTGAAGCATTAATCATACACATTCCAACAAAAGTAAAGCTCAGGACCAGATGGCTTCACTGGCGAATTCTACTAAACATTTAAAGAAGAATTAACTTCCGATTGCCTGGGTGGTTCAGTTGGTTACGCGTACGACCTGGTTTTAGCTCAGGTGATGACCCACGGTTTCATGAGTTCTAGCCTCGTGTCAAGCTCTGCACTGGCAGCACGGAGCCTCCTTGGGATTCTCTCTCTCACTCTCTGTTCTTCCTGCACTTGCACTGTCTTTATCTCTCTCAAAATAGATAAACTTTAAAAAAAGAAAATGAATTAACTTCAATCCTTAAACTCTTCCCAAAAACTGAAGAGGAGGGACTACCCTAAAACTCATTTCATGAGGTTAGAATTACCCTGATACCAAAGCCAGATAAGGACATTACAAGAGAAGAAAACTCATAGGTCAATATCCCTGATGAACATAAGTGCAAAAATCCGAAACAAAATACTAGCAAGCTGAATTCAACAGCATATTAAAAGACTTACACACTATGATCAAGTGGGATTTATTCTAGTGATGCAAGGATAGTTCAACATACAGAAATCAATGAATGTGATACACCACATTAACTGAATGAAAGTTTAAAAACATATTACTACCTAAATAGTACAGAAAATGTATTTGACAAAATGCAACATCCTTTCATGCTAAAAACCCTCAACAAATTAGGTATAGATAGAACATATCTCAACATAAGAAGGGTCATATATAACAAAGCCACAGCTAAACTTGTACTCAATAGTGAAAAGTTGAAAGCTTTTCCTGTAAGATCAGAAACAAAATAAGGGTGCCCACTCTCACTATTACTATTCTATATAGTATTGGAGGTCCTAGGCATAGAACATAGTCAAGAAAAAGAAATAAAAAGAAGGAAGGAGTAAATCAGGAAGGAAGAAGTAACATGGTCTTTATTTGCAGAGGATATGGTCTAAGAAAGTCCTAAAGACTCCATCAAAAAACTGTTAGAACTAAAAGCATACAAGCTGTTAGCACTAATCAATAAACATAGTAAAGTTTCATGATACAAAGCACACATAAGTTGTTGTGTCTCTACACAGTAATAACAAAACATATGAAAAAGAAACGGGGTTAAGGAAGACAATTGTTGTGATAAGCACAGGTTGTTGTAAGTGTTGAATCACTAAATTCTACACCTCAAAGCAATACCACATTGTATGTTAAAACTAACTGGAATTGAAATTAAAATTTGAAAAAAAAAGGGGCGCCTGGGTGGCTTAGTCGGTTAAGCGTCCGACTTTCGTTTAGGTCATGATCTCGCGGTTTGTGGGTTAAAGCCCCGCGTCGGGCTCTGTGCTGAGCCTCTGTTTCAGAGTCTGTGTCTCCCTCTCTCTCTGACCCTCCCCTGCTCACGCTGTCTCTCTCTCTCCTAGAAAAAAAAAAAAAAAACTTGAAAAAAAAAGAAATAAACAAAAATAAAGAAAAATAAAAAATAAAGGAAACAATCCTGTATACAAAAGTATCTCAAAATAAAATACTTAGGAATAAACATAACCAAAAAGGTGAAAGATCTCTACAGTGAAGACTGTAAGACTGATGAAAGAAACTGATAAATACACAAACTGATAAGTACACATTCCTATGTTCACGATTGGAAGAATTAATTTTGTGTCCTACTAAACAAAGCAGTTTAGTGCAGTCAATTTCAAAATTCCAATGAAATTTTTCACAGAAATAGAAAAAAATAATCCTAAAATTCATATGGTCCACAAAAGACCCTAAATAGCCAAAACAATCCTAAGAAAGAACAAAGCTGGAGGCATCACACTTCCTGATTTTACAAATATGTTATGAATCTATAGTATCAACATAGTATGGTACTGGCATAAAAACAGACACATATGTAAATGAGCTAGACTCATGAGCCTAGAAAAACCCTCATATATCTAGTCAACTAATATTTTCCAAAGGAGCAAAGAATACTCATGGGGAAAAGGATAATCTCTTCGACAAATGATGTTGGGAAAACTGGATAGCCACTAGCAGAAGAATGGAATTGGATCCTATTTTACACCACTCAACCAAAAAATAACTTGAAATGGATTAAAGATTTAAATATAAGGCTACCAGTTGTAGAACCTCTAGAAGAAAACATGGGGGAAAGGTCCTTGACATTGTCTTGGCAACAATTTTTAATTTTTTTTATATGAAAACAAAAGCACAAGCAACAGAAGCAAGGGTCAATAAGTGGAACTACATAAAAACAAACAACGCTTCTAAACATCAGAAGAAACAATCAACAGAAATGAAAAGGCAATCTATGAGATGGGAAAAATATTTGCAAACCATATATCTGATAAAGGGTTAATATCCAAAATATGTAAAGAACTCACAAATTGATAACAGAAACCATCCAAACTAAAAAAAAAATGGGCAGAGGATCTGAACAGGCATTTTCTGAAAGAAGATGTACAGAGGAGCAATAGGTACATGAACAGATGCCCCGCATCACCGATCATCAGGGAAATGCAAATCAAAACTACAATGATATATCACTTCACACTTGTTAGAATAGGTATCATCAAAAAGATAAGAGAAAGGGGCTCCTGGGCGGCCCAGTCAGTTAAGTGCCTGACTTCGGCTCAGATCATGATCTCACGGTTTGTGAGTTTAAGCCCTGTGTGAGTTTAAGCCTCTGAGATGTCAGCACAGAGCCTGAAGCCTGCTTCAGATTCTGTGTCTCCCTCTCTTTCTGCCCCTCCTCTATTTATGCCCTGTCTCCCAAAAATAAATAAATGTAAAAAAATTTTTTTTAAAAGATAAGACAAAAAGTGTTGGTAAGGATGCGGAGAAAAAGAACCCTTTTGCACTGTTGGTAGGAATGTAAATTGGTACTTTACTATGGAAAATAATACAAACATTACTCAAAAAATTAAAAAATTAACTGTGATATGATCCACTTCTGGGTATATGTCCAAAGGGAAGAAAACCAGGTTATCAAAGAGGTATCTGCACTCCCACATTTACTGTAGTTTTATTCACTATAACCAAGATATGAAAACAACCTGTTTTTCTGTCAAAGAATGAAAAGATAAAAAATATGATATATATACATATATATACACACACATATATACTTAAAATGGAATATTATTCACCCATGAGAACAAAAGAAATCCATTTGTGACAACATGCATGGTCATTGAGGACGTTATGCTAAGTGAAAAGTCAGACAGCAAAAGACAAATACTGTATGATATCACTTATATATGGAATCTATTAAAGCTAAACTCAAAGAACTAGTATGAATGAATGAATAGTTACTAGGGGTAGGAGAGTAGGGAAAATGGGGAGATCTCGGTCAAAGGGTACAAACTTGCAGTTATAAGATGAACAATCTGGGGATCTAATGTACAACATGGTGACTATGGTTAACAATACTGTATTATGTATTTAAAAGTGCTACAAAAGTAGACAGCAAGTGTTCTCACCACAAGAAAGAAATGGTAATTATAAAAAGTAATGGAGGTTTTGACTAACTCTACTGTGGTAAGCATTTCACAATACACGACTGCATCAAATCATCACATTATACATCTGAAACTTATACAATGTTATATGGCAATTACAGCTCAATAAAGCTATAAAAGAAAGTCTTAAAACATAGGATTTGCATCTTAAGGAAGCCTCATTTTTAATCAGCCCTTCTTAGTTTTTTGAGTTTATTTGTTTATTATGAGAGACAGAGACAGAGAGAAATGGAGGAGGGGGAGAAAAGAGCACTATCAGTGCAGAGCTTGATGAGGGTCTCAATACTCCCAAACCATGGGATCAAGACATGAGCTCAGGTCGGCTGCTTAATTGATTCAGACACCCAGGCTCCCTTACTTTTTTTTTTTTTTTTTTTTTTGACACAAATGGACTTAGAATCACAATAAATCCCTTCTCTTCTCATAAAGTAAACTGAACTGATGACACGATACAGTTTATTTTATATGAAGAATCTCAGAGAAGAAATCCTAAAATGGAAATAGGGAGATAGACTCCCTAGCCTATGGTGTAGAGAAATTAACATTTTCTCTGGGCCTAATTTTTTTCCTTGTGAAATGAAGTTATATATACGGACGACTCCCTTCCAGTTTGAAATGGTCTGATGTGCCAAGTCAGGTTTTGTGTCTTAAATCACTTATTCATTCAGTAATAATACATATTAAATATAGAATTTTTCAGGATATTACAAACATTCCAGATCCTGTCTAATTCATCGTTTATTGCCTGTACCTATCACAGGGCCTAGCATATGGTAAATATTCAATCAGCAAATAGTATCTACTTATTTTCGAAAAAATATCCAGTGTCTGTTGTGAGCTAGGTGTTCAGAGCAAGAGAGAGTGTCAACAAATTAGACGGTGATAACAGCTCTAAAGAAAATGTTTAGAACAGTAGAGAATAAAGGCAGGTATTTGCGTGTACTTATACGCACGTATATGTGTATGTAGTTTCAGTAGCATTCGAGTGGATCCATGAAAGATAAGAAGGATCTGGATTTTCAAAAACCAGGAAGAATAGCATTTTATGCAGAAGTGATATGTGGGCTAAGGCCTCAAGTTGGGCAAGTTGTGTGGTCAAAAAGTAGTCAGTGTGGCTGAAATATGTCAGGAAGACAAGTATGCAATACATTGGAAAAGTCAGCAGGAACGGGACATACACCACTCTGTGAGGACAGAGATCACTCTGTAGGTCAAGGAACTTGAACTTTTAAAAACTGTCTAAGATGTGGTGTGAGCGAAGGAGCACAGGATTCTACACCACATGTCTGGAACTCTGTGTCTCTGCATTTCAACATTCTAGTTCACCTTCCTGGATGAGAAATCACATTAGCAGGTCCATTACCTCTGAGCACACACAGGAGGGTAAAAATCAACTACCTGATAGAAATGCTAGAGTCCACTTTATCAATGTTTCTGAAGTCATCTTGCTAGTAATTTAGTGTTCTTAACTAGCTCCACTTATTAGCCAGAATCTCAACTCCTCTATTTTCCTCGCCTTGCATTGGCAGCAAATTCGGTCATGATGCAAAGTGACAGTTTGATGTAGCTAAAATTAAGTGCCCACTGAGATCACAATATTTGGATCTCCAATAACATGGACCTAATTCCCTCCCTAGTTCTCTTTGCTCTCTTGTTACAGAGTAAGGTATTCCCTTAATGTCAGATGCTGTCAAACAGGACAGAGATAATGGAACCATTTATGAGTTCCTTGATTCAAAGCACAGAGGAAAACCATCTCTCGAAAGGGGAAGAATAAATACATTAGTTTAGAGAATTTTCCTATTTGATTTTTATAACACAGCATTTCTGTCCTCTGGCAGACGTGTGAGTGCCCGTCCCATAATCCTCAAGTTTTCCAGTTGCCATCCTGGCCCTGTGCCTGAGGGCTCCTCCCCTCCTCCACCGCATCAATGAGGCAGGCAGGAAGTGTGGACAGTGCTGAGGAATTAACGGTCTCCTACCCCAGCAGCCGTGGAACTGTGACTCTGGTAAAGTCTGGCTCCCTCGCCCGGCCCCTTGGATGGGACCGAATGGGACCGCATGTGCTGCATGTATTTTGCAGTCGCAGGATCAAGCTCAGTCCCCTTACTGTGGGAGCTGACTTGATAGCACATCTTCCATTGCCTGCCTTCCCTTCCCAATAGCACCCTTCTGACTTTCTGACCAGGACAGCGGCACCTCCTAAACAGACCATTGTACCTGAATCCTTGTCTCAGGATCTGCTTCTGAAATACAGAAAACAGAATCTGAGTAGTGGTTGACACCACAAACTACTACTACCACGGAAGAGTCTAACTACCATCAATTGATACTCAGTGTAAAGAGGGGACTTCCTTTTTGCTCAGCTCACATTCTCACATGGAAAGACTTCCACCCAGATTAACACCCAGTTTTCTCCCATTGGTTCACGTTTGTTTTTTAATGTTTTATTTATTTCTAGGAGAGAGAGAGAGACAGCGTGAGCAGGGGAGGGTCAGAGAGAGAGGGAGTCACAGACTGAAACAGGCTCCAGGCTCTGAGCTGGCAGTCAGCACAGAGCCCGACGCGGGGCCCGAACCCACGAACCGCGAGATCATGACCTAAGCGAAAGTCGGACGCTTAACCGACTAAGCCACCCAGGCGCCCCTGGTTCACGTTTTTTGATTAAGGGGAAAGATTATCAAAAGCAGCACAAAGTAGAGGTTGAGCCTTTCTTCCCTCTGTACTCTAGACCAGTCTGAAATGTCAGACCAGGAGAAGAAGATCTGCCCTGAAGACCCTGTCTTTCCCAACAGTGGGTTGCTTCAAATCCAGACTGAATACTGAAGGTGGGCTACAGACCATTAGAAATCCTTTTTGGTTGTATATGTGAAGTCACATTCCTCAGTTGGCCTCGTGGATATTAAAGCTGGTGTTTTACAATCCATTTGTCCACATTCCGTCTTCCTCTTAGCTGATATGAACTTGCCAATAGCATGCTTGTGCAACTGATGTGTGAATATATCTGCACTGCTTTTGCCTCTAAATATCACGGAAATTAAACTATTGTTTTGTGATTTGTTTTCCATTGCATATGAATAACATTTTTTCAAAGTTTCTCATTCTCTTCACAATTATTTTAATCTGTGGTAGACAATTAAGAGTGAGTACATAGGAGATTCATATTAATTTCAAACAGTGAAAACTGGGGTACCTAGGTGGCTCAGTCGGTTAAGCATCCAACTTTGGCTCAGATCATGATCTCAGGGTTCACGTGTTTGATCCCTGCATCAGGCTCTGTACTGACAGCATGGGGATCTCACTTTAAGTCCCTTGTCCCCCTTCTTCCACCCCTCCCCCATGCATCTCTCCCTCTCTCTCAAAAATAAATAAAACATTTTTAAAAAAGATTTTAAAAATAAAATAAATGTTAAAAACCCAATAATGTCATAAGTAGGACACACTGACTTAGAATCCTTCTGTTTGTTCATCTTTTCCCAAACCCTTAACCTCTTGAACACACACATCTTCCTTCCTGCGGGCCAGTTAGCAGCGCCCCTGTCTGTGTGTTTTCATGGGCTCCTCGCTCACCACCTGTTCTCTGGCTCTAGGCTGCTGCTGCTGCCCTCTCTCCGTCTCAGCACGTTTGGAGTCAGGAACTCACTCTCCCCATTGTCCTCTCGGCCTTCCTGGAAGGGTGTGGTGTGAGGCTAGCAGGCACAGGCTACGGTGGTTACCTGTGGTTCTGAGCATGTCTCCTCCCGTCTATGGAGAATCTCCAGCAGATGACTCTGCATCTTCCTCTGCAAAATCAGAGTCCTCTCACCTGACAGAAATCCTTCCCTCCAGAGGTCGCAAAGCCAGCACAGATCATCTTCTCCGTGACCCCTCCTGGGGGAGAGCAGTAAGCGCGTTCGCAGACCTCTCTTTCTAACACAAGCACCCGAATCTGCTGTAAGCGCCTTGCTGGGCTGCCATCTGCTTAAGAAACAGATTCAGAAAGACAGCTTCATAAGGAAGTAAACAACACATTACATTTAAAAAAGACATATTTAAGTTCAGACTTCCTCTGCAGTAATATAATTGCAATCACTCAGTGTGTCCTGAGCTGATGTTAGTTAAAAAAAATGTGTCTCATATAGGGTGTCTTCATTTCCCAAACGCGGCATCTTGGTAAAGGAATACATTATCAAAAGAACAAAACCAGAAACACTTTTTTTCTAGCTTATATTTGATTTAAAGTGTAGTGTTTCAAATATTGTTACACATAAATTTAGTAAGAAAAATTCAGCAAAATAGGAATTGGTGTTGTATAGGATGTATATGATTTTATATTTTTAAATGGTATATTTAGAGACAAAAATATAAATGTGATAACATATGACTTCCTAATATAAACCCAAATCATATTCCCTTTTCCTCTATTGTCACTGAGACTAATCTCAATTCCAATTTAAAAGGACTAAAAATGGTGGCATCTGGGTGGCTCAGCTGGTTAAGCATCCAGCTTCGGCTCAGGTCATGATGTCATGGTTCATGGGTTTGAGTCCTGTGTTGGGCTCTGTGCTGAAAGCTCAGAGCTTGGAGACTGCTTTGGATTCTGTCTCTCTCTCTCTCTCTCTCTCTCTGCCCCTCCCCTGCTCATGCTCTGTATTTCTCTCCCTCAAAAATAAACATTAAAAAAATTTTTTAAAAAGGACTAAAAATTAAGGCTATAAGGCTAACCATGAACACTACAACACTTCTCATAACTGACCCTCAGGCAGGACTGTGTTAACATGTATCTTGCATGACTTACTCTATCACTTTGGATTCATGACTAATTTTTAAAAAGTTTAGTGTTAGCAAGTACCTTATATTTATATAGCACCTTAATATTACTCCAACCCAATAATACAACATTGTGAGGTGGGTTGTTCACACACATGATCACATTGACCTCACACATGAAAAAAACCCAGAGTTTTGAAAATTTGATCTCACAGCCCATGTGGGGCAAAACTAGCACTTAAGCTCAAGCTGGACTCTAAAGCTTGTGCTTTTTAATGTATCAATCTAATACATAAATAAATGTGATGTATTTACAGTCCTCTTATTAGGGGCCATCCCCACCACCGGTCTTTACCATGCCTTAAAATTAAGAACTCATTTTCCCTCGGATTGAAAGAATGAATTCACTTTTCCCAAGACTGTAATGCCTCTCAATTGTCTGGTGGTCGTGGAGGTGGTGACAGTTGAAGGTGTCAGAGAACGGGCATATGTACTGAAGGGCTTGGAAGCTAGTCAGTCAAAAAAAAAAATGTACTGAGCGTTTATTCTATGCTAGGTGGACTTGTAGCCCTGGGGGAGACTGGTGAATTAGGCACCTGCTGCCACGAGGCTTCCGCTCTAACGGATGAGGTGTGGAGAATGACTACATACACTAACGTCAAACTACAGTCATGTGGGATGAAATGATAAAACCGGGTCATGCAGAAAGTGATGGAAGGGCACTCTGCGGCAGTGAAGTGACATGGGGAAGGAGTGCCGTTCTGAGCTGCGAGCAGAACGATGAGGAGGCAGCTCAGAGAAGACTGGAGCAAGAGTATTCAAGCTTCAGAAAGCAGAAGTGGTGTTGTGCTGAAGAGGAAGGAAGAAGACCACAGTGCCTGAAGGGGACACGGTGGGGGAGTAGGGTGGGGGGGGTGAGAAGGAAGTTGGAGAGGTAAGTGGAAGCCATGTCACAGAGAGTTTTCCAAGTCAGGCTAACAGTTCAGACTTTATTTGAAATGTAAAAAAAAAAAAAAGCGCCATTCAAAGAGTATCAGCTGAACCATGCTGATTTTTTTTTAAAAATATTTTATTTATTTCTGAGAGAGAGAGAGACACAGTGTGAGCAGGGGAGGGTCAGAGAGAGAGGGAGACACAGAATCTGAAACAGGCTCCAGGCACTGAGCTGGATGTCAGCACAGAGCCTGACGCGGGGCTCAAACCCATGAACCACAAGATCATGACCTGAGCCGAAGTCGGCCACTTAACCAACTGAGCCACCCAGGCGCCCAGGCGCCCGTGAACCATGCTGATTTTAAATCCTAGCTTTGATATGTATTAGTTACGGGATCTTAGCAAGTGATTTAAATCTTTTGAGCTACAATACCCTCATTTACAACATGGGGAGGATAAAACCTCCCCATCTAGTGGTTGGGCAGGTTCGAGGAAAATGCAGTTTGGCGGCAGGTGGCACAGTAAGCTACGCTCGCGCACAAGCAGATTCCAAAAACTGACACATGAACAGAAGAAAAAAGTAAAAGAAAATGATCTACAGTGAAAAGAAGCAAAATGCAAGCATTAACCCATTCAGATCTGTCGGTAGTTTGCTACGGCTTTAAGAACTGTGCGAGCTAGCCCAGGGGCTGGCAGACCACAGCCAGCAGACCGATTCCGTGCCGGCCCCACCCCAAGCCCTCCTAGTAATGACTTGTACCCTTTACAATGATTTTAAAAAACCCAAGAGTAATATTTTGTGACACATGAATATTATATGAAATTTAAATTTCATAAATAAACTCCTGCTGGAGCACAACCACATCCATTCTGTTACACATGTGTGTCTACGGCTGCTTCCACTACAATGGCAGAGTCGGATAACTGTGACATGGAACACATGGCCAAAAAATGTACTGTTTGCCTCTTTACAGATCTGCCCTACCTATAATTAGTCACCCTGAAGGAATAATATTAAGACCGTTTATTCTATAATCACCTATGACTAAATAAAACATGGGTTCTATCTTTTATTTTTTTTTTTTTTTATTTTTTTTATTTTTTTAAATGTTTTTATTTATTTCTAGGAGACAGAGAGAGAGACAGCATGAGCAGTGGAGGGTCAGAGAGAGAGGGAGTCACAGACTGAAACAGGCTCCAGGCTCTGAGCTGGCAGCCAGCACAGAGCCCGACGCGGGGCACGAACCCACGAACCGCGAGATCATGACCTAAGCGAAAGTCGGACGCTTAACCGACTAAGCCACCCAGGCGCCCCCATGGGTTCTATCTTTTAGAAGGAAGAAAGGCTAAAGCAGATACTGCTTGATGTCATTTCCATGCCAAGTTTTCAAAACAACTGGCAATAATGTTTATGCAAAAGTAAAATGTTTACCTTCACTAACGCTTCCCCATCCAGTCACAGCACAGATCTCAGAGGAGAAGAGTGGCTCCATGCTTTGTGGGAGACACACCGGCCTCACTATGGAGTTGAACGCCAGAGGAGAGCTCAGTTGTATTAGGGCGATGTCAGAGTCAGAGCTCTGTCTATCAAAGTCTTCATGCACCACGATGTGCTTTGCCCTTCTCACCTGTATCAGTGGCGAGCAAGCGAATTACAAGATGAAGTCAATGAGTCAAACTACTTCCTTGCATAATAGTCCAAAATAAACCTTAAATCTCTACATTTCAATGCATCAGTAATGAAGGTGGCTCTGTACTGAACTGAAAAGGGCAATCTCTGTTTATAATTTGTAGGAGGCCATGAATCACTTTCTGAGGACTAGAAGTCTCATAGAAAGCAGGCTACCTGGACCTGTGTAAACAGACTTGAATTTCTTTTCCTGACCTGCCTCACTTAATTCTCTGATGAAATTGTGAGCTCAGATTAATAAAAAATCTTTATTTTTTTATTAAAAATTTTTTTGAATTTTTTTTTTTTATTTTTGAAAGAGAGAGAGAGAGTGTATGAGTAGGGGAGGAACAGAGAGAAAGGGAGACAGAGAATCCAAACTGGGCTCCAGGTTCTGAGCTGTCAGCACAGAGCCTGACACGGGGCTTGAACTCACAAACTATGAGATCATGACCTGAGCTGAAGTCAGATGCTTAACTGACCGAGCCACCCAGGGGCTCCGCACATTGTATCTTTAAATGTTGATATATCGGTAAGTGCTTATGGGGACTAGGAAATGTATACCTAATTACATATTTTGGCTAAAGACATTCCCCAGCATGTGGTAACACTTAGAATACAGGCAGGATGACCCTTCAAAACATTTCTCACCTGCTCCGTTGGTTCCTTCAAGGTTCTATCATGGTCCCCAGCAATAATGGTCCAAAAGAGTGGATTATTTTTCCTGGACAAAGAACAAGAAAAGTTTGACATGAAGAGACATTTTTTACCATTTGGTCTAACCCCATGTGGCTCTGCCAACATGCATTTGTGTTTCGCTCAGCCAGATGCCATTATTCCCCTGTCTGTGTGACACCTGTTTCTGTGACCTCCTGCCTGGGAAGGTACACCACACCCCCTGATCTACCTGTAGAGCTCTTAATAATGTATCCTGCCCCTTTCTTTTGGCCATAAAATGACCTTGGAGCCTCTACCAAATATCACCAAAGGCTGTTTTTAAGTTGAAAAGTTAAAAACTACAGCTTACTTTCATTTCACAGTGATGTTAAGAATACAGTAAAAAAAAACAAAAAAACAAAAAAACAAAAAAACACCTACATTCATAATGAGGTAGCTTCTGGTCTATGTTTTACTGTTAAAAGTAGGCAAACATTATCTTACAGGAACATATCTCAAATTGTTTTCTTTTAGCAAATCACCAGAATTAATGGAATGGAGGGCAAAAAAATTATCATTTTACAAAACAGGTAAAACTCACCTATGGCACGTAGGACATTATTTTTGGGACATGATGAATGGAAGAGGCAATAAGGGAGCTGCTGGGTGTTGGCACTACTTTGTTTTGTGATGTGGGTACTAGACACGTGGGTGCCCACTTTGTGAAAATTCCTCTAACTATAAACTGGACATTTGCCCCCTTTTGAGATACTTCAAAAGGATGTTTAAATAAACAACTTAAATCAGTATCCATTGATCCGCCACATCAAGATTTTCAGCTGAAGAAATATCTGAAGAAAGAGTCCTTCAATTGTCACATTATATTGTGACTTCAGCTTGGAGATTCTTTAAGTTTTCAAAACTGTTTGCTTAGGAAAAGTTATTGAAATGATTTTTCAATACACTTTATTCAAAGGAGAAGTTTCTTCACACACGTAGGCATCTTCTGTCTAGTCTTAACCATGCTCATTTCAATTCCTTGCATGACGAGTCTGACTTATTCATGTGTTTCAATATGACTTTATTAAAGGAGCCTACTCAGGTAAAGTGCTTGGCAAATATCTTGCAGATGGTAATGACTTCATAATGGTAGCCATTATTACTATTATTATCTGCCATGCACTCTAACTGAAGGATTAAACTTTATTTTCAAAGTCACCCTCTAAATTATTACTTGGTAGTAAAGAAACTTATTTCCTAAAGTCACTCTACTTCTTAGATAGAGGATGACATGCACAATGAAATGAAATAATAAAAATCATGATATAGTTGATAATGTAGATCACAATTTCTAGTGAAGTTTTACATGCACGGTCATCAAATACCCTTTAATTTGGTAGAACACCGTGTAAAAATCGTTATGACAGAGCAACATACATGTTATGGGGCAACAAAGCATGAGTTTTTCCAATAGTAAGATAATAACTGATCAAAGTAACAATTGATGGATTTCTCCATCTTATCCCCCCGCTACCTATAATCAAGCTTCATTTCTTATATCCTTAGGGTCTCATCCCCAGTCCAACAATGGGACATGTGCCACTTACTGCTTTGGGAGAAGAGAGAATCACTGCTGAATTACAGAAAAAAAGGGGCTGAAACTGAAAACATTTAGGTTTAAGGCTGAAATATTCCAATATAAGATTGCAAAATGAATTTAGTCCCCTACACTAAAATTCCCAAATGAGCACAAAGACCAGTGTGGAGTCAGCAAAAGAAAAATACCAGTTTTCCCTAAGTGTGGAATAATATCTGGGAATTTCTTACAAATGCAAATTCTCGGGCCCCACACCAGACTTACAGATTCAGAAACCCTCCAGGTGATTCTGGTTTGTGCTACAGTCTGAGAACACTAAGAGTGAGCAGTGCCAGAGAAGCCAAGGGAGGTGGTCCAATGCTGCTGTCACCCTTAATGTCTCTGGAGTGCTACCCAACAATGTCACATAGCCTGGCACCTAGTGCCCTTCAGCAAAAATGATGTCTACTTCAGCTTCCACACTTTGCAAATCTCCCCAGTTGGCTTATCCCACATAGAAAACATCCCTTATCAATGGATTTGGATATGTGGCAGCCCCCCTCAACAGAAGATGGAGACCTGAGTGTCTATCAGGCCCATGAAGATGAGGCAGGGGGAACAAGTCCATGAAGCAATCCACCGCAGAGTTCCCAAAAACGCAGAACATACCAATGTTGTTACTCTGGCCTATTAGACGCTTCTGGTATAAAGCGCTTTATATTTGAAGCTATTTAAGGAATAGCTTCAAAAAGACATTTCTCTGCTAAAATAAGTAGTCAACTATGAAGAGTTAAAGAAAAAATGAGTCACACAGACATTTTCTATATCATTATAAATATATGGCACAATATTTTGTACAGAAAAATCATAATACACATGGTATATACAAATACTATAAAATGGATGACTATGTGCTTAAATATTAGTGGGAAATCAGATAATTAAAACAGTATTGATCACTTCTAAAGAAGATGAATGGATTCGTGAAATGGAGAGAGTATTTAGATTTTACTTGATAACTTTCTTTAACTGCCTTTACTCACAAGCATTACTATTTTAAAAATCTTTTGTTTTTTAAGAAATCAAGAACTCACTAATGAAATTGCATACAAATTCCGTTTGTGGTCAACTTAAATGGTTCACAAACATTTACAGCTGACTGTGTTTATTAATCTCAACTGACTCATCAATTTGAATATCCACCTTGTGAAGAATGGTTTTGCTGCAAGGTCTCTGGTTCATCACCAAGAATTCCAAGAATAGACTACACCAGTTGACAAGGGAATCTGCTGAAATGTCTCCTGTGCCTTGAGCTTCAATACTAATATTTGTCTTTTCTAATACATTAATTTTTACTAATTAATCAGCTACCATTGAGTCTTATTTTCCATGATATATAAAAATGAATTCTGACAGAATTACTATAAAATGGACATTTCCAAGGGAGAGAAAGCCTAGAATAAATGATGTGGTATTGGACTGATGTAAACATCCACGTGAAGTCATGTTTAGTGTAATATAGATACAGAAAGATAGCTATGTTTATAAAATGGGTTAGTAACTATAGCTATATTTCCTAGCTCTTTTAGTCTAGAGGACCTAGTGCAATAACACCCTAGTAGCAGCTAGTACACTCACCACTTAGACCTTGATTTCTCATAGCATTCCCAATAAAATAGACCAGGACTCATTGGAGAAATGACTGATTCTAGAACTGAGGAGGGAATACATCAGATAAACCTGGAGCATTTTGTAGTCTCACAAATGGATAGGGGCATGTTAAAAAGATAAGAGGCCACCCTGAAGGAACTGACACTGGTCAAAGCTGGAACAATTTGAGCAACAAAATAGTTATGTAGTATTTTAATGTGTATTTATTTTTGATAGAGAGAGAGAAAAGGGGGAGGGGTAGAGAGAGAGGGAGCCACATAATCTGAAGCAGGCTCCAGGCTCTGAGCTGTCAGCACAGAGCCTAATGCGGGGCTTGAACTCACAAATGGAGATATCATGACCTGAGCTGAGGTCGAACATTTAACTGACTAAGCCACCCTGGTACCCCTGTAGTTTTTAAAATAAATATCCCTGAATCCATGATGATATAAACACATTATTTAATAAATAAATCAGGAATAAGAGACATATCTCCCATACAGGAAAATTTCAAACAATTTATGTAGACACTTTCTACCCAAGAGGTGAAGCTTAGTACCCAATGCCTCAAGTGCAGTCGATACTAAGTGACTTGCTTCCAAAGAGCAAGTATGGAAAGGGGGAAAATGTAACTTTATAATGGAGACACTTGGCAAGTACTACCTCAACCAGGGATCAAGGTTAACATCATCAGTGATAAGTCATGTTGATAACATGTACCCTTGAAATGATGCAATAAGAATGGCATATGACCTCTGTGATTTTCCTTCTCCAAAATCATAATCTCAGTAAAACCATGAGGAAATAGCAGACAAGCTTAAACTGAGGGACCTTCTACAAAATAACAGATGAGTACTCCTCAAAACTGGGAAGGTCATCAAAAACCAGGCAAGTCTGTGATACTTAGGACCAAGAGTAGCCTTGCGTGCCATGCCGATCAAATGTAATGTGGTATCCTGAACGGGAAAGGGAACAGCAACCACAAACACCTTGAGCCAGAGGAAATGCAGCATGTTTGAGGAACGGGACTGGCCCATTATGAGCAAGCAGGGTCAAGGCTGGGTCAGATAGACGGGGAGTGGTTCTTGATCATGGCTGTACACTGGAATCATGGGAGGAGGTTTTTTAAAAGTTTATTTGTTTATTTTGAGAGAAAGAATGCATGAGCAGGGAGAGGGGCCAAGAGAGAGAGAGAGAGAGAGAGAGAGAGAGAGGAGAGAATCCCAAGCAGGCTTCTGCACTCTCAGCATAGGGCCTAATGCAGGGCTTGAACCCATGACCCATGAGATCATGACCTGAGCTGAAATCAAGAGTCAGATGCTGAACCTACTGAGCCACCCATCTGAGAAGTTTTAAAAAAAGAAACAAACTACCAGTGTCTAGAACTCACCAACTAGTGACTTAAGTAGTTTGGACTGAAAATAAATTAATTACAGGTGTACACAGACACATAGCTTATCTATATAACATTAGTATAAGAGCAATTCACAGTAAAATAGAAACTGCAATTCTTTTTACATTATCAAAACCAAGAAAAACTAAGCAATATACTAGTTTTAGGGATTCATAGATGTTAAAATTTAAAAAATAAACAATGGTATCATAAATACAAAATTTAGCATAGAGTCTACCTCTTGGCAGGACTCCTAGGGGGTCTTAGAGAATATTCCTAAAGAAGATAAAGAATATTCCTAAACTGAGTGGCAAGGATACATATGTATATTTACTAACTATTCTTTAGACCACAGATATATCATGTGCAGTTTTTTTATATCATGGCATAATTCACAATTTAAAACCCTGAAAAAGGAAAAGTTTAGTTCACTGGTGGTCTAGTGACCAATGTGGTAGATTCTCCTACTGTGCTTTCCACTGTTTGGACCATATTTTAGGAAAAACAACACTAAATCAATCCAGAGGAAGTTGTACCACATGGTGAGGCATCTGGAATTACTGACCAACAATAGAATGATGAGCATTTAGCTTAAAAATGAAATTAAGGGACAATGTGAGAGACATCTTCAAGTATAGGAAGCACTGTTATGTGGAAGAAGAAGCAGACTTAGTTCTTGTTTTCCAGAGCTCCAGTAAATTTAGACCAATAGGTTCTGCTAAAGAGAAGTAGACTTGCGCTCAACATAATAATCAGATTGCCATAAATGGGATGAGCACGTACAAGATTTGATCAACATTTTCCTCACTGATATTGTTTAAGTAGAGGATAGATGGCTGTATAGAAAATCAATGAGAGATTCCTGCTTTAGAATTAGTCTGGATGACTTCAGTAGTCAGACAACTGTATCATAGGCATGGTCATAAATACACATCCTGAGTACATTATTAAAATAGCATCAGCTTCACTCACGATTGCACACAGTGGGCTGCAGTGAGAATCCAAGTTGGACTGAGGATGGCACCTCCACACTGGTGACTGCCTCGAAACCTCACACCCACCTGCCATGGCCAACAGTGGGGGCAGGCTTCCTCCCCCGCTACGGTTCTTCTGGAAAGCCACCAGAGACGAAATGGAGGGATGCCACAGATGCCTATAGCAGAGAAGGTGAAATTAATGACCCATCCAAATGAAATAAGAAAAAACATATACCTCCTCCAATGGCTTACAATAGTCGGCAGTAGTAATCCCCAAATACCAGGTGAGCTTTATAGAGATATCAACTCCCAACACCCACCTCTGGGCAAGATTTTAAAAGCTTGCCTTGGTAACTCTGCTAAGCATTTTGGTTTTTAGTTATTGGCCTACAGAATAGTATTTACTCATTTATTTAATAAATATTCTTAGTGCTTGGTATTGCCAGGCAATGTTCTAGAGAGTGGCGCTCTAGGTACCGGTGATCTGTCAGTGAATAGAATAGATAAAAATCTTGGCGCTTTTGGAAGTTACATTCTAGTGGGATGGGTTTTTTTTTGTTTGTTTTTGTTTTTTTAATTAACAGGGCATACAAGGTTTTTCATTATATATCCTTGTTTCTTCTCTCTCATGGCATTTTATCCTATTATAGCTCTCTGTACAACTTTCTATTATAACCCATCAACTAGACCATATTTAATAAACATGCCTACAGAACAAAGAAAGATCATAATTTTTGACCAGGTACTTCAGATGACAAATAAGTTAAAAGTTGCCAGTGTGTGCTAAAATGAAACAAAACAAAAACCTGTGTTTTCTTCCTTTGCCTCAAAATGCATAATCATATTAACCACTGATTCTAGAAAGATACTTTAAATACTAAGTTTGCATAGGTACAAATGAGGACAAAGGATTACTCTCTGCACCCCTTTCTTCCAATCATAAAGATTATTTCTTCTTCCCTTTATTTATACATGTATATGCAAAGCCAGACAAGATTCTGGAAGTTTCATGGACCTAAATGTAAAACTTATTCTTCTTCACTGTGAAGTTATATTAATGTAAAATGAGGCTTTCCAAAGAAGAAAGATTAAACAGATAGTAACCACATGACCATTAACTCACCATATGGAATGGCTTTTGCAGAAGACACAGGATTGGCTTTGGGAGATGATGTTGATCCAACTTGGTTTGAAGAGTCTACAGAGAAAACATGTTTTCAACTGAGAATATTTAAAGTGGTCTACACTAGCTGACCCTGCTTGCTTACCCTGGTCAATCATAAAACCACTCCACTATTGACTTTACTACTACTACCTTTCCAATGCTAAATGCCAGGTCCCATAGATGTGATTTGTTATATATCTCTTAAATTCCTGGTGTATCTGACTGTTTTAAGCATTTCTTCCTTCTTTGGCTTCATGAAATTACTCTCTTGATCTTCTTGATAAACGATAACCATCTCTTCTCAATTTCAGTCTTTTTTTTCAAGACCCTATCCTTCAGCCTGCAAGATATTCCACAAGGTACTGTTCATAACCCTATTACTATTCATTTGCATATATGTGACTTCCACATTTCTCTCTTCAATCTCAGTCTCTTTTCTGAATTCTAGATGTAGAATATGCTAGATATCTGCATCTGGATCTCTCACAAGCTCATACAAATACACTTGTCTCAAACGAAACCAATTGATTTCAACAGTCATCACAGTCTTGTTATGTTTCTCTATATGATTTAGTGGCTTTACCATCTACCTAGCCATCAAGCTAGAGTCCTGAGAATCATGCTGGAATTTTTTCTCCTTCATATATCACCTTTTCCACAACGTATCTGATCAAGGACTATATGTAGAATAAATTCTTACAACGACTTATTCACTACTCTCCTATAAACTCACCCCTAATCTCTATCTTTATCTTCCACATTACCACTAAGGTTTGAGTTCTGCTTCACCTCTTGGCAGTTATGCATCTTTGGGAAAGCTACTCAACCTCTGTGAACTCTCTTCCCTCATCTGTGCAAAGTAAGCATTGTATAAACCTCTTAGGTTTGTAAGGAGGAATAAATGTGGTAATGCATGCAAAATGTTTAGTCTATACCTGTTACAAAGAAAGTAACCAATAAATGTCAGCTAGCTGTCCTATCACTCTGGTACCTAAAATTGAATGCCTGAATCCATCATGATCTGACTCTTGCCTTTTCTATCATTCCCTCCGAAACTTGAACAATGCTGAATTTTTTGTAGTTTTTTTTGTACATCTCCCATTCTCTTCCACACTAGGGTCTTTCCAATGATATTCCTTTCGTTTAAGTAAAGGCTGCTCTATTTTCTGGAATCGCTAGAAAACTATAAATTCTTCAAAACCCTGAAATGTCCCAAAACAGAGCTGGTCAATCTCATTTCTGAATTACATTCTCTAATCTCAATTATCTACTTTCCATATAAGGTGCTTAGAGTCTTTTCTGATCATTTAGTGGATGTAGTTTCTTGGCTTCACCAGAGTTTCTTGTTAAAGCACAGATTTCTGGGCCCATCACAGATCTATAGGATCTAAATATTCAAGGGTAGGCAGGAATCTGCATTTAAAATTTGTTTTAAAAAATTTACTGTTTATCTCTTTTTGAGACAGAGACAGAGCATGAACAGGGGAAGGGCAGAGAGAGAGGGAGACACAGAATCTAAAGCAGGCTCCAGGCTCCGAACTATCAGCACAGAGCCTGATGCGGGGCTCAAACCCATGAACTGTGAGATCGTGACCTGAGCCGAAGTCGGATGCTTAATTGATTGAGCCACTCAGGTGCCCCTAAAAATTTTTTTAATGTATATTTAGTTTTGAGAGTGGAAGGGAGACAGAGCGTGACCAGGGGTGGGGCAGAGAGAGAGGGAGACACAGAATCTGAAGTGGACTCCAGACTCTGAGCTGTCAGCACAGAGCCCAACGTGGGGCTGGAACCCATGAACCGTGAGATCATGAACTGAGCCAAAGTTGGACGCTCAACTGATTGAGCTACCCAGATGCCCCAGGAATCTGCATTTTTTGGGGACACCTGCGTGTCTCAGTCAGTTGAGCATTTGACTTAGGCTGAGATCATGATCTCATGGTTTGTGGGTTTCAGCCCCACATTAGGCTCTGTGCTGACAGCTCAGAGCCTGAAGCCTGCTTCAGATCCTGTGTTTCCCTCTCTCTCTGACCCTCACCTGCTCACACTCTGCCTCTCTCTCTCTCTCATATAAGTAAACATTTAAAAAAAAATGTTTTTAAGTAGGCTCCATGCCCATGACCCTGAGATTAAGAGCTGAGCTAAGATTAAGAGTCAGATGCTTAACCAGCTGAGTCACCAAGGAGTCCTAGGAATCTGCATTTTTATTTTGCCACCAAGGTGATTCAAGCACCCTAAATTCAAATAAACATGGCTAAGTGATATTCTGTATAACTATTTTCACAAGCAAAAATTATCACCATGCTAGTGCTTATCCTCACCTGAGAGCAAAAAGGTGAATCTAGCCTTGAAGCCTTGGAAGTTATTTTCACCATCACTTTTAAAATGAATCACCAGCATGTTATTAGGACTGAATATTGGAGTAGGGTTCAAGATTCCACAAAGTTTGGCTGTAAAAGTTTTAGGGAAGTTTGATTTACAGTTACACAAATTTTTTAAAATCAGAAACAGAGATAAAACATTAACTAATTTTTTCCCAGCAATTCTGGTTTTCTTCAACTTTAGTTTGTAGGCACACCTTTCCATTGTATGTGGGAGTCAAACACTAGTTTCAAGATAACCATGTGTCGTAATTTTATCTCATAGAAAAACACTAGATAGAACAAAGACATCTGATTTTTAGTATGCAATGAAATGTTAATTGATTTTTAATGTACACAGTGCAAAGGGGTGAGTTAAAGAAAATCTCAAACTTAGTATCCTCCTTCCAAACAGAAGGTGGCTATGCTTTATGTGAGGAAGTAACACCTGAAATTGGCTTCGCTAGAAGCCTACTCTATACCGGTCCTATTCAGCTGGGTGAGGGGGATTGTGCCTCCATTGACCTGCCTTGAATATCCAAACATTCCTAAACACCTATATTCCTGGTCTCAGACCCACACTGACACCTAACTAAAGGACAAATAATAGGGATCTTAAGGGAGTGGCTGCACAGCTGGAAGAGATAACTTTTCATGCTAAGTAAATTGGTAGGTCAAACTTGAAAGTGTATTTGAATTAGTTCCAAAAATTAACTTTTAAGATTCAAGTAGAAACTATAGCTTCTGGGTTTTTTTTTGTTTTTTTGGTTACTTTTCTTACACACTAAAATATCAGCAATTGAAGAAAATAATGCAGAAAGAAGTTTAGAAAATTACCTTAAATAATTGCCAAACACATACTCAGAGTTACTGTTTCCTTTTATCCCCCAAGGACTTTGCATTCACTTTCCAAATATTCTGAAACGTTCTCCAAATTTTGCATGTTTCTATTAAAAATCCTACTGGTGAGGGGCGCCTGGTGGCTCAGTCGGTTAAGTGTCCGATTTTGGTTCAGGTCATGATCTCACAGCTCATGGGTTCGAGCCCCATGTCGGGCCCTGAGCTGACAGATCGGAGCCTGCTTTGGATTCTGTGTCTCCCTCTTTTTGTCCCTCCCCCTCTCATTCTCTGTCTCTCTTTCTCAAAAATGAATAAAAATTTTAAAAAATTAAAAAAAAATCTTACTGGTGAGTCCACTGTTGGCTCGTGGGTTAAAGCTAAGGTTTTCTGACACGTGAGTTTCCAGAATAAGAAATCCTCATTCCCATCAACTTTGTGGCACCCAAGGAGGCTAGTGAATGTTACGAGCTATTCTCGTGCTTTACAGATGGACTCTTACCCACCTGACTCGTGCTCCTCTTCAGGATCGCCGTAAATCACAACAGCGTCATACATACAGTTTTGGCTAAATTCAGTGATAAAGTCCTCAAATTCCAACTGTACGAATTAGAAACATAACCAGAGAAGGCAGAGAAGGACAAATATCATATGTTTGCACATATAGGAGGATTAGGAGGAACTTAACGGAGGGACAAGGGGGAGAAGAAGGGGGGAAATAGTGGGGGAAAGGGAGAGAGGCAAACCATGAGAGACTCTTGAATGCTGACAAAAACTGAGGACTGATGGATGTGGGGGGGAGGGGGGGTGGGCATGGAGGAGGGCACTTGTGGGGATGAGCACTGGGTGTTATGTGGAAACTAATTTGACAATAAACTATTTGTAAAAAATAAAATTAAATTAAATTTAAAAAGTAAATAAATAAATACAAACTAGAAGTAAAAAAAAAAATGAATGAGACACATGAGACATGATTTTCCACTTCATTTGGGTCTAATTCTACTACACATCTATGTCTCTAATGTCTATTAAAATATAAATCTCATTTTCTTAGTCTCCATACCCTCTCACATTAGAAATTCCATTAAAAAAAAAAAAAAGAAACATAACCAGAGAAATGGTCAAGGAAGAGAAGAGATAAACTTTAAAAGCTTCCTTCTGAACATGAAAAGGCCTGCAGTCACTCCCTCCTATTCCATTGATAGAAGTATAGTAATTGCAGCCTCTTTGGAGACCGATTTGGCAAGGACTGTGAGGTTTAAGTGTGCAAACTCTTTGACATGGAGAGTCCACTTCTGGAAATTACAAACATCCACATGTGTCCCAAAACACTGACACAAGAATGTAGTAGTGCTTTTAGCCTGGAAACCCACTAAGTGGCTGCTAATGGGGAACTAGCTTAAGAAATTACGGAATATCACACAATCTAATTTTATGCAGTTGTTAAAAAGTGCTCTGTGGACTCATTCAGAAAGGTCTTTTGAGATATGTTTAAGGAGAAAAAGCATGGCGATGTAAATATATGCATGTGTGTACTGCTCAGAAGACCTCTCTAGGGATACTAGTGTTCACTTGCCATTAGGAGGTAGGATGGGTGTTAGGTAAGAAGGAGGCATACTTTTAATTGTGTTCTCTCTTAAACTGCTGGAACTTTTCAAAGCACATTTATAGATCCAAATAGATGGATAGATAGACAGACAGAGGGATGTAGATTGATACATCTATGTATGGCAGTGAACAGAAGCTTTTAGTCACAATGGCAGTTTCATAGCCCAGATGAAGCAAGCTCTGCCTAAACAAAAGAGCTAAGCTCTCAGTGAAGTAAAGATCTTCCTTAGTTGCTTACCTTTATAATGTGTTTCTCTGGAGCACGAATGAACCAGTGACACTTTACATTCGTGGGATATGAGTCAGGGTAACTGGCAGAGTGAATCATCCCTTCTTCCACCAATACGGCCACACTCCCACACCCTGAACCTGTTGAAGTGTCAGGGAAATCCAAAATGAATGGCCAAAGGTATTCCCTCTCCCTTACCCCCATATCAAATAAAAACGTCAGGGAATGAAATATCTGAGATACCAGCTTCTGAGTTCTTCCGAACAGCCATAAAAGTAAGCTCAAAACTACTACCACTGTTTTCTGTATCAGAAACAAATGCAATGGTAGCCTCATTGGTCTCTGTCAGCAATGGTGAAGGCACTATATCTCCACAGACCTTACCTTAAAAGGAAATAGCATTACTAAAAATGGCAGAAACTTGTTATATTTTCCCTCATCCTATGTTCCAGGAACTCTCTGTTCTCAACCCACCAAACTATTTAGTGGTTAATTTAATTTTTCCGCACTTTCTGTGTCTGTGTTTTTAGATTCCATTTGGTTTCTTAAACTCAATCTCACATGTCTAAATTCTACTCATCCTTCAGGGCCCGACTCGAAGTCCAGTTCTCATAAACCCTCCTAAACACCCACTGAAGTAAGAGCTACCTTTTCTGAATCACCACAGCACATTTCCTGTACTAGGTCATCTCCTACTTTATGGTACACGCTTAGATGCCTCATCGAACTGCAACTGCAATAGAGCAGAGACTGTTTTTACTCCACATATGTATAGGACTTAATATGATTGATATCTGGTACATAGTTGACTTTTTAATAAATTTTGTATGATTGGTTGAAAGAATGGTTCCTAAGGTAAATTGCAGGCCTGACTGTGAAATCATTTAGTTGATGAATATTATAACCCTTAGCACAACACCTTATCTACAGCATCCTGTCAATTTGTAAAAAGATATTTGTCCTAATCATTGGCCTAAGGACATCTAGAGACCAAGGTATATACCAGCTCTAGAGACCTTCTATCAAGATGCTTAACACATAATATTTCAATTAAAGTTATCAGTGATGCTTATATAATATATAAGTGGTATTCCACAAATGACCTGAAATGATCTATTGTCATGGGAGAAAAGAACATTATAAAACAATGTGAAGTTCAATGTGTACAGTTAATATGCATAAAAGAGTATACGGTACCTTAAAATGTTAATAGCATTTATCTCTAGGTGGTAGGATTTTTAATGGTTTACATTTTCTTCCAGTTACTCATTTGTCTTTACCAAATTTGGCAAACAGGCACCCATTTTTTTGATAAAACAAAAAAAAAAAATAGATGCTGCCTTGAAAGGAAGTTTCTGATAATTGTGAGATCGATGTCATTCAAAACTGCTATTGAACTTGAGAAGGGAATAGAGGAAGCTCACTCAGTATGCCGGTCATTGGTTCCTCTCCTACCACACCCATTCACTCCTTCAGTAAAGGGATGGTATGTAAAGTATCCTATGGGCAGAAACCTAACTTCAGGTCCCTTTGCACATCTTCAGTTGTTTAGATATTCTAACATGACAAGAAAAAAAATGTAACATACGTACTAATAAGCACTCCATTGCTTGATTGTAAAGATATATAGCCATGGTCACATCCAACTTGATTTTGTATGTCTAAACTTATAAATTTTATCAGGATGATTTTATCTTCTGGTACCATTATTTTCCACATACATAAGCTAGATAGGGGAAGGTAGAGGAAGTATAATAAATGGGACAGTCAAGTGTGACAAATAAGATCTAATATATGGCTTTAGCTCACAATTCATCAATAACAAAAATCATAAAGGCTATTAGACGATAAGGGCAGTAGAAGTTCCTTATGTGAGAATAGTTTATACTCAAATTGTTGGCATTTATCCAACAAACAGAAGAGTTAATTAGAGAGTGGCCAGAAATCACCCTTTAAATTACATTCAGTTATAAAATGCTAGGATTTTGATCTATAAATGGAAAACCCTAAGATTCATCTCTTTGTTCTAACTTATTAGCCTAATTGAAAATCATAATGTTCACTTCAGGGGAGCAAGTCCAATTCTGCCTGTGTGGTAGTTTCTCAGATAAGACAGTTCCTTCTTCCTCTCAAGTCTTCTTTGCATCAAAACCATTCCTGGTTCCTCCTACCATATCTCCCAAGATATTGTTTCAAATTTCTTTCCATCTTAGCCATTGTCCTTCAGATAATTTCCAGTTTATCACTGTCCCTCTCTAAAGATTGTACCTGAAGACCCCTCCCAACTCCCCCTGCCTAGCAATCTAATAAAAGAGGACTCTCACTCTTGTTCTAGATGCTATTTTTCTAAAAGTTTAAGCAAAGATGGCACAGGCTTTATTGGTATTATATTATTACTAGGTTGGCACACAGAAAATCAAATTAGACTTTTTAAAATTTTAGAGAGAAAGAGAGAGGGAGCACTCAAGCTGGGGAGAGGGGAAAAAGGGGGGAATGAGAGAGAGAGAAAGAGAATTGTAAGCAGGCTCCATGCTCACAGAGTCTGATGCAGAGCCTGATCTCATGACCCTGGGATTATGACCTGAACCGAAATTAAGAGTCAGATGCTCAACCAACTGAGCCACCCAGGTGCTCCTCAACTTAGACTTTTAAGCCTTTTAAATATGGGCTGAAATTAAGCCACATCATTTCCTTTCTATACTTATAACAAATATTTACAGTCATTATACATTCATTTTACAAATTATTTTCTTGCCACCATTTTAGTTTCCTATTGTTTATAGCAAAAAAATCTAAGCAGCTTCTCATGAAATTTAAGGTACTCTATTACCTTAGGTTAAGACCTAACAAGTCTTTTTATCTTCACTGTCCATTGCTACACCAGTCCTTATTTATGCTAACATTGCTGTCCAGCCTCCTTGTGACTCACACCATCCAGATAACCATGATATTCTCCACCTCCTTGACATTTCTTATACACAGTTCTCTGTACCTCGCATGATATGTTGAGATCTCTTAGATACTCGAGCTACAAACAACTTCATTACCTATAAAATAACTATCCTTCAATGCCTAGTTTCAATACTGTACCCTTCACTAAAACATTCCTGTCTCCATGTCTCCCAACCACAGTATAAACACACACGTCTCACAAACCACTGCCATGGGAATTCATCTTTCCATCTTTCATAACATCACCCTATACCTGGGTAGTGTGGATTATAAAGCTTATTGGTCTTATTTTATAGTATAGTTCTTTTTATCCAGATCATAAACTCATAGAACTGTGATCTACCTTTGTATATTTTTAAATGCTCATACAATTTTTAATATCAATTTAGAACACCTGAGGAAGCGAACTACTTGCAAAACTTATTTCTAAAGCTTAAAGATACCTTTAGAGGGGACAGAGTATGTAGAAAAAATTTAAAGACACCGAAGCTTATTCATCTCCAGCTATTTTCCATCTTCTGGGAACCAAAATATTACCATTATTACCGAAAAAAGTAGGAAAGGATTCATCACTAAATTCCTGTAACAATCTCACTAACAGATGGTGTTAATGTTGGATATTTGAAAACATCAATTCAGGTAAGCTCTACTCTTAATACTACTTGTGCTGATGATTTGTATTGGTGGATATCAGAAATAACAGTCAGCAAATATTTGCTAATCAGAAAATATCAGATGAAACACACAGACTTTTATGGTAAGCAGATAAAAAAATTGAGATATAAGATAAAATTGGCAAAACATAGTCCTTTAAGAGGTCTGATGTTGGGGTGTAACCCAAGAATCATTCTATGTTGAATACATACCAATTATGAGAACAGTTGCTTTCTTTGGAATGGAGGTAATGAATCTTCCCATATTCTCCAAATAACACTGTTTCCTGAGATCTACAATCTTTCAAAGTGTAGAAAAAAGTTGATTATTTACCTCAGCTATGAACAGAAATTCAAGACATATGGTACAAAGCTTGAAGCTTTGTAATTTATATAAATTTATGGGAATGCATGTTTTTTAGATGCTTTGACCTAGACACTGTACTTGCAGACTTCACTGAGATAATTTCTAAATCATAATTGTTCTTTACCTGAGTCCTTCAGATTTAATAATTCCTTATCCAGTTTTTGCAAATCATGAGTAACAGCAAGGCTTCAAATTTATAGCACATGGAACTAATATGGCTTTTTCCGTCAACTCGCACTAGGATATCCTGGGGTTATAATAAAATACCTTTGTATAAAAATACTAATGTAAAAGTACAATTTTATATTTAAATTGTTTTATTTTTAAACTTTTTATATTTATTTTTTTGTTTATTTCTGAGAGACACACAGAGAGAGAGACAGACAGCGCATGAGTGGGGAAGGGGCAAAGAAGGAGGGAGACACAGAATCTGAAGCAGGATCCAGGCTCTGAGCTGTCAGCACAGAGCCTGACACAGGGCACGAATTCATGAAGCATGAGATCATGACATGAGTTGAAGTTGGACGCTTAACCAATCGAGCCACCCAGGGGCCCCAAAAGTACAAAATTTTAGCAGTGACATGGCAAGTGTCTATCTTGCACTCAGAAATTTCAGATTCCAGTGTCACATTTTAATTGTTGGAAACTAGAAGAAATAGGCAACTGTGGGATGAGAAGCTTAGATGATGTTAAGGAAGTGTTATTTAAATAAATTGTCACATTGTGCTATTCATTTGATTGTGGAATTAACCATTACTGGCTGATTTCATGGCCCTTTTTAAATATTGTTGTCATTAACCTTTGTTCAGGGCTTGTTAATTCTTTTAACCTTCTCTTTCAGGTGATGAAAATGGGATAGAATTGCTACCAGGAGAGAATCTCCCTGTGCAGTAATGACAATGAACAGAAGGCTTTTCCTATGAAGCTCAAATGAGGGTGGCAAGCCTGCTCTAGGCAGAGGGAGCTCTGGTGTTCAGCTGGACCAGTTAACAGTGGTACTTCTCGAATCATCAGCAAGGTGGCTGATCTTGGACAACAATGAGGGAGGGCTGGAGGGCTAGAGAGAACCCTGTGCTCTGACGCTCTGGCTCCCGGCCTTGAAACGACTTGGTTCTGTTACTGAACTGCTCCCTCCTGTAATCTGTGTGTCCTCACGCCTCTCCGTTGTGCAGAGGCTGCCCCCTGGGCATTCCTTGTGCATGTGCTGCCCATCTGCATGGCAAACCTGGTGTCCCTTGGGACTGAGCCCCTCCACCCTGTTCTCAGTGCTCTGACAGCTCTCAGGGACTTAGCTCACCCTGTAGCTTAGCTTGGCCCACCTGTCATCACAAGGGCCAACTTATTCCTCTGTCTTCCCAAATAGTAAGAAAGTTCCCTGAGGACAGGCTTGGCATCTCCAGACCCACATCACTTGTTTTCCTAATTCTAGATTTTAGAGCTGCAAAGCAAAAGTAACGCTCTAAAGCCTCCCTTATTTTCCTCCACTGTTGCCAAGTACAATTAATAAAGGTGAGTGGGGAAAAATGGAAGGGGAGTAATTTAGTTTCAGTGCTCTAAACTAGTTTAAAGGAAAAAGGTATGTCACCTGGATAAATAAATAAAGAATTCTTTCTCAAAGACTATTTTGTAAAAAAATCTCATCGATACAAAAAAAAAAAAACCAAAAAACAACAACCCGTATCTCATGAAAATCTACATGAACATAAACACGAAGATCCAGGCTCTGTCCAAGTTAAGTTCAAGTTAAATTGAAAGAGATCAGTTCTCATGAATTCAGAGATTTGTTTATATACATTGGATTAGGAATTGAAAACCAGAAAAATTCATGCTTTCTTTTAGAGCTTAGCTCTGATTCTATCCGCAACATATCAGAGTAACGACCCTTGAAATAAGCATGATCAATTTTTGATTTAGAACAAAAGTTGGGTGATGAATTCACAGAAATTACACCTACCTGTGAACATGTTCTGAGTGATAAAATCCATCAACTCAAACACCTTGGAGAAAATGCCAGGTGATGCCCTTCTATGGTTATTTCTTAAAGGCCAACCTCTAGTCCAGCCAGCTCCCCGGGAAGTTATTCCAGCAAGGACCCAGATTCCACTGTCTCTGCTACAAACAAATGGACTTCCAGAGTCTCCCTTTTATGGGACAGAAAAAGAGAAAACTTGAAAATATTCATGAGTTAAAAATATTTCAGCAGGCGCCCAACCAACAAGCAGCACTCGTCTCAAAGAGAGAGACATATATGCCCTCTGGTTACTGTCCATCAACATTTTTGTTACCCATCTTTTTGTCTCTCCACCATTAGTTTCAAGGTACAGTCTTTTTGCCCAGATGTAACCTCCTTGCAACCACTGCCTGCAGTCTTGCTGAGCTTACACTCAATTTCTCTCTTGCCCCTACTTCTTTGTGAGCAACGGGTGAAAGAAGTAGGGGAAATTGACAGGTACATTCTTCCACTCGACTTTGCTGTCTATAATTGCTAGGAAAGACTGGGTCATATCCAAGTCTACAGTACCAGTGAACTGAGTATTCAAGTTCATGCAATGGCTAAAGGGTCTCAAAACAGAACTGAAGCCTAATTTTGTCCCAGAGGCTATATTTATAGGACTGTTCTGAGTGAAGGATAAAGAACTTGCGATTTTAGGGGGCACTTGGGTGGCTCAGTCGGTTAGGTGTCCGACTTCAGCTCAGGTCATGATCTCACGGTTTGTGGGTTCGAGCGCTGCATCGGGCTCTATGCCGATCTTTAGCTCAGAGCCTGGAGCCTGCTTCAGATTCTGTGTCTCCTCCTCTCTCTCTGACCCTCCCCTGCTCACGCTGTCTCTCTCTCTCTCTCTCAGAAGTAAATTTTTAAAAATTAAGAAAAAAAAGAACGCGTGATTTTAGGTTTCTTTAATAATCCTTCATAATAATGTGCTGCTTTGAGAACATGTACCAGTTCTGTGTCAGAGATTAAACCCTCTTCAAAAGGCATAGAACTGAGGGTTTACCCCTCCTCCCCAAAAGGACTGGCTCTCAGGGAATCAGACAGGATAAAGCACCCTTCATCTACCTCATCTACCTGTGTTCCACTTCAGAAAGTGGCATAATTATAATTTTCTATCTCCTCCCTTCCAAGCTCTCCCTGATCCTTGTCCTTTTACCATTCACCCAGAACAAAAAAGTCAAGAAATTTCCCAAGAGGTAATTTTAAGGTGCTTCCTACAGCAGTTTCAAACTGTTTGCTGGGGAAGAATAAAGACTCCCAACAACTCCAGTTAAAAAAATAGGCTTTCCAGGTAAATTATCTTCTCTATCTAAAACTTACAACTCATGTCTCTCATAATTGGTCTCCCCTTCCTCTAACTTGCGGAGATCGATCTTTCTAAGCTGCTGTAGTCAGTCTTGGGAGGTCACTGACAAGAAGTTTTACCCAAGTAACTATAGCTATGCCATCTTCGGTCAAACTTTGTACAAACATCGCATTCTGCACCAAAGGCTTAAAAAAAATCAAAATATTTAACAAAAGATGGAATAAAAAATTGTTTAACAAAACAACTAGTTGGCCAAAGTGCTCTTGCTTCATTCCGTTAGGCTGCAAGCGTTGAACCCAATTCCCTCCCCATCGTCCCTCCTTCCATCTTGCCAAAAAGAGGGCTGGGGTAAGAATCAGCATGGAACAGGAAAGAATGCTCTCAGGCCAGCTCAAGTCAACCTTTTCCGTAGAAGCCTGGTGGAAAGATGAACAACAACAAAAAAGACTTTTGAAGCAGTTAGTCCCCACAAGCAGCTCATGGGGAAAGGCAGAACCCACTACCACCTACGTGATAACGAATAACTGGGCTGGTTTATGCTTTCTACCCGGCAGGCCTCCCTTAGCCCATCAGGAAAACGAGCACACATCCCGGTCCTTCCCAGGAGAGCAAAGTTCATACCCGTGAGCACAGTATTACATGTTCTGTCATCCATGATGAGAAGTTCCACGTCTTGTAGGACATCTGAATATTCTGATGCTGTGGAGATGGACTGGTGTGTTAGTCAACAATTGTCCTCACGGAAACCGATCAGCAAGAACCCTACAGGTATAAAGCTATTTCAACCATGTTTAATCAAAGTGTGGAAGTCCTTTCGTAAGATGCGAATTAGATATGTGATACAGGACTTTTTTTTTTTTTTTTAATTAGCAGATTTTTTTTTTAAGGTAATATAGGCAATTGTATCTTTTCTAATCCTATACTTGAAGTTTCCCTAAGTGGAAAACTTTGTCAATAAAGTGGTATTTTGTGTAATTCTTTGTTTTGAAAAATCATAGTATTAAAGACAAGGAGATTTAACTATTGTGACTATTTCCTGATTATCCCTTCACTGTATTCTCCTTCATCTGTCATAGTTGCTTGTCTGTTTCCTCTTTCTGACACACCACAACCAGAATGGGCAGCAGTAGTTTTATGTAGAGCCTTAAGTACAGACATTTTTATGGTGAAGACAACCAGAAATTTTCATTGGATCATAACCCAGGGGGAAAAAAACCCAAAACAAAATACGATAAGTGCATTACTCACCACCAATAAAATTTCTGCTCCTAGTGGGCAAAGAAATCTAAAAGTATAATTATCATTTTTTCGATGCCTCTTACTCTCTGAAGTCTTGCACCATCCACTGGTCATGCAGAGAGTCCCTGCTTCAAATTTATCATCTTTGTTGGGGAGACAGATTGGCTGAATAGCAGTTCCTGGGAAAAGAAAATTGTAAGGTTCCTGGGCAGACAATGGATGCTGAATATATTTGGAAAAGTGACAACCAGTTGATTTCATAGCTTCTACACTTTCCCTCTACATATAATATCAATATATACTTTAAAAGTTTTCCCCTCTCATAAAAAGCTATTTCGTATTTATAGAAATTTAGAAAAACACAGAAAAAGTAAAACAAGGAAGAATACAATCCAGTGTCCTACACACCACCTTGACCCTCCAAAACTACTAACATGTTAGGGTAAAAACACTTCTTTTTTTTTCTTTCCAAGATTTCATTTAAATTCAAGTTAGTTTACATATAGTGTAGAGTTGGTTTCAACAGAATTCAGTGATTCATCATTTACATGTAATGCCCAGTACTCATTCCACCAAGTGCCTTCCTTAAGGCCCATCACCAATTTAGCTCATCCCCCCCACCTACCACACCTCCAGCAACCATTAGTTTGTTCTCTATCGTGAAGGGTCTCCTATGGTTTGCCTTCCTCTTTGTTTTTAGCTTATTTTATTTTTCCTCCCCTTCCACTATGTTCACATCGTGTTTCTTAAATTCCACATTTAAGTGAAATCATGGTATCTGTCCTTCTCCGACTTCTTTTGCTTAGCATAGTACACTCTAGCTCTACCCATGTCATTGCAAATGGCAAGATTTCAATCTTTTTGATGGCTGAGTCGTATTCCATTGTATGCATATGTGTATGTATATACATTTTTTTATCCATTCATCAGTTAATGGGCATTCCATAATGTGGCTATTGTTGATAGTGCTACTATAATTCTATAAACATCAGGGTGTATGTGGCCTTTAAATCAGTGTTTTTGTATCCTTTGGGTAAATATATAGTGTAATTGCTGAGTCATAAGGTAGTTCTATTTTTAACTTTTTAAGGAACCTCCATACTGTTTTCCAGAGTGGCTGCACCAGTTTGAATTTCCACCAACAGTGCAAGTGGGTTCTCTTTTCTCCACATTCTCATCAACATTAGTTGTTTCCTGAGTGGTTAATGGTAGCCATTCTGACAGGTAAGAGGTGGTATCTCAGTGTGGTTTTGATTTCTATTTCCCTGATGATGAGTGACGTTGAACATTTTTTCCCGTGTCTGTTAGCCATTTGTAGGTCTTCTTTGGAGAAATGTCTGTTCATCTCTTCTTCTCATTTCTTAACTGGATTATTATTTGGGTGTTGGTTTGATAAGTTCTTTACAGATTTTGATACTAGCCCTTTACTCAGCATGTCATTTGCAAATATTTTCTCCCATTCTGTAGGCTGCCTTTTAGTTTTGTTGATTGTTTCCATCACTGTGCTGAATCTTTTTGTCTTTATAAAGTTCCAATGGTTCATTTTTACTTTCATTTCCCTTGCTTCTGGAGACACGTCTAGTAAGAAGCTGCTATGGCTGAGGTCAAAGAGGTTGCTACCTGTGTTCTTCTCTAGGATTTTGATGGTTTCTTATTTTACCTTCAGGTCTTCTGTCCGTTTTGAATTTGCTTTTGTATATGGTGTAAGAAAATTTTCCCAACATTTATTGAAGAGACTCTCTTTTCTATTGGATACTCTTTGCTGCTTTGTCAAAGATTAGTGGACCATGTAGGTGTGGATCAATTTCTGGGTTCTCTATTCTGTTCCACTGAGGGTATACCCTTGTTGCTAAGGGATAGTTTCCCCTAACAGTAATTGAGTACTACAATGGGGAAAGCACTCTTCTAGACCCCAGTGGATTAGCGGAAAGATAAATCCCTTACATATAAGAGTGTGTATTGGGAGCGGGAATTCAAACAATAAGTAAAATAACTTATTTGGTTGTTACATAGTATCACTCTGGAAAAATCAGAGTAGGGTAAAGAAGATCCAAAATCTGGGGATTAGGGAGGATGGCATGGGAAATATGATTTTAAACATGATAGTCATGGCAAGGGTCATTGAGTAGATAACATTTCTTTTAAGTAGGCTTCCTATCCAACCTGAAACCCAATGCAGGGCTTGAACTCATCACCCCAAGATCAAGACCTGAGCTGAGATCAAGAGTCAGACACTTAAATGATGGAATCACCCAGCAGATTCCCCTGAGCAGATGACATTTGAGTAAAGCCTTGAAACCAAGGGAAGAAACCAAGTGGTTATTTGAACAGAAAGTATTTGAGGAAAATATGAAATAGAATGGAAAGTCCCTGCAGTGGGATCATGTCATATATGCTTGAGGAACAGCTGGCCAGAAGAGCTGGAACAGATTAAGGAAAAAAAATAGTGAAAAAGAGAAACAAACAAAAAACAAGCTAAATCTAGGGATAGGAGGACAGCGATGGCAATTGATAAAAATATTGATTTCCATCTGAGTGTAATGAAGAGCCACTGAAGTGTTTTGAACAGTGTGACATAATATAACTTATATTTTAAAAAGTATTATTCTAGTTGTTAGGTAAATAATAAATATTAGACTTGCAAAAGAGGACGCTAAAGACAATTTAAGAGACCATTAAAATTAATCCAGGCAAGAAAGTATGGTAGCCTAGAACAGGATGGTAAGAGTAGACAGGGTGAGGCAGAAGCCATGGGATTTTCATGATGGATTAGGTGTACAATGTGAGAAAAAGAAGACTCAAGACTAAGTGCAAAGTGTTTAGTTTAAACAACTGGAAGGGTAGAGTTGTCATTAATCAAAATGGAAGGCTATGGGTAAAGCAGATTTAGGATACAGGGGATCATCAAGATTCCATTTGAAACATATTAAGTTTGAGATGCCTCTTAGCCATCTGGGTGGGTGACCAGTAGACAGTTAGCTATACGACTCCTATGAATCCCAGCAGCATGTGTGATAGACAGACAGCATTTGGGATAGTCTTCAAGCAGATGGTGTTTGAAGCCTTGAACCTGGATGAGAATGCTAAAGGAGGGCAGATAGGGAAGAGGTCCAAGAACTGAGCACTGCAACAATAAGGGGTCACAAAGAAGAGGAGGTACCATCATAGAAGACTAAGAAAGGGTGTAAAAAGAGGTAGGAGGAAAACCAACGGACTTCTGGAACTCAGGTGAAGAAGATGTTTCCAGGGAGAGTATGAACAAGTCTGTCAAAACTCCTGTCAAGTAAGCTGAGGACTGAGAATTTACCTTGGAAATTTAGCAACATGGAGGTCACTGACTGTGACAAGAGCAAATTTGGGGGCGTGGTTGGGGTGAAAGTCTGACTTGGATGTCTAACAGATCTCTCCGACCTAATACACGCAATGAGGAGAACTGAGGAGAGGAAAATGACATAGCTCCCATAAATGGAACTTCATCGCTTTTCTGTAAAGGGAAAGAGGAAAACGGGCAATAGTTTCTTTGGGTCACAGGTACTGGGAATTCCAGCATCTAACCTCAATGAGGCTTGCTTGTTGGTGATTACAGATCCTTCTTTGCCCATCCCCTACCATCCCTCCCATACAGGCTCCCTGCATGACCAGTTAAAGCTCTAGGTTCTTTTTTTTTTTTTTTAATATATTTTTTTAATGTTTTATTTATTTCTAGGAGAGAGAGAGAGACAGCGTGAGCAGGGGAGGGTCAGAGAGAGAGGGAGTCACAGACTGAAACAGGCTCTAGACTCTGAGCTGGCAGTCAGCACAGAGCCCGACGCGGGGCTCGAACCCACGCACCGCGAGATCATGACCTGAGCGAAAGTCGGACGCTTAACCGACTAAGCCACCCGGGCGCCCCTGAAGTTCTAGGTTCTTAAAGATCACTTAGATGCCTCAAGGGAAGTGGCTTATTTCAATGCCTAGCCAAGTCCTCTAGATTTGTGCTCTTTCATTGGTTTGGGCCACTGATCACTTTCCCTTTTTGCATTTAAAAAACAGATTTTTAATATTTTTATCCAAAATGTTTAGATTACCCGTGCTGAGAGAGTGTCAGATATCTAGTCCACAATGATAAGAGAGAGAAGTCTCTGAAAACATTTTCAAATGTCTCAAAGCCCCAGGCTGGAGCTGAGTGTAAGTCTAGAACACAGCCCAGCCAAGACAAAAGACTTAAAATGTGGATTAAGTTAAGCATATATAATTTGTGTCTGGGATTTTCAGTCCTTACAGTGCTTTTTATATGTTATAAACAAAATTTTAAAAAGGACAAAACTTAGCTATTCTAATATTACCAGGTATATACACAGAAATTGTTAACTGGTACAGAATTAATAAAACACACTTCTCTCCTACATTTTTTTACACATGCTAACTCCTCTTACTTACCAAACTTGACTTTGTGTTTTAAATACAGCAGTGCGATATCTGAGCTCATATATCCAAGTCTGTTGTACTCTGGATGGAGAATCATTTTGGAGATAGGAATCTGTTCTTGTTTACCCTTTTGAAAGAGGTTGTACTGCCCCCCAGTCACAGTCAGACTCTTAATTTGCTTCCTAAAACCAAAGAAAAATGTTCCAATAAGTATAGCTGTTTCCCCCAGGAAAGACGGTCTTATTTTCACCGACTTAAATGAAAAGTGATTAATGTAACTGGAAGCATTTCTAAGTCTCCAAAGAAGATGTACCTTTATTAGTGATTACTACCAACTATCATAATTGCCTATAAATTACAGGGATCTGCAAAGTCATGGCTTTCCATCAGAGTGTTTACCTTCCGTGAACCCTTTCACCTATCATCAATTGTAATTAGCCAGGAAATATTTAAGTGTGGCCTCTTTTTCTTCTTTTGTACTAGTCTATATATGCTCTGTCATCTTTAACAAGATATAAAAGCTGTTCCTAGAACTGTCCTTTTCTTACGATCAGCACTCTCTCTTAATCTGGCTAAGTATCTGTTCTTTTCACAGTATTGTTTTCCTCCCAATGACTAAAACTCAGATTATTAAAACTTTGGAGCATCCATTTAACAATAAATGTCAATAATTTATTAAACAAGTAACTATCACCCCCCACTTCACCACTAACTCTGCAAATTATAGAGGACATCTATAATGTCCCCAGAGAACTGTGGGGTCTCTGATTAGTAGGGTAGGAGGTACAGGAGATCTTGAGAGGGATACAGGTTTCTGAGGGTCAGGAAGGTCAGTGAGTGGGTGGGCCAGGTGGGGAAATTCAGAAAGGGACTGAGATTGAACTTTGCCAGCTTTTTCCAGAGCTTCAAATCTCCCAGTCCCATTGCTATGAGTGAAGGTGTGATAAGTCACAGAAACCCGCAACTTACTCATTGAGGCCAACCAGGCAGTGTGCTGCCGTAACAACCAGATCATCTCGGATCAAGCTTCCTGCGCAGAAGCGGTGCTCACCTAATTTCAGGGAGACCTGCCCAAGAAGAAAACCACAAACACAACTCATACGCATCTCCCCATGCCATCTGCCTTAGAAACATCTGAAGTAGACTCTCCTTGTACAACGTTCTTACGTTACCGATATAACCGGTTAGGAAATATTTCCCCTGAAGTAAACTTTTCGGCAGAGAGGTTGAGTGGGGCCAAGAGAAAAATCACATGTTAACCGGAGCTGTGATAATGGAAACAAGCGGGAAACGTCAGCATTTCTCGCTCAGGAACTCAGTGCTTCGGTTATCCTGACCTGCCACGGCTGTCCACCAACTGTCGCATCTCTCCAGCGAGTAATTCCCGAGAAGGACCCAGAATGCAAGACAGTTGCCGTTCTTTTGACGTCAGCCGCGGGGACCCCACACTTCGGCCCTGTGAGGGAGAGAGAAAGCAGCCGCGCGTGTGCCCTCGCCCGGAGCGCCTCATGTCAGGGTTCCCTTGCTCAACACTCCGCCTTCAGATTTCCCTGGCCTGACACACATTCTCTGGGGTCACTGAGCAGCAGACCACCCTCCCCGCCCTTCTTCTGTCATCAGAATCCCAAGATTATCCCACAACTACTCCATGTTGACTAGAACTTGCCTCGGGGTTCCTCTGCCTCTTTGAGCCTGAGCTGCCTTATAAGACCCAGGGGGGCAGAATGAGTCAGCTCACCCTCTGGGGATCGATTTGGGGAGGACTGTGGGAGAGGGAGCATCACATAAATTAGACGGCCGTAGGACAACATATGCTACTCCAGAAGGGAGACATTCGGCTTTCAGTTGCTTCTAAGGGGCTATTGTTACGTGGAGAAGGCTCCTTAGCACAAGTGCCTTAAAGCCTTGAACTCCAGAATCCGAAGAATTTCCAAAAGAAAACCTCGCGCTGGCCCGTCTTTGGGAACCTGAGGGCCGGTACCGGGCCGCGTCCCGCTTCCTCCTCCCTCGCCTGCACCGGGCGCGCGCACACCTAGGCTTTGGGGGAGGCCGACGGCGAGCAACAGGAGCAGACGGGCCCCGGGCAGCGTCCGCATGGCCCCCGCGCGCGGGGACTGCGCCCCGCTTCCTCCGCCGCCGCTGCGGAAAGCGAGCGAGGACGGCGAAGACCCTCCCGCCCCCGGAAGCGCCCGCCGCGCTCTTCGCTCCTGGGGCGCGGACGAGCCGCACCTGAGCCGCACCTGCCGCACCTGAGCCGCACCTGCCGCGCCGGCCGCTTCACAGCTGTCCCCGCCCCCGCTCATCCTCCGCGCAGCCGCCCCGCCTCCCACAGCGCCCCGCCTTCCGGCAGGGGCCCTACCGACTGGTCCAGGGGGCAAGGTGCTCAGTGGCCTGGAACGCCCGAGGCATTCTGTCCCAGACCCGGGAGTGTGGCCCAAGCCCAGAGGCGAGGAAGCCGGTCACCCATACAAGACAGGCAGGCCGACTTGTGAAAGGAGGAAGACTCCTGGAAGCTTACTGAGGCATTAATAGTACTGCCCCTCCATCTAAGAAGCTTGTGGAAGTCCTTGACATTCAAGAACTTTCATATGGAGTGGATATGAAACATCTGGTTTACGCTGCCATCCCTTTTTTGGGTGGCCGTGTTACTCGCTTCAGTGGAATGGGCCAAAGCTGTAGGACCCATCATTTAAGGTCATTAAAATGAATTCATCGGTAATATTACCATGTCAGCATTATTTCCCATAAATAATATTTTGTAATAAGTTAGCTTGAGGTTGAGAGAGGAATAAAGCCAGAATTTGTATGTATTTTTATCAAAAAATTAGGGTAAACGATGTTCATAGCAGCACTCTCCACAATAGCCAAAACATGGAAAGAGCCTAAGTGTCCATCAACAGACGAATGGATCAAGAAGATGTGGTTTATCTATACCATGGAATACTACATGGCAATGAGAAACAATGAAATCTGGCCACGTGTAGCAACATGGATGGACCTTGAGGGTGTTATGCTGAGCGAAATAAGTCAGGCAGAGAAGGACAAATATCATATGTTTGCATGTATAGGAGGATTAGGAGGAACTTGACGGAGGAACAAGGGGGAGAAGAAGGGGGGAAATGGAGGGGGAAAGGGAGAGAGGCAAACCATGAGAGACTCTTGAATGCTGACAAAAACTGAGGACTGATGGATGTGGGGGGGAGGGGAGGATGGGCATGGAGGAGGGCACTTGTGAGGATGAGCACTGGGTGTTATGTGGAAACCAACTTGACAATACACTATTTGTAAAAATAAATACATTAATTTAAAAAATTAGGGGAAATCTCATGGACAGTCTGTACATAACTAACATAGACATCAATCTCCCAGGCCCAGTTGTGTTCTGTGAAAAATAGAAATAAAAGCTCCTTATGGTAGGAGGTATACAAATTAAGGAGATAGGCAGGCAGTAGACAGATGGACAGGAAAACAGTAGTGAAGGTGGAGGGAATGCAGGTACAGAAACCGGCAGGTGAGAATCAGCTGGGGGCAATGACCTTTGTAGCTGTAAAAGAGAACAGAAGGTAAATGGGCACCTTTTGGTGAAAAGCTGAAAAGAATGGAATTGGCACTGAAACTTGAAAGTCTCAGCCTTCTTATCTCATGAACCTCTCGGATTTCTATGTCCCATCTTAACAACATTAAGAAGCTCTAGAGCTGCAGTGTCCAATTAGAGTGGACACTAGGCATGTGGTTATTTAAATCAGTATTAACTAAAGTAAAAACACTAGTTCCTCAGTCACACTAGCTATATTTCAAGGGCTCAATAGTTGCCTGTGGCTAGTGTCTACCATACTGGAGAGCAGATACTGACACCACGGACAGTTCTATTGGGCTGCACTGCTCTTCAGAATAGCAAGCACCATTTTATTCATTTATTTTAAATAAAGACACCTTGGATAATAGTTTGAGTAGAAGACTCCTGGGTTTGGAGCTTGAGTGTCCAGGAGACAGTGGGAGGGAGCTTGGTAAGGTAAGCGGCCTTTCTCCGACAACAAAGCCCTGCACCTTCAGGACTCCAGGCTTGAGCACCACAAAGGAAGTCCCCGGGTATGGTGGCTGCCTGACCACTGGCCCTCACCACCTCACCTTTAAATTTTGCTTTCACTGTAGTGATCTTCAAGGATTATTATCGCCATTCCTTGCTCCGGGGGCAAACTACTCTCCAATAAAAGCTCAGACCCTCCAGATGGACCAAATACCTCTTTCTTAGCAAGAAGGGGTCAGATTAAAGCCACTACCAAAAAAAAAAAAAAAAAAGAAAAAAAAAGGGAGAGGGAAAGAAAAATGCTCATGTGATGTGCAAGTATAGTTGGACCCACAATGTTCAGGTTCATGACTAACCTTTACATGGGGCCCACAGACTCCGTCAGTTTGCACTCTTCTGCACATGATGCACACACAGCTTTGCAGGACATTCAGTGGTTTCTTTCATACCCGGAAGTCTCCATGGGGTTGGGCATGGTCTCATTTCCTGTTACAGAACAGCTCTCTTTGTTTCCAGGGTTCAAAACTCACAGCCTGAAGTGAGACCTTGTCCTTTTATGAAGATTGGTCCCTTATAGGCCTACTAAAATAATGCCTTCCCATTAAATAGGAAAAGAGCTCTTCAATATGAACGTACACCTATTTGATAGGTTGTTTTAAATTTGCTAGTAAGATGATGGTTTAAGTATAAGTTGAGTTTGTGGTGATGTTGCAGCATCTAAATGGAAGTATTCAGACACACACACACACACACACACACACACACACACACACACAAGGAAAGCAAGTCAAGAAGGGAGAGTAGGCTGAACTATCCCACATTGCACTTGTGATGTATGAGAAATCTGCCTTTAACGTGAACATATCTTCATAATCTCCTGCTGGAGGCCTTTCAAGACCTTTAATGGAAGCCCCAACTCTAAGGATAGTTGTACAATTAGGAGTGTTAGTGACTAACCTGTGAGCAATGAGCATATCATGGGCAAATAATGTCTTGTGTAAAAAAAATTCTCCATCTCCACTAAATCATTGGTCTAAACTCTAGAATCCTCTTCAATGTCCCACAAGGGATTTTGCACCAAGATTCAGCACAAAGGGGATTATTGATGACCTTAGAAACAGCAATTACTTGCATGTTTGTTGCAAGGACAGATCGCCATGAAGCAGAGGGAATGTGAAGGATGGAGGCAGAAAGAATGGGTGAAGACAATTCACTCAAATAGTTTGGCAGAGAAGGAAGAAGGATGTGGTTGCAGCTAGAGATGAGAATACAGGATGGACTTAATTTTTACTTCCAAATGATTTTGATGGTGGTTACCGGTATATGTGCTTTAAAATAGAAGTCACAAGAGCCAGTAGAAGGAAGAAGTTAAAGATGAAAAAGAGAGGTTAAGGGATAAGCTTCACAAGAGGCAAAATCCAGTGCCGAGGGCCCTCTTCTTCCACTGTAGTAACAGGAGTGGGAAGAATTGAGCACAGGTGAGTTTGTACAAGGAGAACAGGATATGGTCAGAATATCTGTTTTCTACTTTTGTTTACCCTGTGAGGAAAGAGGTGAAGGCATCTATTCAACATGAGAGGAAGAGTTAAGGAGTGCATAAGGACTGAAATAGTCATTGTGAGGTGGGCGAAAGAGCAGACATGAAGCACACAGAACAATGGGATGAATGAATGAGGGAAAGAAGGAAATTATTTTTTCTTTTAAAGCAGACATCATCTAGTGACATGGATTTCAATGGGTACTAATCATGGAGCACTTGAGAGATTGAAACAGACAAAATTATTTTCATTATATTTTATATAAAATAAACATTTACATAAATTTTATTTTGGAAAGACCTAGGCAAAGTGTACATAATTGGACTTAAGTGGGAGAAATACTTTATGGGAAGTAGATTTCTAACTGGCACAGCAAAAGTAACAAAAGTGTACATTTATATACAACTGATCAAAGTAGGAAATAAAAACATGAACAAAGAACACGCTGCAAGTCCTTGTCTCCCTGATAAAAGAGGGAATCCGCATGAGTCACAGCAAGTCATATGATTTCCACATTATAAAAGCAAGCCATAGCTTCTATAGATATTTTAATTCCTTAGGAGGAAATTTTTAAAAATACTTTTTCCCCAGAAACATAACAAAATCACTTAAGTTTTATGTATACAGACTGCAAAATAAAGGTAATTTTCTCTGTTATGTTAAAGCACTTGGGCAGTGCAGTCCCTTTTATGGTTGTTTTTGTGTTTTGTTTTGGTGATGATCTTAAGAATTTCTAAAACAAAGGGCAACACTAATCAGTTCTCTCTTCAGATGTAAAGGGCTTTCAATCTGGATTCAGGAGACACATAGAGCTTGATAGTTTCACAGAAGGAACCAGTCTATCACTGGGTGATAAACATGACTGACACACCAGGTAGCCTGCCCAGGGTGAGACGGTTCCTCTGTGTAGAACAGGCCTATCACCCAGATTTCCAGATTCTTGGACTGGTGTACCCCTCCTCTGGGCCAGCAAGGCACCCCCAAAAGGATGTTATGCACAATGGAAACTTCCAAATGTGACATATATGCTGCTCGCACCACTTGAAAATGGGAAGAAACACTTGGATTTCTGGACATAGCCATGTCTTTCCATTTTGGGGTAAATGGTGATCTACACTTACAAATAGCCACCATACATTGTGATTGATACTGATTTTACACGCTGCATGCCCTAAAAGATTTTAACTGAAAGGATCTTTGGTGATGAAAATAGCACTTCTTTATATGAGCCATCTGATAGACATGAATATCACCAATTCTGTTACATCATTTTATTTTGCTGATATTAAACTGCTCCTTTGATTGTAGTTATTTTATTTCTTCTCTTTAATGGCTACCAAAAGCAAAAATAATGGAGGAACCACAATTTTTTGAAGGACTGTTCAACACGTTTTTCTTTTACATCAAAACTTCAAGAATAATTATAAAATGTTATAATGTTTCCATATATTTGGCATTGTAAGCTTTTATCTTACTCAACTGCAGCCTAAATGCAAGACTTGACAGGTCTTTACTCTTTTAAAATGCCAAAAGATGTCAAATAATTACATTTACATTTTGTTATCATTGGGAGATGCCAACATGCCGTTTAATCAAAGGAAGTGTGATTTAGAAACTAGGTGAAAAATTAAAAACAAACCACCCATAACTGCATTTGCTTTGATTGTTACTGATATCCTATAGATTGATTAATGTAAGATGCAAATCCTTCACACATCAGAGCAAGAGGTTTTTCTCCCCCTCAAAAATGGATTCTAATGAGTACAAATAAGAATTAATTAGCAAAAGTTTACATGTGTGTAACCAAAAGAGAGACGTGGGTCTAGGAATATACTCTATGTCATGAACACCTTCTGAGTTTTACATACTGGGTGCCTTGTCTGGTGTATACAAATGGCAATTCCTCTCTATCTGAGGACTAAGAATTCTAAAAAAGGAAGGTCAAATTGCGTCCAACTGTCATGAGTGCACACCTCCCCACCCAACCCACCTGTCTGTCAATCTTGAAACAATAGTCTCAACCACACAACTGTGCCATAGATTAGTCTTTAGAATTCTTTGGCTCACTGTAGCCTAAATTTAAAAGTACAACTTAAGAAAGGTTATAAAAGTCATAAAAGTCCATTAAAATTGTTAGCCCGCAGTGGTTCTGCAGCCTCACTGCATATTAGCATCTTCATCTGGACAGCCAGCATCTCAGAGATTTCCAAAGGCCCCCAGGTGATTCTGCAGCCCAGCCAGGCTTGAGAGCCCCTGTGTGTAAGGGAACAGTTCTCAACCATCAGCTGAATGCGGTTGGTCAACCTGAGGGGCCTGGGATGTTTAATAGAGACAGTAAGAAGCCACACATTTGTTTTTATTCCTCCTCCAATTATAGCTTTTGTAGGTCAGTTTGTATAGAACAGTTTGGATTTTCTCATTTAGTCTTGCTGAAAAGCAGTTGCCCGGAAGTGTCGTGCAACCATTATAAACCCCTGCATCAAATGAGGTATGACCTGTGACAAATGCCAGAGTCTCATGCTAGGGGCTGTGAAGTATTATAGGAAGTTGTAATTAAAGTGCCAACAATCCTCTTTGTTTTATGGTAGATCTCAAAGCAAATACACCCAAAAGAATATCCTTTCTTCCAAGGTATTTGAATCTTTGGTTTAGTTTACCTATGTTACATCATGGGACCATGTTTTATGAATATTGTTAACAGACTGAAAACATTGGGATCATTTAAAAAATTCTGAATAATTCTAAAGGTTGAAATAAACCAGTAAAGCCATTCTCATGGCTCTTGTGTCAAAGGACTGCCATTAACTGGGAATTTTATTTTATTTTATTTATTTATTTATTTTTAATAGATATATTCAGATCATTCCATCTTTTTTTTTAATGTTTTATTTATTTCTAGGAGAGAGAGAGAGAGACAGCGTGAGCAGGGGAGGGTCAGAGAGAGAGGGAGTCACAGACTGAAACAGGCTCCAGGCTCCGAGCTGGCAGTCAGCACAGAGCCTGACGCGGGGCTCGAACCCACGAACCGCGAGATCATGACCTAAGTGAAAGTCGGACGCTTAACCGACTAAGCCACCCAGGCGCCCTATTAACTGGGAATTTTAAAGGCAAGGAGACCTGGTTCTAGGTAAGACAGAAAGACAAGTTAGATTGGCAGTAAGAGGGGAAGAGATATACATAAGGACCATTAAATGTAGCTGAGAAAAAAGTGCAAATGCTGCCCAGAGTAACACAGTCACAAATGAAACTGATCACTGGATCAAGTGTTGAACCAGACTAAAGCCAAACTCCCTCCTACTGAGGACACCCCACATGTTTAAGGGTTCAGCGCAGAATGGAATTGCAGGATTCCCCGTTCAAAAATTACTAAGAATTTCAAGCGGAGCCTTCTACCAAGCAGGGGGTGCTTCTGAATGAGGGGCCATATGAAGTGCACGCTCATGAAGCTGGCTCTGCGACTCCATCTCAGAAAGGGCTATCCACTCTCATGTCAAGCATGCTTTTACTAAGGGCAATCTGATTAGATCTCTTTGAATAGCCAGGGCACTCTGTTTTTAATTGATAAGAATGAATTCCACATATTGTTTTCATGCTCCAAGGACCAAATAAAAATAAGTTATAAAATACACTTAATGTCTTTGAAAAATAACATGTGATTTATTTTCTTATAGGCACCATTTAACTATGAAAACTATTTCATTGGCTACATCTCAGTGATGTTATTAAATCAGGATAAAAATATCTGACCCAACAAACAGAGCTTACTTTTAATGTTCAAAGAGATGCCAGTGTGTGCAAACAGAATGAGACAGAGTGAAAGTGAGAAGGGGCGGGGGAGGAGGGAGAGAATGGAAGGAGAGATTGAGGGGTGTGGGGAGAGGGAGAACGGGGAAGGAGAAAGACAGAGACAGACAGAGAGGAAGACATGGGGAGAGAGAAAAGCACCCAAAAGAAGATAGAAGAAGTCTCTTGAAGGCCATGTGACCCCTTCCCTTAGAAACTTTGAGGCTGTGACTGTCATTTCAATTATTCCCACTGATGTACCCTCATACCTTAGCAGCATTTCAAGTAAGGCATTACTTCCTTTTCAAAACTTGGGGCTTAGTTTTTTCCATTAACTTCCTAAGTGTGAGTTTTGGTTACAGATTATTCTAAAAAGTTGTGATTAAAGTCTTTTATACTATTTTTAGCTAGGGCTTACGCTTTTCAATTTGGGGGTGGGCTGATCATTTAAAATAAACTTTAGTACATTTCTTGGCCTTAGGACTCCACAAGTATAATTTTGAAGAGAAGAAAAATATTTTAAATAAAATTTTGGAAAAGTTTATGATATATAAGGCTATTAGAAACAGAAGATCATGGTGGTAATATATATATTACTGGATTATTGATGCATACAAATACATGTATGCTAATTCAAATTCTGTAATCCTTTGCATTTAAAATATTCTTTCCATCATCCCTTTCCAAAGAAGTTCTTTTAACTAGACTTACCTTGACAAAAAGATAGCACAGAAGGGCAGAGTTTTCCAGATAACTGTGTTGAAAAGAAGCAGACTGTTTACCCCGCCCTGGCCTGAGCACATGAAACCCGAGTACCTTGGGGTTATTACACGTGCAGACCACCTGACCCAGTGCTGTGAACTGGACTCTCGAGTGGGTTCTCTTCTTCATCTTCTTCTTTTTTTTCCTTAAAGATTATGATGATGGCCAAATTAGAAACACGTGTTGCAATTTCTTCCCTTCCAAAATATATTGCCACCCAAACACTGATGTCTGATTCCTAATTTCTTTAGCCTTAGCAAGTGAATAATCAATACAAATTTTTTGAGAGGGTGTTAAACTTAACTACTCTGTAATTCAGATTTGTAATTTTTGTATGATCAGTTCTGAAAGCTGCTATTAAAACCACTATGTACAGGAGAAAAAGTGTGCATACATATATATTAAATATTTTTATAAGTTATGAAATAAATAACACTAAAAACCAAAGGTCAAATTGTAAATTCAACTTTGCTACCTCTATCTTTTAAATATAAATATATATTTTTTAAATTACAAATTTAGACTTTTTCCCTAGATATTTTTGAGCACTCTCCATGAAATCTCCAAAGTTATAAATACAGAACCAAGAACCAAGAACTCTGAATTTCTGTCACTCATGTTCTAAGCACAGAATTCTCATAGAGCCTCAGTAGACAAATCAATAGAGCTCCCTTTCCACCTGTTTATATTCTGTTAAGATTTCTGTGATATACTGTAAAGATTTTTCAATGGTTAAATATACTTTTCAAAAAATAATAAATCTCTGGATGACTGAATGTTAAGATAACAAAGTAGAACATTTCTCTTAGTTAATATCTTTAATATTTCTCATGTAGAATATACTATTTTTTTCTCCACCAAAATAACAATATATGTGGAGGCAGAAACATGATTCTAAAAGCACTTCTGAAACCTTAGAGCAGAACCACTACTCTAGTAATACTTGTAATAAAATTAAAATAATCTTAAACATTTCCATAAAGAATTTGGGGTACCAAGATCCTTGATTTTCCCCTAGGGATAAGAACACCCATACACAAGCTTCCTTTTTGATATATCAGGCAATGGGAAAAGACTGCATCAGAGTGGAATTTAATTTACTCTTCAACTGCGCTCTAGGGGGATTATCCCCAGGGGGATATAAATAAAGCTCACTTAACAAGAGCCCTTTCCCCCATATATTCCAGAAGATTCTACAGAAACTATCAGATACTCATCTCTAGTTCTGGAGAAGTCAATGAGCTACCTCTTGGTGGGATTTCCCAAATGGTTTACCCCAGAGATTTTATTCTCTTTGAAAAAAACTCATCTCATCAAGAAGAGATGTTCTCCCTCCATAGCATTTCAAGCCTCTGTATTTCTGGGACATAAAAGTCTACATTAAGAGATGGAATGAGATTCTCAGGCTGGGAAAGAAGAGGAATAGATGAAGGGAAATCTGGAATTAAAGCCAACAAAAATCTGCAAAATGTGGAGTATTTGTTTTCCTTCCTCTCAGGCCTTGCTCTTGCTCGCTCTTTCAGTCTTCTTCCATGGAAATGCAGGTCCCTCAGCACAGAGGTACCAGCGGGTGCCCAAAATGTGCCCCCCTGAACTCAGAGAGAGAGGAAAGCTTCCTTGTTGCACTCCTGCTGCTGTGAAAGCGAGCCTGAATCACTTCCTCTTCCAGAGACACCAGCACTGTCCCCCGAGACTGGTTCAAATGCTGCTATGTTTGATCCTTTTCTCGAACTTCTTGTAATCGTTTTTCTAGGCGATCCAATTTGGCAAGATTTTCCTGCAGCAGTTTGCTGTCTGGAACCAGCTGTAAGGCTCTCTCATAATAAGCTCTTGCGGACACATAGTTTCCCTGTGGGGACAAAGAAAGAGAACAAATCTATTCTGACCCACTGGAACGCTCTTGGAGAATGGGGAGACTAGGAGACAGACCTTTTGACCCAGTTTAACACATATGTCCTCAGAAGGACTGGTTGGGTAATTTTATCCTTATCTGTTGGTGCTTTTGGAGAATCCATTTGTTTTAAGTACCAGACCAGCTGGATAATGTGAAGGATGAGAGTTATACCATAAGGTGAATGGCCAAAAACACAGATTTTCAATTCTACTAATGTAGGGTATGAGGCTGTCATTTCATAATGGTTCTATTCCTTAGTAATCACATGGAGCCATGGCTAGACATTCAGAGACAAAGAGAGAGAAAGAGAAGGAGAGAGAGGGAATGGAGGGATATTTATTTGTGGGAAATGTTTCTGAAACTGCAGAAGTCGTGATGGTTAAATAGAATTCCACTATAACTCTTTACTGGTAGAGGTTCTTTTAATCTCCAACTTAAGACATAAAAGAAACTTCTGCCTAATACAGGCTCTAATGTGCATGTAAGGTTTTATATAATGAAAAGAACTGATAAGAATATGGGGTTAAATTTACCCAAAGTGCATGACAATATGTACCTGCTGGATCCTCTTAAAGTGGGAAGGAAGGCATGTCACCCCGGACCTGCTAAAGACACCTGTCATCACCCTCTGTTGACGCCCATCTGCTTTGTTCAATGACTTTCTCACCGGAAACCATGTGTGCCTGGTCCCAGATGGTTCTGAGCAAATTTGTCACATTGCTTGTTTTCCAGGCCCTTTTCTGCTACTAAATTTTACCTTCCTTATTTGGTCCACCCTCTTTCAGATCCCTGCCACATCTCCGAACTACAATTGTTAGCATTGTCTCCTTCCCTCAAAGTTCAATTTGCTCTATTTTATGCTCTATTCTACAGCTCCATGTGGATGAAAACCAGTTACTCTCTGAATTCCCATCACAATTTAAAATAGCATCTCTAAGTGAAAGTACTAGGTAGCAACTAGTAACTCATATTTACTGAATGCTTAACTACCTTCCATATGAATTAATGCATGTTAAGAGCTTGCACACTGATGCATAGTGAAAGCGAGCCTGCATTACTTCCTCCTCAGAGCACTCAGTCTGATGCTACCATTGTCGTCATTATTAAAAGACCATCTGGGTTTGTGTAGAAACTGTCCACTTTATAGTACTCACTCTCCATATTGGTGAAAAGGAGAGTGGAAATGGCAGAAAAGGAAAACATTTGTGATTATTAACCTTGATTCTCATAAGAGGCTAAACAGAATACTGAACAAGTGAGAACCTGAATTTGCTACATTCAGTTATTATTTTTTTCTCAACTCCAGCATTTAACTTCCAAGTGTCTTGTGATGTTTATTAGGTTTAGCACACGCATGCAGACGACTGAACATGTGTGGCCTGTAGAGCACTCTCAAAATATGTTTGTTCTAGAACTGACTTGGAAATTGTTCCTCCAAGAGTTTTCCCTGGATTTAGGCCTCAGCCCAGTGTGCTGGCATTTCCTTCTTTGACTACCAGCTTTCTTTATCCTTTCATATAAAATCTACTCCTAGACTGATCTTTTCTCCCTCAAATTGCTCTTTTCTTGATTAAACTGGAATCCTTATTATTATTTTTTAAAAGCTATATACCTTGATTCAATGTCCCTAATTCTGAGATGCTAAGGTAGGGAATTTCTAGAAATGTGCTATCTACTATGACAGTCATTGACCTCATATGGCTATCTAAATTTATATCAATTATGATAAATTAAGAATTCAGTTGCTCAGTTGTATCAACCACATTTCAAGGGCTCAACGGCCACATGGGCTAGTGGCTGCTGCCTTGGGCTGTGCAGATACAGAGCATTTACAACATCAGAGAGAGGTCTCCTGCACAATGCGATTCTAGAAGAGGCATATTCCTATCATAGGGTAGTACCGAAAATAGTACTTCGTGGTATGGCCCAGTTGATGCAATTGTTTATAGAGAATGTATTTTAGATTTTTATTCTATCCACTCCATCCTTTATAAAGCTTCACAATAATTATCTTTTATTACCAAGCAGTATAAACAAGACACAACTCTCTTCTCATCTCTTTATGCCATCTCCTTGCAAAACCTTATTCAACTGGCAACCTTGTACCCTAAGCTTCACCCGGGCTCGGGGAAGGAGTGAGCCCGGAATGGGCTGACACTGATGGGAGCAGTCTGCTATTAAGGGATAACTTTCTGCAAAAGACAGAAAGTTAACGATTGCTCCTTAGGACCTCGTAATAATAATCTCACATCTCAAGCCATGTGCCTGGTCTATACATTTATATTGGACTACATCATATGAATTCACGGATAGGGGGCCGTTTTTAAACTAGAAGCATGGCAATTTTACATTTTTTAACCTAACACATGATGTTTGCAAAGATGAAAAAACTGCATAAACTAATTTTTAATCAGTGTGCTCATTACATTTTAAAGTCATACACTCAACAGATCCCTCTTCAACCTCCAGACACCTTTTTAGGGGAAGCACTTCTAAATGTAAAACATGCGATTCACTTGTTAATCTGAGAGTCCAGTGAATATACTATATTCCCTGTAGTTCTAGACTTTTTGGAAAAGTCTTAAGTATATTTATTGTACTTTTTAAATTAGCAACTGAACCCACTTTTTTATATATATGTATAATATATATATATTTTAATGTTTTATTTATTTCTGAGAGAGACAGTGTGAACAGGGGAGGGTCAGAGAGAGAGAGAGAGAGACATACACACAGAATCCAAAACAGGCTCAGGCTCTGAGCTAGCTGTCAGCACAGAGCCTGACACAGGGCTCAAACCCACGAACCATGAGATTATGACCTGAGCCAAAGTTGGACGCTCAACTGACTGAGCCACCCAACCGCCCCTGAACCCATTGTTTTAAATGCAGGCACACACCCATCTAAAAACATACTCAGCATATTATTTTAAAATGTAACTATTTAACATACTATTTAACTACTTAAAATTGTTAGTATTTTAAAAGTAAGTTCACTGTTGGACACCCTAGAAAACCATTAAGATCAGAGCTCAAAATCATTAAGATCAGGTTACTCTGTCCTGATAAATGTCATGTTTGGATTCACCATCCGTGTTCCTCTATAAGACCAGAGCTGTCAGTCACAGGCTAACTGTCCCATTATTGCCTTCCAGCTGTATAATCATGAGTCATCTTTTTGTTGTGTTGTGTTTTTGAGAGTGACCAGTTTCAATTTAATAATAAACTCTATTAGGCTTTTGTTTAAATTGTAACCACTGTATTGTTACTCTATCAATATAAAGACAGAAGTCTGGAAATAGGTTAGTTAAACAAGAGTGATCCTTTAAAAACATGTCAGACCGTGGCATTTCTCTGCTCAAAGTCCTCCAAGGACCCCACCTCATTTGGCATGGTATAAAAGCCAAGGACCCTACAATCCCCCTTCAAGGCTCTGCGTTATCTGTTCCTGTGTCGTCTTTGACCCTGGCTTCTATCATTTCATCTCACTTGCCTCCTCCTAGTTCTTCAAATACAGCTGGTACTCTCATACCTCAGGACCTTTGCATATGCTCTTTCCCTATCTACCCACAATAGCTTGTTCCCTTCAGGTCTCTACTCAAAATCACTTTTTAAGTGTGGCCTTCCCAGCCACCTTAATTTTAAATTTCAGCCCTTATCCCATGGCACTTCCTATCCTCTCTCTCTCTTTTTTCTCCACAGCACCATGATATATATTTATGTATGCATGTATACATGTATGTGTTTATTACCAGTCTCCCCTACTAAGTATTAGCTTCATTAAGACAGGAATTTTTATCTTATTTGTTCCATGTTCTATTCCCAGTGCCCCAAGAAAGAGTACCTGGCATAGAATGCTCTGTGTAAATGTTCGTCAAATGAAAGGATGAATGAATGTGAATCTTTTTTTTTTTTTTTTTTAATTTCTTTCTAGGAGAGAGAGAGAGAGACAGCATGAGCAGGGGAGGGTCAGAGAGAGAGGGAGTCACAGACTGAAACGGGCTCCAGGCTCTGAGCTGGCAGCACAGAGCCCGACGCGGGGCTCAAACCCACGAACCGCGAGATCATGACCTGAGCGAAAGTCGGACGCTTACCCGACTAAGCCACCCAGGAGCCCCAAATGAATGTGAATCTTTTTTTTTTTTCTTTTTAAATGTTTTATTTATTTCTAGGAGAGAGAGAGAGAGACAGCGTGAGCAGGGGAGGGTCAGAGAGAGAGGGAGTCACAGACTGAAACGGGCTCCAGGCTCTAAGCTGGCGGTCAGCACAGAGCCCGATGCGGGGCTCAAACCCACGCACCGCGAGATCATGACCTGAGCGAAAGTCGGACGCTTACCCGACTGAGCCACCCAGGCGCCCCGAATGAATGTGGATCTTTGAGTTCATTAGTTACAGACAGCAGTCCTCCCAAGGTCATTTTTAATGATTCTCTCAAAGGTAGCTTTTTCTTTTGGGAAAACAAAAAACAAATCCACAAGTAAACAGCCTTGTGTTTCAGTAAAAGATTAGGGAGTAAAGGCACTTTAGATACAAGAAATAGTAAAGTAATATGTAAATTAACACTGTAGTGTTGAACATGAGTTAAGCTGTAGGACAATGAGCTACATTAAACTCCAAGGCTTAGTTCACATACGCAGATTCAACTTGCTGTGTGATGATACTTCCGTTAAGTGCACACAATTTTCTTCATGTTAAACAAAATTATGGAATTTAATTTGTATAGAGGTATTTTTTAAAATGATTTCATGATATTCAATATCATGATAATACAAGATGAACATAAACTGCTAATTTCACTGTTAAACCCCTATGTTTTGGGTATTCAAACAATTCACAAAGGGAATAGACAACACTTCCTCAATCTTTTAAGAGAGGAGACAGAAAGAGAAAACGCAAAGGAAAAGCCAGTCCACATGGAAGTGAATTAGTCTCCTACCTTGATGTGCTGGATTCCACCCATGTTCATCCAGGCCTGTGCTTGATCTGGATTCAGCTCCACGGCTGCTTTGTAGCTCTACAATATATAAGAAACATATTCAGGCTGAGAAACGAGAACCCATGTTTAATACTACGGATGTGGAAATCACTTTCTTCATCGGCAAGAATTTAAATGGTTAATACAATGAAACCAGACACTACTAGCTCACAGGTGTTCCCATTTATTTCAATTATTTTTCAAAATGGACGATTCACAAATGGAGGAAACTGAAATGTGTAATTTGCTTGCAGAGCCTGAGGACACCTGCGGGGAATCCAGGAGATTTTATTATAGTGCATCATTTCTTGCTGGCCTTGACTGGCCTTTTTCACTATAAATGGAGTTTGTAAGAATATTTTTTTTCCAATCATCAGAATCTTAGAGTATTTTCCTACACAGCTTAGCCCTAATATAGCACCCCTTTTCACAAGGTCATTGGCTTGTGTATTCAGCCTATGCCAAAATACTTGCAGACAGGATGCATACTACTTTTCAGCACAGCCATTTTCCTAAGGGATAGTTTTAATCATTACAAAGCCTTTTCTCTTTCGCCACATGAAAGGTCTTCATGTGGCTGAAAAGAGTTATTTCTCCCTCAAATACCTCTTTTGGTATGAAAATGTGTATCCCAGTAAACGTAATATCTGTGCGGCATATTTGTAATATTTTGCACGTTATTTTATGTCGCAGGCATGCTCACCACTGGGTCTGAATTTAAGAGTAGTCACCTAAATGAAGCCAAAGACTAAGACTGTTGGTTTCTTGTGCAAAACTAAGGATCTGTATGTATATTTTAATGTCTTTGCTGTTTTCATTAGCAGAAACCCAATGGCACAGTTTCATAAAGTAAATAGAATCTGGTCCATTCTTCCTCCACTTGAGTTTTAAGAGAAGCAAGCAAACAATAAGAAACTATACCTTTGAAAAGCTGCTAAAATAAACCTGAAGAATGTGTCTCAGGTTAATTTCTATCAATAGAGATGAAGATGTAGGATAGAAATTAAGAACCTGGATTCAAATCCCAGCTCCATCTCTTACCCTCTGTGACCCTGACCAAGTTACATAACCTCTGAGTCTTAGTTTATTCAACTGTAAAATGGAGACCATGACCATAGCTTTCTTATATGACTATTGTAGAGATTAAAAAACTGAATACATGTAATCATAAAATGCTAACACATTTTAGTTGCTACTTTTAGCCCAAGGCTCTACTCCTACCTTTCCTTGATCTAGCCACTTTAAATTTTTTTTTAATTCTTTATTTATTTTTGAGAGAGACAGACTGTGAGTGTGAGCAGGGGAGGAACAGAGAGCGGGGGAGACACAGAATCTGAAGCAGGTTCCAGACTCTGAGCTGTCAGCACAGAGCCCGATGTGGGGCTCAAAGTCATGAACCACAAATTCATGACCTGAGCCAAAGTCAGATGCTCAACTTGACAGAGCTACCCAAGCGCCCCAATCTAGCCACTTTAAAATGATTATTTGGTCTATTAGTTAAGCAACTAGAAAATACTTTTTGTTTTCAATACAATGTATAAGATACAGATATATATATATATACCAAATAACTATTCATAATTAAATTTTACATTAATTAAATTGTCATGTTAGTTATACATAACTCAAGGTATTAAAAATGTTCACAGGGCAGAGAAAAGTGCACTTTCTGCTTTAAATATCCCACCATTTCTGTTTTAAGGGTTCACATTCAAATTAGTTTTCCCAAATACTTTACATGTGTTTTTGAATATTTTAAAAATCACTCACTGTTTTCAAAAACAATAATATCATTTAAAATTTTACTTTCCCCATGTTGCATTTAGTGTAATTTTATGACTTCATTAATTTCAACCTGTGGCTTTATCAGAAATGCTTGGTATTTCTATAACATTTCTATTTGCTTGTAATATTGTTTTGATTTCAAGCTGTGTATAAATTGTATTTGGAAGCTGTAGCTATTGAATGCCTATAAGATGCAAGACATTATGTTTTGGAACACAGAAGGAAGCAGTCCCTTTCTATGAGGAAAAGTTTCATCTAACTGGGGACTAAGTGTTATGCACAGGGCAGGGGGGTGGAGGGCGGTGAGAGGCGGAGAAGACAGAGGGAGGGGAGGAAGAGACCTAGCTACACAATGTAACCTATGATACTTTTAAATGATTTGTAGAGACAGTAAATGTTTTAAAAGTTCACAAGAAACAAGGATGCTGGGAGAAAGGATGGCTCAGATGGGCTTCCAGAAGGAGGACACAGGCTGTGTATTAGTGGATTCTGAGAGGGAATCTGTGGGGAATTGGGGATGGGGGGGTGTAGAAGGGTGTTATAAGGATGTGTGGAAATGCCAAAGCTATTCAGCACTAGCCTAGCTGGAATAGAGGGTTACTGCCGGCAAACAGAGAGAGTGAGAGTGGCAGAGAGAGAAACTGACTTGAGAGAAAAATGTGGAATTGCTTCAGACACCAAGTTAAAGGTAATAATTCAGAAAATAATGTGGAGGTACTGCAAAACTCTGAAGAGTAAAAAAAAAAAAAAAAAAAAGAGGCTCAATGATAAAAACTAAATGTATACCATCATGGCAATTAATCAGAAAATTCACTCCACAAACATGCCAGTGATCTTAAATTTTACTACATATGCTTCATTAAAGATTGAGAGTATTAATCTGAATCCCTTCATTTAATAACATAATTTTATTAAGTGTTTATACCTCAAAAGCTTTATCCAGAAGATTTTGCTCTCTTAGTTGGTTTCCTTTTGTGAAAAAAAGTTCAGATATGACTTTTGGGTCCTTTGGTTTCAGCTGGAGAGCCTTGTCTATAGCATCGAGAGCCTATAACAGGGTTATAAGACACAATAAATGTAGATTAGATGAAGAAAAACTAACTTAAATGATAACATTTATACTTTTTGTCCTTCTGTATTAGCTGGTGTGGAAAATGACAGTCAAAACACATTCTTCATTCTTTCTGATGTTCTTACTAAGAGATACTGTGGCCTTGACAATATAACTTCCCTATACTCCAGGCTTTCCATTTATATTAATGACACTGAAATGTCCCTGACCATTCCACAGGGAGATCATGTGATAAAAGCTGAAAGAAAACAGGATCCAGCATCAGTTGTTTTGCCCTGCCTGTGCCCATCTGGACCCCTCCAATCATGGCCTCCTCTTAGGTCCCTGGTGCTGACTCTGCCCCCAGCACCCTCTGCTCCAATCCCTGCAGCCAGGGACCCCTTCAAAGCACACACCTCACCATGCTGCTCTTCTTCATAAAACCCCAAAGCTCGTGGTGCCTGGGAGGTTCAGTCATTAAGCATCTGACTTCAGCTCAGGTCATGATCTCACAGTTTGTGAGATTGAGCCCCACATTCTGTGAGCTAGAGTCCCGCTTCAAGTGAGGTCAAGCCTCACTTTGGGTAAACATGAGGCCTCTCTCTCTCTCCCTCTCCCCCACCTTCTCTCTCTCTTCTCTCTGCCCCTTGCTCACCTGTGCCCTCTCTCTCTCAAACAAAACAAAACAAAACAAAACAAAACAAAACAAACAGAACAGAACAAAACAAAACACATAAAAAACCCCCAAAGCTTCTCCCAAGATAAGAAACAAAACCCTTGCCCTGGTCCCAAGCTCTGTGTGGCGTTGACCCAGCAACCTTACAGCCGTTATCTTACACAGCACCCTACTCCCTTCATGCCCATCCCTCAGATTTGCCACTTGCTGCTGCCACAGGGCTTTTGCATGTATTTTATCCTGCCTGGAATGCTTTTCACTGCCCTCCTTTGTCTAATGACTCCTATTTATCATTCAGCATTCACTTTCACATCACTCTGCAGGGAACTTAACCTCCCAGATCACTCAGGTCCCTGATAATATGCTTGATAGAACCATGTCACTCTTCATGACATCTATGAGCACAGCTGTAATTCTACATTTGTTTTGTGATTGCTTGTTTAATCTTGGTTTCCTCTTCTACTATAAACTCCATGAGGACACAAGCGATTTTTCTAGTTGTTTTTCTTTACCATTTTATTCCTGGTACCTGCCACAGGATCTGGCATATAGAAAGCATTCAATAAATATTTTGTTGAATCAGTTCATAAACTTACTGGTTATGTGACTTTTAAAATGGAGATAAACTATAACAGTTGTAACACAGGGTCACTGACCTATATAAGCATTGTTGTAAGGACTCCATAAAAAAATACATATATATGAAGGAACATGGAAAATGATAAACATACACATGCTGTTCTTTATAGGGTTAGATTAAAACAAACTGAGATAATATCACATAAAATCTTTACTTTTTAAAATATTTATTTTGAGAGAGGGAGACAGAGAGAGTGAGACGGAGGGAGGGGCAGAAAGAGGGCGGGTGGGAGAGAGAATCCCAAGCAGGCTCTAAGATGTCAGCACAACTCAATCTAACAAATAGATGCTCATGACCTGAGCTGAAATCTAGGTTTGGATATTTAACTGATCGAGTCATTCAGGAGCCCCTCACATAAGATCTTTAGACAAAAGATTAGCCAAGAAAATATTCCAAGGGGACATATTAGGAATTAAGGGGATATCTGCAAAAAACATCCATAAGATAGGCCATGCCAGTGGATGAAGTTCAAGACTGCTCAGCCTCGTAAACGTGCCGACTGGAGAGTCATTCAGGTGCACACCATCTTCACCCGAGAATCCAAACAACTCCCGTGTGCTCTCTACCTTGCCATGGCGCTCCTGCTTGCTGTAGATGGCTGACAACAGGCGGTAGCATTCGAGGCATCCGGTCTCCTCTGACGCGATGTGGTTGGTCATCTTTTCAGCTTCTCTTGTCTGACCCATTACGGCCAAAACCTGAGCCTGCAAAACCACACTGACCTTGGCCTAGGAGACACTTTGTTATCACCTTTTCAAATACAGCGTCCCTGAATAGATGCGTGCCAGAAACACTCCTCCCAAAAATGCTCAGCATCTCTCTGAGATTCACAGATGGAGCTGAATTCCCACAGAGTACAGGTTTTAATTTTTTGTTGTTTGTTTCTGTTTATTGATTTAGGAGAATAACGCATTATATGTGAATAGCAGGGAGACCAAAGATATCAAGGAAATGATTTGTGACTTTTTAAAAAACTTGACTAAATTTTTAAAAAAAGAAATGATTTCTTATGGTTTCAACAAGACATTGCATTTATAACAAGTTTGATTTGTTACAAATCTAAAGAAGAGTAGCAAAAATGCAAATTTCTAAAAATTGAAATTAAAAATATTGTTGATACCAATTTCCTAAATTTGATCATACTGTGGTTATATCAGAATGTCCTTGTTCTTAGGAACTATTTGCTGAAGTACTTAGAAATAAGGGGAGTGGGATCTATAACTGTCACATGGCTCGCAAAATAATAATATGCATTTGCACACATGCTTAGATATACACACATATACATATATGGATGCATACACACACAAGGCATTGATAAACAAATTCATCAAAATGCTACAAATTGATGGATCTGGGTGAAAGGGTATATGGGAGCTATTTATTATCCTTGCAAATTTTTTAGGTGTGAAATTATTTCAAGCCAAAAACTTAAAAAAGTTTTTAGTGTTTGTGTGTTTGGTGAATGGCTCTAACACTGGTCACAGGGATAGTCAGGATATAGATATACTGTAGCATTCTAGTTGCAATTCTAAGGCTTCTGACTCCAGCTCCCTGCACTGCACCCTGTGTGTTCCCACCTCATTTTCTTTAGCAATCTACTTACGAGGGCCAGGCGGAGCTCCCTTTGAGAAGGCTGGAGGGCCGCAGCTTCCCGGTAAATCTGCAGAGCCTCCTCGTATCGGCCGGTGTTATAATACAGCGCTCCCAAAGGTGATAATATCTCGGCTTTGCGCGACACCTGCAGTGCACTGAGTTTTCAGAAAGATGAATTGACACTTCTAATAGGTACATTCCCAAAGCTCAAAACTCAGATTTAGGGATGACAGTCCACAGCTGGAGACAGTGCTCCAACATGGTCTCTGGTTTTTATAATCAAAAAGAATGTTTTTGGAAAGATCATGCTGCCACCCTCGGACTATAAGACTGTCTCTAGTGACCTATCAATATGCACACTGAGCTCTAAGGATCGCTTCCGTTAATGGTGACAGGCTTGTTCTGATGTATGCAGTCTCTCCTCCACATCCATTTTTGAAATTGCTATTTGTGGCTTGGGCTGCAGTCCATAGCCTCAGAAAACAATACATGAACTAAAGCAGGAATTAAATTCCAACCTTGGTTTAGCACCATGTTGTAACCAGCAGGCAGAAAAGCAGTTCACTGGGACACCATTAAGGGTTTAGTTATATTTTCTTTGGATTTGAAAGTCTGTATTGCCTGAAGTGGCAATATTTGTTAATATTCTGTTCCAATTGCATAAAAATCGGAAGGGTAACTACTGAGGTCCTTGGGCAACTTACAAAGTAAAGAAAAGGAACTTTACCGTTTATACCATTCTTCAGCCACACTGTTCTCGCCCAATGACCTGTAGAGTCTCCCTAGATTCACCATAGCCACATGATGACTGGGGCTGAGTGTGATGGCCTGCTGGTAATGGGCCACTGCCTTCTCTGGAGAGCCTGTAATCAGTGGTAGTTGGTAAAAGTAGAGTATGACTTAATTATATAATACACATTCAGTTTCTCTTCTGATGTATATCATCTTTGTATTCTGAGTCATACCATCAATTATCCAGTTTGTATTCATTCCCACTTCCAAGGAAATTAATAATAAAAAAGCAATAAAAACTAAAATCTATTTCTTTTATTACGTGTATCATTCTAGCCAAAGTGTTTTCTGGCCATTGCCCTAGCTAGTATGATGTTTTGAGATCATCAATGATTGTTATTTATGCAAGATATTGTTGCTTCTCATTATGCTAAAAAGCAGAATAGGCTATTATAGAAAGAAAACTGTCCTGAAACAACTTCTAAGGGTTGGTCTCAGTTACTGTATTGCAACATAGTAATCGAGGCACTGCTTTAAAGAAGTCTGTATCAGCTAGATCTTGAAAATCTTTTTAAAAATAATACATTTTTAATGGGATTTATATAAAATGGGACTTTAAAAAATAATAATAATGCCACCCTGCATGTGTCCTATGCATTATACATTTAAAAAATGTTTAATTAAATGATCTTTACAGGTATTTTTGATACTAGTTAGCTGCCTTTAGAGACCATTTAGCTGTCTCTTGGGATTTAAGAGCTATTACAAAATAAACAAAAGTACTAAAGATATAGACACTAAAGTGCAAAGTACACTTAAGAGACTTGACAAAAATCCCAGGGCAATTGAGGATGAAGACCAGAACTAGAATCAAGCCTCTGATAAGGCCCCCAAAGAAGCTTCCTAATGAAATCTTATCTAAAGTGACTGAAAGTGGAATGTTTATTACCTGCAGGCACCTTCTCAAGTGCACCTTCTTTGAATGCATGTCTGACTAATAGGCACCAAACGAGATACCATGTATGTGTAGGTCACTGGTAATAGCAAGAAGTTCATCAGTATAAAATACATGAATACAAAGGAAGTGGTGGGAAGATACACAAGGAGGCCAGTGAGATTTCTAGGGGAGAGGCACTGTTTGCTGCTGATGTAGAAGACTGTACCAGTGTGGGATCTCTTTGGGTTTTTAGATCTTTAGGACACTTGATGTATTATTCTGTTGCTAAGAAACCAGCAGGTGGCACTACAAAACAATTTTACATGCAAAAATAAGAGACCTTTCCCAGGAGTTTTGGAATGTAAATTTATATTCTATAAAACATAAAAATTTTGTATACACTAGAAAATAAAAACCCTTCTGAGCATGCATACTGACAAAATAATTAAAGTAGAATTTTACCACAAGGTAGATAGTCTAATCGTCCATGAGAACAAAATGGTGCTTTTGCATTAAATTCAAATATCTTTTGATTCTTTATAGGTATTTATAGCATGCCACCAGTATATAGGACACAAATCACAAAGGAAACAGAATTCCTGCTCAGTAAAGCTTTGCCTTAAATAAGATGAAGTGAGTATATTTTATATAGTATCTGTCATGTAAGAGTACTCTATCAATTATAATAATATGGTTTCTCTAATGTAGATCAAGTAAAGAATGACAGAACAACTCTAGAGGCTTTTTTTTTTTTTTTTATCAGATGTGGAAAAGTATTTTCCATCTTCTGGTAACTAGATTCAGAGGTAAGTTCTGCATCATTGCTGAGGAATGTTTCATCATCTTAGATATATGAACTTGTATAAATGATACTCAAAGGACTGCTACTCATTAAATCATCGAGACTACTTCCTGACACCTGGGGAGTTTTCCTTAGAGCTGTATGAACTGGGAAAATTATGCTGAACTGACCTTGAAGATGTAGAGAAATGACAGCCCCACAGTACAATGTGACTGTCAACAGCATGAGTTTCCTGCTAAGCCCAGAAGTGAATGTTACTTCCACGACATTACTGGGGTGGTTGCCATTTTGCTTGATAGATGGTATTATCTAATCTCAACAGAACAGGTTCCCTTTAATTTCACTCACCAGTATCAACTAAGAAAACCCCATAGTTGTTGTGTAAGTCTGAGCTGTCTGGACAGTTCTTTATTCCAGCCTGGTATATTTCCTCAGCTTCCTTAAATCTCTCCTTTAAAAGAGAACAAAGAAAAATTAATGAGAGAGTTCAAAACAAATAACAATAGGGGCACCTGGGTGGCTCAGCTGGTTAAGTGTTCGGCTCAGGTCATGATCTCAGGGTCGTGAGGTTAATGGGGCCCCGTGTTGGGCTGTGTGCTGGGTGTGGAGCCTGCTTAAGATTCTCTCACTCCCTTTGCCCCTCTCTCCCATTCATGTGTGCACACTCATTCTCACTCTCTAAAAAGAAGCCCTGAAATACAAAACTACAATAATAAATTGAACGATATAAGTGGAGAAAGTAGAAACTAATTTTCTGAGGATCTTCTAGGCAATAGACACTGAGATCAAACACTGTGCACTTTGAATTAAAGTCAGTGCTAATGGCACAAATTCCTACAATTCATATCTATTTATATTAGTTTCTTTAGGGCATATAAGCCGGCGTTTATTAAGAAGAGACATCTGGAAGGATTTGCCCTACAGTTGGAAAAAGCCTCAAATGTTTGTTTGAATGGGATGCCCTCCACCCCAGTAACTTTCTGTTTGAAAATGAGGGCTATGGGGGTGCCTGGGTGACTCAGTTGGTTAAGGAGCCAATTTCGGCTCAGGTCATGATCTCACGGTTTGTGAGTTCGAGCCCCACATCGGGCTCTATGCTGACAGCTTGGAGCCTGGAACCTGCTTCAGAATCTGTGTGTCTCTCTCTCTCTGCCCCTCCCTCCCTCACACTCTGTCCCTTTCTCTCAAAAATAAATTAAAAATTTGAAAAAAAAATGAGGGCTATGTCCATACAGGAATATCTTCAGAGGTGACAATGTGACTGGGAGCCAGGGAGGCCTGGGACATTTGTCTTACAGCTGCACTTGTGTAGCCTGCACTCCCTTTACCTATACTGTATGGTTTATTTGGGGGAGGTTTTTGAGGAAAGAGTAGGGAGGCTGATGCAAGTGACAGACGGCTTTGCCTTGACCTTTCTTTACTCAACATATTTCAACTACCCACTCAACTGTTCACTCCTTCCTTTATTCAACTAGTGTGTTCACCTCAGAGCCACACCCTCCAATGGGAATATAGGCCTTTTTGAAGGCATACCTCCAACTGCTACTCTCATGACAAGGCCCACATCAACTGTTGCATCTTCAATGGGTCATTCGCTAATTGTCCTGGTCTTCTTCCAAAGGTTCACTTCAGCACGCTAACAATTCTGAATTAGCTTTTAGGAACATTGTTCACAACCATCTGGGACTGTCATGTCACCCTTCCAATATCAGAAGGTAAAACCTACTTAATGAATCAAAGCTACCCAGGTTCTAACAATCACATGTAAACACTTTCATGGTTTCCTGGTCCTGCTGGGAAGGTCAGGTAAAAGGAAATGATTTGGCATAAAACACATAGCAACTGTTCCTTTAATATGCTCTGAGAGTGGATGTTTTCCACAATTTTATTGCAAGTTGCTCCTACTCAGCATCATCCTGACACATGAAAAGGAATGTACAGCACTGATTTTCTCAGAGGTGACACCTTTGCCTTGTGAATAAAGAGGCACTGGGTGTCGAGCAATAAGCCAAGGAGCAAAATTTGATTTGACCCAGAAAGATAAAGATATTTTACCCTTTGTGGAATGACTATTGGCATCTCTTTGAATCCATACATTTAAGTACCATTTAGGAAACAAGGTATGGTTTGGATTTGGCAAGTTTCACTTATTTGAATTACAAATCCACAGTCCAGCAAAAATTGAGATCCATGTTGCTAAATAGTATATATATATATATTTTAAAAAGTATATGTATTTTTTGATTGTCAGACTTAGAAAATTTAAAGATGAATAAAAATCCCCAAATCATTAAAAGTACAATGGGTCAGGTCATGATCTCTCAGTAGTAAGATCAAGCCCTATGTTGGGCTCTGTGCTGAGCACCAAGTCTGCTTGGGATTCTCTGTCTCCTTCTCCTCGGCCCCTTCACCTCCCTCAAAAAATACAGTAGATGAGATTGTCAGCAGAAGAAATAAAAGAATATTAGAGCTGGAAACAATATTAAAAACAGTAACTCACTATTTTTAACTATTGAAGAAACTTAGGTACAAAGTGGTTAAAGGACTTGCCCCAAACCTGACAGCTACAAAATTTAGGTTTTCAGTGGACATACAGGGAATTGGTGAGCCCTGAATAAAAGCAGCATTTCTGGAAATAATGGTGTCTCTGGCATCAAAAGAAACAACTATACTTTTGGATATCCATCCACCCCCTCAACAAATATTTTGTGAGTGCCACATACATGCCAAGCATACGGTGAAGACAGAGGGTGAAAAGGATAGACAATCCTGCCATGGCAATTGAGTGGGAGTCAGACAGGAAGAAGACAATGCAGTGTACTGTGACAGCGTCATGGGAAGAGAAGCACAAGGTACTCGGGGCAACCGGAAGTGATCCCAGGCTTGAGAGGAGATAGATTCTCTTCACCTGTCATGATTCAAATGCCCGAGAATGCTTGTTACCATCAGCTCTTGCAGCTGCATCACATAAAGATGTGTTAGGAAAATATCCGTGGCTACTTCAGATCTTAGAGCCATCATTGTATAAGTAAAGTGTGAGAGAGTAAAAGGTGTGTTTCCTAAAAAGACTACAACTGATGTCTTCACATTCTAACTTGCCAAGGTCGAACACAACACTCAACAACAGTTTTCAAGTACAATTACTCCTTTACCTGATTTCATTTTACTTTTATCCCACATTCTTGCTACTCTGAAATAGACAAAGATGTCACCTTTTTCATCTAAAACTTCTCTTATTCAGGGGTTTATGGGCTGGGTTTCCACTACAAATACAATCTACAAATACAATTTTTTTTATTTTTTTATTTTTTATTTTTTTTAAATTTATTTCTAGGAGAGAGAGAGACAGCGTGAGCAGGGGAGGGTCAGAGAGAGAGGGAGACACAGTCTCTGAAACAGGCTCCAGGCTCTGAGCTAGCAGTCAGCACAGAGCCCGATGCGGGGCTCGAACCCACGAACAGCAAGACATGACCTAAGCAAAAGTCGGACGCTTAACTGACTAAGCCACCCAGGCACCCCTACAATTTTTAAAGTCCAAAGAAGTAATGGGATTTAAAACACCATGCATGTCAAGAGCAGGTGATCACATCCCTGTACCTCCGGGAGCCCAAGGGCTGTCTCAAGACTCTGGGTCAATGAAAAATGTCTTCAATATCTGTCTTTTCCTTTTGCTTGACTGTAAATTTCAAGGAATGATTAACTTCACTTTAAAAAAAAACAAAAGGGAACCACCACCGCGGGAGAAAAATACCTTCTAGATGTTTATTCAAAATAAATTCCACCTTCTCTGGAAGGGCAATGCATTTATCTTAACAAGTAACTAGTACCGAACCCCTGAAGCTCTATTTCCAGCACTCACTTTTCATTTACCTCATCTGGCTAGATGTCCTGACCTAAGCTAATCATTCCTAGTCTCTACTGACTTGTGAGATTCAGAGGAAATGAATATGAGCTATGTATAGGACAACTTTAATTAAAAATGCTTGTGACCAGAGAATGGCTCTGACAAATAATACTGTTTGCTTTACACCAGAGTCCCCAACAACCACTGCCTCAGCATGAAATCACCTTTGAGGGTGATGGTTAAAATGGGCAGCATGCAACCATGGGCTCCTCTCCAAGGCTGAAGAATTTTCAGGAGGGTGGAAATAAAATGGGCGTTGGGGGAGAGATAAAACAGTCAACATCTCGACTTCTTACAAGCTGTCATTACCCAACATGGCATGCTTTTTACCTCAAGGAAAGTGAAGAGTAGATCTTTGGAAAAAACGCTTCGATTGTAATTTACTCTCTTGGGCCAACTGATATGTGTGGAAAACTTCTTGCAGCAGCCGAGAGGACAAATGGACATGGGCTTAATGCAGCAATCCTCAAACTTCTTGGTTTTGCAGACCCTTTTATACTCTAAAAATTACTGAGGACCCCCAGTAATCTAAAAAAATACTGAGGACCCCAAAGAGTTTTGTTTATGTGAGCTACACTATCAACATTTACAACAGACCTAAAGCTGAGAAATTTTTAAAATATTTATTAGTGTATTTAAGATATAATAAACTAAAACATAACACATTTGTATGAAAAATAAAAAATATTTTTCCACAGCAAAAAAAGTTAGTGAGAATACTAGCATTATTTCATATTTTTGCAAATCTCTTTCATGTTTGGCTTAATAGAAGACAGCTGGATTCCCATATTTACTTTTGTGCTAATCTATTTTTCGTGTGTGTGCGCGTGCTAATCTATTTTTATGTTTTTAGTGTGTGTGTGTGTGTGTGTGTGCACTAATCTATTTTTATGTTTTTAGTTGAAGTATGTGAAGAAATGCTGGTCCCAAACAGGCGTTTCATTGGAAAATGGGAGAATATTGTAATAGTCTTTTAATGATTGTAAATATATCATGTATCCTCTAAAAATACTGTACACTCACAAGAGAATGAGAGTAAAAAAGGCAAATGAATTAGTAGTAGTATTGTGAAAACGGCATTGACCTTCTTGGACCTGAGGGTTCCCCCGTCAACACTTTGTGAACAGCTGGCTTAATGAAGGGCCTGTAACGTGCACTTCCTGTGCAGAAGGTGTAAGATGTGTTATTTTAGAGTGGTGAAGGACCTACAGAGATGGAGATGAAAAGTTGTGCTAGTGCCCTGACATCATGTCATGCATGTGAATTGTTTTCTAGAAGTATTTTTATTCTGGTCATGATATGAACACACAGAGCCATAAGGTTATTTCCCCATTAGACCAATGCCTCAATGCATTTACTGTGACAAACTTGGTAAGTCTAGGATCAATGGATGTTTAAATTCATGTCAATGATTTCTCTAAGAAACTCTTCAAAACATAGCAGCTCATCAAATGTCCATTGATGGATGAATGGATAAAGAAGACGTGGTGTGTATATATATATATATATATATATATATATACACACAATAGAGTATTACTCGGCAA